TAGATAGATAGATAGATAGATAGATAGATAGATAGATAGATAGATAGATAGAGGGGGTGTCTGTCCATTAAAGGTAAGAGTTGTTGAGATTCATGAGCCAACATGCTTGGGAGAAGACCCAGGAAAAGCCCCCAGGCAAAGGGCCAAGGAGCTGCTGCTGCAAAGCAGGTATAGAATTCTACCTCCTGTCTCACTTCTGTAGTCTGGTTAAAAGCTTGCATGTGTGGGGTTCCAACGGCAGGATTGTTCCTTGGGCTAATCTGTCCATTAAAGGTAAGAGTTGTTGAGATTCATGAGCCAACATGCTTGGGAGAAGACCCAGGAAAAGCCCCCAGGCAAAGGGCCAAGGAGCTGCTGCTGCAAAGCAGGTATAGAATTCTACCTCCTGTCTCACTTCTGTAGTCTGGTTAAAAGCTTGCATGTGTGGGGTTCCAACGGCAGGATTGTTCCTTGGGCTAACATGTTTGTTGTAGCATGCCCCACAACTCTGGAATCTTTACTATGCAGTTAGTTAGCCTTTGTTTTTCCCCATCCTAGTTAGTGTATCTTCTAGTAGCAGAGACCTTACAGTCGGTATGCCGATTAAGGCATTAAAAATACAGACTTGGAATCATAGGGCTAGAAAAGACTTCAGGAGGTCATTGAGTCCAGACCCCTGCCCAAAGCAGGACCATTCCCAACTAAATCACTCTGATCTGTCACAAGATTATGAGCTTTGCCTTGCAACTTGATTATAATAATGTCTTGCCCAAGCTATGTTCAGAATTTTGAGAACATCTCTCAAGGACAGACCTGTGAAAATCAGAAAGGTTAGTAACCATCTTAGTGGCACTGTGTGCTGAATACTGCCACTGCTTAGCCAAGCAGTTTTCATTTAGTTCCCCTCTGTTCTCTTTATACAAAGTTTTTGGTTATTGTTTCTGGATTCACATTGCTTGTGCTTCACTGTTGTATTTATGGTTAATATCCAGGGATATTGAGTTCAGATAGGTATGTGTTTGTGACTTTTAACAGTAGGTCCATGTTCATTTGAATAACTATATAGAATAAGTGAATTGTGCTGTGAAGAAATTTTACTTTTAAATATCAGAATGTAGTCCCCAAGAGAGCACAGTATGGAAGGTCTCCTTACAGATGGAATGCCTGGGGGGATAGTTATAATTTTAGAGAATAGGTGGCTTATTTGAACTGTGCAAAATTAGGTGATAGTGTGACAGTGTCCAAAGTACAAGAAGAAGCCAAAATGAGGAGTCGAGAATATCTGAGAGGGGAAGGGGAGCAGTCAGAGGTGAAGAGTGAGACACAGGCAGGGAATTAAATTATGAAAGGTTTGAAAGTGGAAAGAAGCTTGGTTTATACTCGGGAGGAGGGGAGAAGCAAATAAGGAGATGAAACAGGGAAACGGAGTATCAAGGCAAAATTGAGAGACCTTGGCTGTGTCTAGACTGGCAAGTTTTTTTTGCAAAAGCAGCTGCTTTTGCGGTAAACCTTGCCAGCTGTCTATACTGGCTGCTTGAATTTCCGCAAGAACACTGACGATCTCATGTAAGAAATCAGTGCTTCTTGCGGAAATACTATGCTGCTCCGGTTCGGGCAAAAGTCCTTTTGCGCCAAAGCTTTTGCGCAAAAGGGCCAGTGTAGACAGCTCAGATTTGTTTTACACAAAAAAGCCCCGATTGCAAAAATGGCGATCGGGGATTTTTTGCGGAAAAGCGTGTCTAGATTGGCACGGACGCTTTTCCGTTAAAAACATTCGCGGAAAATCATGCCAGTCTAGACGTAGCCCTTGGGTTTTGGTTTGGACACACTTGAAAGGTAGGCAGGATTGGAGAAAATAGCTAAAACAGGAGGTTACTGTAATAGGAGCTAATGTGTTTGTAGTAGAGAACAGTATGGTTGATCAATTCTCAGCCACTCCACATGAGTAGGAGCTGAGTTTAGGTGTTTTTTTCTAACATGTTAGCCATACCTATCTTTTCTTTCTGTGTGCATATTAGGGATGTTAAATATCAGTTAATTGAATAGTCAGTTAACCTCATGAATTTTTATTGGTTAGTCAACTATTCTATAGTCCCCGGGCAGCCCCTCTCTGGGGCGGAGGGGTCTGAGCTTCTGGACCCAGCACAAGCTGGAACTGAGCCGGACTGCCTGCCCGCCTGGCTCCTAACACACTTTAAATGCAGAGCTGCAGCAGGGGTAGGTCCAGGACCCAGTGCAAGGCAGGACTGAGCTGGGCTGCTGGCCAGCCTGCTGAAAAATTGACTGGCAAGAGGTGAAATGCATGTAGTCTATACTTAGCATTAACCTATAAGCTTTTGCTTATCGGTTAATCGATTATACTATTACATCCATAGTACATATCAGTGTGTTCATAATGCTACCGTTAATGATAGCACTAGAGTTAAATGTCTAAATTAAAATACAGGTTGGACCTCCCTGACCAGTCCCAGATGCAGGAATTTGGTGGACCAGGAGAGGTCCCCTGCCACTGGTCCCTTGGCCCCTAGGCCGTCTTGAGGTGGGAGGCTGCCTGCTGGATTTTTTCCAGGGCCAGCCCAGGGTAGCTGCTCCCCAGGTGATGGAGTCCATGCTGTTGGCTAGCAACTGCTCCCCAGGTCTGGGATGATTGTCTGTGATCATTTGTGAGTATAATTATCCCTGCACACACACTTCTCCCTTTTCTGCACAAACTCTCTAAAATATATAGTGAATAATAACTATATACAGTATATAGCTTCAGATACAACAGGAACCTTCCTGATTAGTTCTGTTAATTTTCTGCATAGGAAGTCTTTCTTTTACCTTGCTTCAAACATCTGGTAGACCTATTCATAATTAAGTGCAAGCCTAAGAGGGGATTTACTGTCTGCTTTCCAACGAGGTTTACCTGGTTATGTGTAGCCTTTGTTTGTGTTACATAACTAGTTAAAATTACAGATGATCGTGTTTAAAAACTCTCAGCCAGAACCCACATTATCTTTGAATCTAGAATTTACTGAGATGTTTAAATAACCCAGTTGATGCAATGGTTTGAGTGACTTCTCTGTTCTTAATAGAATATTTTTTCTTTTGGTTTCAGTTGGGGCTCTTTGTAGATTTCAATCCTGAAACAATGTTGCTGGATATAGAGGATGATGGTGATGAGGATTTAGAAGCTGAGCTTGCCTCTATCACAGGAGAGAAGGTGAAAGATGGGAAGTCAAAACCCAAAGGGAAAAGTAAGTTCTTGTGCCTGGTTCTTGCTGACTGAAGAGCTGAGTTATTTATGTAAATAGAAGGGACATGATTTTACAAATCACACTTCCTTCTGGATTTCCCCCCATACAGTTGTTACTGGTTACACCTAAGATTAATACATAACTCAGAGAGATTGGAAATGTTTTTCTGTATAGTCTGCTTCCCAGTGAAGCATTTTAAATTCAGTCGGGGACAGTAGGGGGGCAACCAGGGGCACTCCCTCTCCCCTCCAAATCTTCATTTGTTCTTGCAGCCTGCAGAGAGAGGAGGAAGCAGGGCATCTGGCTGCCTACTGAGCTCCTCCTCTCCCTATTTCTACAGCTGCAGTCTGCTGCTTTCCTTCCCTGCAGCTGGAGTTCCATATGTTGCCTCTGCCTCCAGTCTCTAGCTCACTCAGCTGGCATCTGTAAAGCAGACAGCAGTGCTGGGACTCCAGCATCAGGAAAGGAGAAGCTGCAGGCTGCAGCTGTCTTTTCCTGCCCACTGCAGGGGAAGCTGCTGCCTCCTCACTGCTGGGTGTGCCTTCCAGAGGCATCCCAAGAGATGGCGGGAGTCGTGCAAACCTTTCATTTGTGTGTGTTTTAATGTGCCCCTTCAGATGCATCCAAATTTAAATTCTTGTAAATGCCCTTGAGATGTTCAAAGAGTAGGTTAAGAGGTGACTTTATCATGTATTTAAATACCTTCTATGATGTTCCCTACAGTACAATCTGGACTAGGGATGTAAAAATCTCATTTAAAACGTTAACCAAATAAACTATATGGTTAACTAGCTTGTAGCATGGTGCGGTGGGGTTGGCCCAGCTGGGCTAGATTGCCGCCCACCCTCAGTACAGCACAGTGGGCCTGCCCAGCCTGGAGCAGCTCCCTGCCTGCGGCGTGGCACAGGTTAAGGTCTGCTCTGGCCAGGCTGGGTGCTGGTTGTCCGGTTACTCGGGTAAGCATTCTTGAGAAACCAGTTAATTCTTTACATCCCTAATCTGGACTCATTGAACAGCTGTCTCTTCTCTAGCCTGGGTGCATTTTACACTACTGTGCTGTCAGAAGAGCCACTTCTGGCCTGCTGACACAGCCTTTAGTATGCAAAATCATTTCCAGCTGAATACATGAATGCTGTCCCAGGCAGCCATCAGTACAAACAAGATGATACCCCATAGTCTTAGCCTCAGCTTTGTTCTCCAGAAAGGTGCATCTTGTATTGCTCAGTATTCTCCTGGAGACCACAAGCACACAGTAAGTGTGTCATTTCAACACTGGTTAATGATTATGCAGCAGCCTAAATTCCCAAACACTTCAATCTAAATGTGCTGGTTTAGATAAAACAGTAAAACAAGCTTATTAACTTGAAAAATATATATTTTAAGGGATTACAAGTGATAAAACATAAAAGCAGGATTGGTTACAAAAAATATAAAAAGATAAAACTGCTGGCTAACACCTAAAATGAACTTAAAAGAAAAATGTCTTGGGGGTAGTAGCCGTGTTAGTCTGTGTCTTTAAAAACAAGGAGTAGTCCTGTGACACCGTAGAAAGTAACAAATATGTTAGATCATGAGCTTTTATGGGTAAAACCCACTTCATGAGTTAAATTGGAGTAGAAAATATAGAATCCAAAGTATATATAATAGCAAAAGCAGTTACCTGACAATTGTAGAACCTGTGTTAATGAAGCTAATTAAGTAGGCTGAATGTATCCCATTCATAGCTATTTATGTGAAAATGGGAATATCAGAAGTTGGGAATTGGCTTTGTAGTGTGTTAGCCAGTTAATATATTTATTTAAGTCCAGGTTAGCAGTGTTAAACTTGTAAATGAATTCCAGTTCAGCAGTCTCTCTCTGTAATTATTTGATAAAATTCCTTTGTAGAAGACTGTCTACTTTTAAATCCTTTATTGAATGTTCAGGGAGGTTAAAATATTCCCCTACAGGTTTATGTGTGTTGCCATTCCTGATGTCTGATTTGTGTCCATTTATCCTTTGTCGCAGAGACTGTCCAGTTTGGCTAATGTACATGGCAGAGGAGCATTGCTGGCACTTGATGTCATATATCACATTAAAGAAAAATGTATTTCTCGCCATAAATTGTAGCAGTACACAGGTCCCTTTCAGCAAGGGTTCCTTCCCCTAGTTCAGTGATTGTCAGGTACTTGTTGGCAGGAACAGAAAGATGAAAGGAAGAGAGGCATAATGGGGTGGATACTGTCTCTTATTTTAATATTCTTCTCTCTTTTAGGATTACCTCATGCCAAGGTGTAGACAGTGTGTGGGGTGAAATGTAGTACATTTCTTGTTTATACCTTCTCATCTGCTGGGGGATGATCAATTAAGCCGGTAATGGCCCTTTAACACCTTGCTGGCATGCTGGTGTGTTTGTCTCTGAGAAACTGGTTTGAGGGCTTTACCCAGAACTACAACATATTTTAGTAACAACCATACAGCAAAACCTCATAATTTTATATGCAATGTTACCTATTTCAACAGCATAGTAATAATCAGCAGATGTTTATGATGTATAACGTATGCCTTATGAGTTATTGTTTGAAAACTCATATAAAAATGATGAAAATGGGGTTCAGGCTATTATGCTTACATAGGGAGAAGATTTTTAATAGTAGAGAGCGTTTTAATTTAGCATACCAAGATCAGATGGCTAAAGTTGAAGGTAGACAAATTGCAACTGGAAATAAGATACACTTTTTTTTAATAGTGAGGGAACAAGATGATTTATTAAGAGCTGTGGTGTGGACTGTCAATCACTTGCAGTCTGTACATCAAGAGTAGATGTCTTTCTCTAGAAAATAGCCAGAAGTTAATGACATGATGAAGGAATTACTGGGCAAAATCCTTTGCTCATAGTTATGCAGGTCAGACTAGATGATTATAATGGGACTTTCTGGCTTTAAATGGAGTCTGGAAACCAGTGAGTTTACTTGCTGTATTTGATAGTATTTGTGTACTGTCATTTTCGTATGTTGTTTGTGTGGGACTTACACAACAACAAGGAAGGGGAAAATTTATAAATACACAGGAAAATGTGATCATAAAATCACAATAATAATAATTGGCAGGAAGACTCAGAGGTAGGTAAGTGTTTAATATCTGAAATTACATTTGAATTCGTTTTGATACTGACTAGATTTCAAGGTTCTAGTTACGTTTAGGAGTAATGAACTCAAAATATTTTAAAGCATTTGAAATAAATTAATGCAGCTATTTCTTCAGCTTATTCCTTTTAAATCTTACTTTTAATAGAAATTGTATTGGATCAAAGTATAACTGTATATTTTTAAAAACTGATCATCAAATCAAAGTCATGTTGATTGAAATGAAGAATCCTATAACTAATTTTTCCTTTCTAGTTCTTATAACCAATGACTTTTAGAAAGCATTAGAGAAGTTCTTGATCAGTAATCCTAATAATACCCTGAGACTAAAGGGATATGTTCTAGATCTGTGTATGAGGAGAAAGTTGTCTTTTGTGTCATCAAATCCACTGTTTCTGTGAGTTTCCCGGGGAAACTTTCAGCTGCTCTGGGTTTTAATTTTTAAATGACTAGATCTTTTGTCATTATTGTCTGTACAATGTACAGGTAGGGTTTTGTTGTTTGAGTATAAGTCTGAGAGCCAGGAACTTTTCTGGGCTCTACTTCCATCTTTGACATTGACTCTTCCGTAGGAGCTCAGGAAGTCACTTAGGGTATGTCTACACTACCCCGCTAGTTTGAACTAGTGGGGTAATGTAGGCATACCGCACTTGCAAATGAAGCCCGGGATTTGAATTTCCCGGGCTTCATTTGCATAAGCGGGGAGCCGCCATTTTTAAAACCCCGCTGGTTCGAACCCCATGCAGCGCGGCTACACGGGGCACGAACTAGGTAGTTCGAACTAGGCTTCCGGGAAATTCAAATCCTGGGCTTCATTTGCAAGTGCGGTATGCCTACATTACCCTCCTAGTTCAAACTAGGAGGGTAGTGTAGACATACCCTTATTGTTTTTCACTTTTCCCTATCTGTAAAATGAAAATGAATCCTCTGCATCTCTAACCTTTTATGAGTCATTATTTGTTATGCTCACTGAAGATGTCAGATGTTTTTCCTCATGTGTGAGCAGCCCTTTTGTCAGCAGTGGCTTTCCTTGAGCATTGCAATTCTGTTTTTCTGAAAATGAGTCTGTAGGTGAAATTTTACTGTTGTTTTCACTGTATAACTGAGGGCAGAATCTGACCCATGTCTATCCAGAAGGAAGAATAAGACTAGTTTTAAAAGGGCATAGGTACTGGTGAGGAAGAAAGCACAGATTTGCCAATGAGTGAGAGTACAAAACGGAGCAGTTAGGAGAGATGGTTGGACAGAAAGCAGAATGAACATATCTGTAGGTGAAATTTTACTGTTGTTTTCACTGTATAACTGAGGGCAGAATCTGACCCATGTCTATCCAGAAGGAAGAATAAGACTAGTTTTAAAAGGGCATAGGTACTGGTGAGGAAGAAAGCACAGATTTGCCAATGAGTGAGAGTACAAAACGGAGCAGTTAGGAGAGATGGTTGGACAGAAAGCAGAATGAACATAGGTGAGTTTGAAAGAAGAAGATTAGAATTTAGAAGCTTAAACAGAAGTAGAAGAGTAAATCAGTGATTAGTGAAGAGATAAGAGAAAAACTTGCTTAGACAATGGGATAGGAAGCTGCACTGTGGGCAGGCAAAGGAGGCATAAGAACAACATTCTCTGAAGAAGCTGACTGGGAAAGCCTGTCTGGTGGAAAAGATTTTTTTTTTTTGTCAGTCTTAAAGAAACAAAAAAAAATGTGTTTACTGTTCTGCTATGTTGTTCTCGCTTTCTGTGTTAGTAGCAAGTAGAAGTTGCTCAGTGTATATCTGGTATTGGGTTAGTAGTGATTTTTTTTTTCAGTTCTCCTACTGGACTCTGATGGTTGTATTCATTCTTTGCAGAAAAGAGCTGCCTGGAATTGATTAATATGTTCAGTTTACCCAAAAGAGCATCTTTTTTCTCTGTTTAAAGAAATGAACTAGGTTTCAGGAGCCCTAGGTTCAATTCCTCACTCTGCCATGGAGTTCAAGTGATCTTGGGCAAGTCACTGAGGTCCCAAATGGACCCTCTGAAATTGCTCAGACCCCTGTTAACATTTAAATGTTCTACACATGGGTACAGTAGTCACATGTGGTTCTTTTAGGGGACTTAAAGATCTCTGACTCAGTTCTTCACCTTTTCCCCATCCTTTGTATCTGGTCTATTTGGGTAGTAAATTCTCTGAAGTATGTGGTTTTTGCTTTGTTTATGAACAGCACCTAGCACAATGAGGCCCTTATCTCAGGTAGGGCTATTAGGTTTTGCTGTAACACAAATAGTAACAATATTTCAGGAATTGGAAGAAAATGTAAATAGAGAAATATTTGAATGTTGAGTGTATTAGTAAGCGTAAAGTTGAGAATCTATGGTGTATGGACACTGTGCATCATGAGCAGAGTGATGATCATGTTGCATTAAGGCTATTAAGAGCTTATCTTCACTGCAGAGTTAATTTGAGTTATAGTGTCAATATTACATGTAACGGGAGTCCCATCCATGTACAAAAACCCTTAACTGGAGTGTGATGATGCTTTTAACTCAAATTGGCTGTAGGGATATGATAGTGTAAATGTGTCAGCGGTTAACCAATGAACCTGGGCTCATCAGTTAACCTTCACAGTTACATGCAGGGCTCTCTCCTTTCTCCCTCTCCCCCCCACTTCACCCCCCTGCTATTGTCTCTGACACAGAAGTAGCAGGGGAGGGGGGCAGGCAGGAACTGGTACATGTGGAGTTCTCCCCATTGAGCCACCGCTCCCCGCAACTTGTAAACCTGTAACTGCTGAAATTTTTAGCAGATACACATTTACCAAAATAAATGCATTTTTACATCCTTGGCCCATCAAGAAAATAGAACACAGCTCAAGTTAGCACAATACGCCAACTGTTAAAACAGTTACTGTACAACTCAATAATTATTTCTCAGTGTGACTCCTCTCACTCGAATTAGGTTAACTCAGTTGTGCTCTGGAGGCATAGCTTTTGAAACCTGTGGTTTTAATAAGTAATGTTAAGGGTGCATATTCAGATGGCAGCAACTAGTTTCGTTTGTTTTTAGGCTGCAAGTTGCTCTAAGCAACTCACACTGTGTATAAGACTTTATTCTGCTATGTCTCACATAGGTGTAAATCAGGAATAAATAGAGTTGCTCCAGGGTATAACCAGTACAAGAAAGGAGCCAGGCATCACAAGGAGTATTTTACACCTTGCTCCTTTGTAGTTGAAAATCTGGTTGTTTCCAGTATTGTAAATGCTTATGAAAAGTTTTAAAATAAACTTTACCTCCTGTTTGCAGTGTAGTCGTAGCCATGTCGGTCCCAGGATATTAGATAGACAATGTGAAAAAAATTATATTCTTTCTTTTTTATGGACCAGTTTCTGTAGTGAAAGCATGTCTCTTTCACCAATAGAAGTTGCTCCAATAAACGTTATTATTTCACCCACCGTGTCTGTCTTTAACCTGCTACTGACTCTGGGTTGCAGAGGCCATTATTTGATAGGGGGTCAAGAAAAAGTTTAAATCTGTTTCTGTAGTGCAAATGAGAGCACAGAGGGCAAGCATGTGTTTTATTGAGCATACAGGGATATGATCAAATTGCAATTGTCAGCATACAAACTTCTGCCTATCCCTGTGGAAATCTGCAGGTTCACTGGACTGAACTCCTTTAAACACAAGTGGGCAAGAAAAATGCACTAGAGATAACAAGGGGAAATAGAGGAGAGGCAGATTTTAGGGTACATAGACTCCTTGTTCTTGTGAAGAAAAGGCTCATCTTCTAGAAATAAAATTCATTTTGATCATAAGAGTTGCTAACAGGAATAGTATCATGATTCAGTTTTCACCAGTGGTCACCAACCAGTAGATCTTGGAGCCTCTGGCAGGTGATCCTAATTGGTTTGGCCAAGAGGCTATCAAGTGCCAGCACTTCAGCTGCCTCTCCCCCCTACTGCTGTGCATCTCTTACCTGTTGCCTTAGAGCTGCCTCTCCACATCCCCGGGAGCCTCCTGCTTGCTGTGCAGGGCAGGGGAAGGAGAAGAGGGATGCTGATGTCATGCCCCCTCTCCCATCTTGTATCCTGTCTCCACAGAGAGGGCAGGGGGCATAACAGGACTTGGGAGGGAGTTTGCTGGCTGCTTTTGGGAGTGATGCAGGGCTTTAGCCCCCCTGTACCGCCACCCAGGAGCCACCTGAAGTAAGCGGTGCTCAGTTGGAGCCCACATCCTGAAACCCTACCCCAGTCATGAACCCTCTTCTGCATCCCTAGCCCGGAGCCCCCTGCATTCAAACACCCTTCCAGAGCCTGCACCTAGAAGCCCCTCTGGTACCCCAACTGCCTACCCCAATCTCAGCTCAGAGCCCTTCTCACACTCCAAATCCCTTAATCCAAGACCAGAGCCTGCACCCCAACCTGCTGCCCCAGCCTGGTGAAAGGGAAGGAGGCAGGGGGAGGGAGTGAGGATGGAGTGTGCAGGAGTGTGGCCTTGGAGAAGGGGCACAAAGGAGGCAGAGCACAAGGGTATTTGGGTTTGAGGTAGATCTTGGCTTGCACTTAAATTCAAAAAGTGATTTCCTGCTTAAAAAGGTTGGAGACCACTGGTTTACACTTAAGAAAAAGATCCTCTTTTGTATCTGAAATTTCTGCCAGCTGTGAAAGTTTCAGAATTCTCAAGGTGTACGCCTGTCCTTTTGATCTGCTATTGGGAGCTTTTGTCTGCATGTTCTCTCCCTCGTTCCCCTCACCCACATATTTCTAAAGGTGACACTAAACAGCACGCTTTCCTTCAGACAATCTGCAGCGAAATGTAGTGAAAATGCAGGGAAGGAGTGTGAACATGGAGATAAGTGGAGCAGAGGTGGGAAGACCAGAGGAAGAGAGCAGAGACAACAAAATAAATTAAAACCAGAGAAATATACAGAAGAAGAATAAAGGTAAAACAGATAGGAAAAGAGTGTGATGAAGAGACACAGCAAATGTATTAGGGTGTATGACATGACAGGACAAGGGAGGTGGAACAGAAGGCACTGATCAATTGCAAGTGGTAGGGCTTCAACCAAAAAAGGCCTGGGAATTACTGTACTATCTTGCTGACTAGTAACAAACATGGCCTGTAACTGAAAGGGAGATATGACAAATGAACTCTCAGTTCTTTTCCAAGCAGTATTTCTTATGGTTTAGGTTTCCCCATCCAACTGTGTGCTAGATCTTCATGGCTTGTCTCTTCTTGGTTGCTTTCTCTAGCCCCTCTGCCCATGGATCATATTGAAAAGATGGCTGCAGAGTGCATGAAGGACCTGAATGAGGAGGAAAAGGAGGAAGATGAAGGTTTGGAGGAGGATACAGACCTTTTGGTATGTATTTTCTGCCAGTAGGATTCAGTCTTTCATGGAGTAAGTTCTGTGAGCAGCGAAGCCCATCAACTTTTTAAAGGGAAATTGAGACATGGCAAAACTTACAGGTGATGTAAACATTTTTTAATGGTCAGATCTATCCACATCAAGATGAGAACAGTACCTGGCTACAAATGTGCATGTGACTATGGTTCTTGGAGGAGGTAGGCAGAGAAGAAATTCCAGTCCATGTGAGTTAGGGAAACATGTCGGAAATCCTGCTAGCCATCCTTCTACTTACAAATCCTGCTAGCCATCCTTCTACTTGGTCCGAGTATGGCCAAGCCTAATAACCATATCCTTGAACTAAAGTGATTTTTGAGTTTATTAAAACATCTGTTGTATGTGACTTGACTGTGTGGAGAGAGCTCTAAATTACACTTACTACAGTCATTCATGAAGGGTGATTATTTGGAGGTTTGAAGTTGGGTTTTAGACAACCTCCAAAAAGATAAAATCCTTCTCTTAACTACTGCATGTTCTTCAGTCTTCAGGGAGGTACCCAGTGACAGAGTTATATAAGAGACCTTGGCACTGTTTGTTGGGTGGTTCTTTGAGTGTTTGTTCATGTCCATTCCAGTTAGGTGTCTGCACACATGTGCATGTTAGCCGCAAGATTGTTCCCCTGGCAGCTAGCTGTGTGACCCCTTGAGTGCCACCAAAATGGTGCTCAACATAGAGCCCTGCTGACCCCCTGCTCCCCAAGTTCCTTCTTTCCATCAGTGATGGCTAACTGGAACTCCCCTTTCTCTTGTTAGCAAGGGCAGCAGCTCGTTTGTTCCTTGTAGTTCATAGTTATAGTTATAAATGTAGTTTAGCTTTTTTTTTAATTGTTTAGTTTTCGGAATTAGTTAATTTTTGTTTGGAAGGTTTCCCCTTCCTCCCATGTGATCTGGCACCAAGGCATGCCCAGGTCTCTAGGCTTTAAAGCCCGCAACATATGTGCAAATGTGACCCCCACATTTCTTGTTTAAAGTGTCTGGGAGAGGAGCATCAGAATGACTGTTGCCCCATCTGTAAAACCTTCAAGCCCTGCACCTTAAAGGACAGAGATCAGTGCCTGAAAGTTTAGTTAATAGGGGCGGCTCTTTATCTTCAGCCAGACCACACACCAACAGATTCAGCACCAAGTTCATACTCTTCAGTGTACAGTGCACTGGTGCCATCAGCACATGGTCAAGAAGTTCTGAAGACTTCTTGGCACCTCATGGCTTTTCTTGATGCTCCCAGTGCTGGCACCTCTCCTAGTCAAGGGGAAGGTCCCCAGCTAAGAACAGGCTTAAGGTGAGACCCAAGTTGGGCCACCAGCCTATTGCGCTGCCTCCCAATGTGGCAGAGAAGCCGCAGACCCAGTGACTCCTCCACCGTCCACTCTCCCGAGAGTACAAAGGAGATCTGTCTGCCATCTACTCTTGAGGCTTTTCAGGCTGCCCAGGATTTGATGCACTCCGGGGCATTGTTTCCGTTGCTGGAACCAGTCCTGTTAAGGGCACCTTCCCAGGGATAAACTGGCCATGATGAGTTGATGCTCACCTTCCCCTGCATCCAGTTCTCTGGCATTTCAAGAGGATCAAGCCAGTGTTGCTTCCCATCCAGGCTTGGTGCTGAGAAGTTCCATTCCTCTGTGGTCATCCTTCATAGACAGATCTGAGTCAGAGTCAGACTCAGGGAGAGGTTATGTCAGAGCAAGAGGCTGATGTCCGTCAGAGACCGTCACCAACATATGGCACCGGGGTAGCAAGCGCTAACTCAGTAGCACTTTTGGACCCCTTTGGCTTTCCACCAAAGCCAAGACAGGAGTTAGGGCACCACTCCAGGGTGTTATCTATAACATCGGCTATGTTCATGCCTCCATTGGCACCGCCTCCATTGGCACCGTCAGCCACGGCACCAGCACCCCCAGCTCAGACACAGATCCAAATTTCAGCATCGCCATCGGTGTTAATGATGCTGAGACTGGCACTGACTCCAATCCCAGCATCAACACTGATGGGGGCACCAGCACCAACAATGTTGGTACCAATAATGATGGCACTAGCATAGGCACAGTGCCCATCGTCTGCACTGGCCCCTTTGGTATTGCCCACGGTGTTGTCAGTTCCTTTTGAGGCTGGGACCCAGATAGCACTCCTGGTGGTGACCACCACCTCTTCATTCTCCCCCTCCCCCCATGAGGTGTTGGCAGAATCTAAGCCAGCTCCCATTCAGAAGGACAATAAAGCATTGCAGCAGCTCAGGAGAGTGGCTCAGGACTTCAGTGTCCATGCAGAGGAAGTTGTAGAGGACACTGATCCCATGTTGGACATTTTGTCCTTTTCTGCTCTGGGCCATATTGCTCTGCTGCGTAAGTCCATCACAGAGACCACCAGGACTCTGTGGCTAACTCCAGCCTCTCTGTCCCCTAAATGTAACGAGGAGATACTCTGTGTCATCTAGAGGTTTTGAGCACGTCTACTCCTATGATCCTATCATCCTCTTGATTCTTTGGTGGTAGACGTGGCAAATCATTGGGAGCGGCAAGATTTCCAGGAGCACTCACCAAAAAACTGGGAGACCAAGAGGCTAGACCTTTATGGACAGGTTTACTCCACTGGCTCTAGGCAGAGTTGCAGGAAGTTCTGGGCAATGAAGATGAGACAGGAAGTGGTGAGGATGAAACCCTAGCAATGGAGGTGCTTGCAGTTCCGCCAGTAATACAGCAGCAACCTGAACTGTAGACTGTGTTTGAGGTTAAACTATAGATTCTGAAGCCAGGAGGTACATACGTTCTCCAGGGCAGTGCTTGTCCCTGTTGATTATCACTTTCAAGTTTCCCATGGGGGTGTGTTATTCTTATGCAAATTGGTGAATAGTCTACACTGAAACATTGCTTGGGTAAAAGGCCTTTTTTTCCCCACTGTAGCAGTGGAGAGGTGCTTTAGATCCTGCAGCATTTATTCATGTGGTGCTGAAAGTAGAGCATATTTTACAGTAAGTACCTCACTGATTCTTGCTTCAGGCAGAGTTGCAGGAGGTTCTGGGCAACGAAGATGAGACAGGAAGTGGTGAGGATGAAACCATAGCAATGGAAGTGCTCACAGCTCCACCAGTAATACAGCAGCAACCTGAACAACAGGCAGAGGTAAGAGAGAGTTCCACTGAATTATTTTTATTATGCAGTTTAAGGTGACAAGCTCACTTTATAGTCTTGCTTAGTTTATCATCTGTACATTTTCCAGTGGGAGCTGACAGTTTGTTGGTATAGTTAGGTTTCATGGTGCATTGCTTTTAGAGTGAATTTGGTGTTTGTGAAAATTAGGAATTAATAATACTAGAGCCAAATATAATACAGTTTGTAAGCTCTTTTGGCATGCTGTCTGTAACTCTCTTAGCACATCCATGATGTATAAATAATAGTAATGTGTGCAGACTTCCTTTGTACATCTTACAGCTCTGCTATTGCTCCTTAATCCCTTTGATAGTGTTCTCGTTACTAGTCTTGAACCTCCACACAGTTCTGCTATGCTACGTTACACTTACTAGTAGCAATACCTTGTTCTTTCATAGTGTTCTTCATCAGTAGATCTCAAAGTGCTTTATAGTGGAGGTCCGTATCATTATCATTTTACAGATGGCACAGAGAGGGGAAATGACTTGCTCAAGATCATGCACCAGACCAGGGACAGACCTGGGAATGGAACCCAGGTCTCTTTAGTCCCGGTTGAGGGCTCTGTGCACTAGACAGTACTGCCTCCCTCACACAACTAGTAATATCCTGTAAGCAATAAATAGCAAAATAGCGACGGCAAGGGGGAGGCACACAGCTACCACTATGCCTATTCCATTGGTTGAAGGAGAGTCAACATGAGTCCAAGAGGTTGTGTTTGTTTTCCACTTGGACTCAACATTTGTATTTGGGTCTGTTAGGTTAGAGAGTTCTACTGTACGCCATGCACAGATACCTTAGTCGTGATTTCCAATATCCTTTTTTTGTTTTTCGTTTGCTCCTGTCTCTGCTTCCTCCCCTCCCCAGATCTTTTACCTGTGCACCTGAATCCTGACATGCAGTAGCCACTGCTGTTTTAATCTGAAGCCTCTCCCAGTAGGCTGCCAGTGGTGCTGAGTTATACAGAATTTCAGAATTTATTTCCCTGTTGAATTTGTCTATGCAGGCAGGTTCTTTGTTCAGTTGTTGCTTTTTCTTCTGTTGTCACACAGTATTTATTTTCATGTATTGTGCGCATTATTTAAAAGAGCAAGGGTAGGTCTATATAGAAATAATGGTAATAATTACATCAATAGCCAGCTGACAGGTATTTTTGACTGCCACAGTGATTATAAGTTGGTAAATTGGGGGTAACTGTTTACTTATGTTGCATGTTTTACTGCGCAAGTGACAGACAGCAGACTTTCCAGCTTACAGAGGAAGTCTTGTATGGAAGCCAAGTTGTGAGAATCCTGGAAAAGTGTAAAGTTATCATGGTGAAGAAAACAAACATTCCCACCCCAAAATAACACCGAGCCCACCAGACCATATGCTGTCTGAAAGGCATCGCTGTAAGTCCTAACTATCCAGTCTCCAGTTAACCTTATGGCTGTACATTTTTTAAAGTACTCCACCCACTTCTCTCTATTGCTCCTTTCATAGGAAGCCCAGAGGTGGATCCAGGAAATATTAATGCAGTACAAGTGCCCTTCTGTTTCAGAAAAAAAATTCCATTTCATCCCTGCTATTTTGATTCCTGAGCCCTGTCTAGGTGTGTGTTTCTTGGTACAGAAAGGGATATGCTTTCTTTTCAGTGGCAAGGAGAAGCATGTGTAATTTGGGAAAGTAAATAATGTGTTTTACCCAGGGCCACCCACTTCTCCCCCCCGCTTTTTTTTTTTTTTTTTTGAGGTCACATCTCCTGCTGTTTCCAGTGAGTTGCAGCGGATGATAGAGGACAGAATTGCAAACTATAAAGCAGCAATCTTGAATGCAAAGGAAGCAGGCGAGAGTGGCAAAATACGACGGTACGAAAGAGGCCTGAAGGTATGTTGAATTCATTACACAAGTGAATGGCGGGGGAGGGAATCCTTAAGTGAAAGAGGAAAGTCCTTGTTAAATGTAGGTTAACATTGATCCAGGAATATTACTTGGTGCTTTCTGGGTGTGTGTAGGAGTGAAAAAGGAAACTGCATTATCTATTCATTTTTTATTTCTAATTTGAAGCAGTCCTGTCATATAGATCGAACTTAAAATGTAGGTTGTATATGAACATGATTTTCTAGGGTCAGTGGAAATATTTCCGTTAACTTTTCTTTATTTCAAATCCAAAGGGAAAAAATATTTAAACAATCCCTTGTAGTGTTTATAATCTAGTAGTTGTAGAGTTTTGCAAGTGCACATGAGTCAGGAAATAAGACTCGCTATAAACAGGAAACTGAGTAGTATATCTTCATCTTCCAGGATGATTAAACAGTAGAAATAGAAATTAAATCTGATTTTAAAAATAGTTCAGGTTGTTCTAATGTGGTGCTAGTAATACAGGGTAACGATTTTTTGTTTGAAAAAAGAGGAATACACTGTGTATTAGTCCAAATGTGTGTACATAGTGAAATGATGTCCCAGTGGCTTGCACAGGTGGGACAGCCACTGAATGCCAAAACTGAAGGTAATTTACATGCCATTTTTGGATCAACTTGTATCGCTGCTGAAATTGGTCCTGTGACTTCTGTGAAGGTCACACCCACTTGCAATAGGTCTGAATTTGATCTATTTTTATTAGTGACAGTGTGCCCCCTTTGAATAAATTATTGTAACTTCCCTCGCACATGTAGCTGTTTCCCAAGTAATTACCTTCTCATTTTGCTGAATCTCTTGTTTGCGATGAGGGAAGGAATCCTCTCTGAGTGCCTTAGCTGCCCAGTATCTCCCCCTGATATGGCAACTGTAGATTGCAATAGGAACAGTCTCATCTGGTTTTGGCACTTCTCAGCCAGGCAGCAGCATTTGCCATTTGAGTATGTGATGGCACATAATTCTTGCAAGAGGAGCCTGTTTCTTTGCTTCCCACTCTACTATGTCTCATACTGCATCAAGCTCCGTGTTTTGTTCCAAAGATTTAGTGCTCTGTGCTGCCCAGTAAGGGAAGAATCTTACCTCTTCTCGACTGCTAAATAGCCTGTGTACATAAGGGTATGAAAGAGAGCCAGACCTGGAGGAGAAAATGTGCAAACTGGGAATTCCATGTGCTGTCCAGTTTATTCTAGCCTTGGAGAAAATGTAAACGCAGTCATTCCCTAAGGGAAAAACCTATTAGGTGAAAACAAGCTTGCTTTATCCAGTCCAGAAATGTAACTCTCTTACTGAAGCTTGATATTTTTTATTGTTTTTCCAAGATGGGAAGTTTCCACACACCCTGGCACTGGCCTGTGAAGTCAATGTCATAGCTAAAAGTAGAGTTCCCTTCACAGTCCAAAGCTGTTCTTTGATTGTCAAAAAGACTTACTTCTTAGTATCATTCACAAAAGAATAACAAGCATATAGGGACAAAATGAGAGAGACTAAGGCATGAATTGAATTACACCTAGCAAAACAAATACAAGATACAATCTTTAAGTGCCTAGGGGGTAGGCCATGTTGAAAATGTGAAGGACGGGGCAGGCTGCAAATGGAGAGCAGATGCTACCAAAACTGATGATTGACACTGTTAGACTTGCTGACCCCAAACTGTGCATCTAATTCCTCACACTTGTTATCAAGAAGCTGAAAAAGAAATCATGTGACCACCTTATTACATTCCAGTTCTCTGGCCCCCAGTCAGCATAGTCTAGTAAATTGAAGAGCTATTTGAAACTACTCACTATACAGAAATGTACTTCTGATCCCCAAATGCCCAGCCATATTACCAGATCAGTATTAGTTTGGATTTTTCCCCAAAATACCATGCTGCTAGCTAGTCCTTTAGTACCTAAAACTAAAGATTTTTGCAGAAAAGAACAAGAGTTGCTAAATTGTCACAACAGTCAGATACATATACAACTTCATATATCAGGTTCTTATCAGCACTGGGGAGTTTGCTAGCATATAAAATCCCTCTGGAACACAGACATGTCTTGGATGGATCATTCAATCTTTTGTTCAAAGCTTCAGTTTGTAGAGAAGTTACTCCAGAAGTGGGAAGCAGGATGAAAGACAAAATGGAAATGATGCAGCTGCATTTTATGTCCTGTGCAATGTTGCTTTTACAGCCTTTGTCCCAAATACGAGCTTAGCATATGGCATGGAAAATACAAGCTCAGCACATCAGCCTATCCATAGGCATGTCCCTATATATACTGCTAAGTCATAAGTGTAACCTCTGCCTTCTCTCAGTGGGTTCATAGCCGATAGGTCATCAAGCATGCTGGATAGTGCAGATGCCAATCAAAGTCTGGTGGTATCGCCCAGAAACGCAGCACAGGTTTGAGATACAGATGTATCTCACACATTTCTTATTCACAATACAAAGATGGCATATACATATAACCATGATTATCATACTTAGCAAATCATCATTTTTCAACTGATTCATGTCTTGTAAGTTTTATTGCAATTTTATAATATTGGTATAATTAATATTACAAATGGTCACTCATATTCCATACAAGGCAATGCACTGACATTCTATAAATACATTAGGAGCAAGAAGGAGGAAAAATAAAACGTAGGATCCTCACTGATGCCACTGTTTTGCATCTTCACTAAAAAGGTTAATGGTGACCAGGTACTCAACACAATATTAACAAGGGAGAAGGAATACAAACCAAAACTGGGAAGGAACAGGCTAAACAATATTTAGATAAATTAGAGATATCCAGGGGCTGATGAAATTCATCCTAAACAACTTAACGAGCTACCTGAAGCAATCTCAGAACCATTAACACTTTGAGAACTCATGGAAGATAGGTGAAGTTTCAGAAGACTGGAAAAGGGCAAACACAGTACCTGTTTTTTAAAGGGGAACAAAGAGGACCCACGGAACTAAAGACCACTCTACCAAGCTTCAGTACAGGCAGTCCCCGGGTTACATGGATCCGACTTGCATCGGATCCCTACTTACAAACGGGGTGAGGCAACCCCGCACTAGCTGCTTCCCCCCAGCAGACCAGGGAGACGCGGAGCGGCTTTTCTCAGCAGACACCTCAGCTTGAGAATAAGGGACTGAGGGAAGTGAGGTGTGGGAGAATAAAACTGAGCTCTGGAGAAATGTTTGGCTAGAGTTTCCCCTACAATATGTACCAGTTCCGACTTACATACAAATTCAACTTAAGAACAAACCTACAGTCCCTATCTTGTACGTAACCCGGGGACTGCCTGTACTTGTAAAGATACTAGAACAAATTATTAAAACAGTTGTAAACACCTGACTGATAACTGGATTATAGCCATCATGGATTTGTGAAGAATAAATCATGCCAAACCAACCTGTTTTTCTTCTTTGACATGGATATTGGCCTAGTGGGTAGGGGGAAAACAATAGCCATAATATATCTTGAGTTTAATTAGGCTTTTTGATAGACTCCCACACAACTTTCTCATCATTCAATTTGAGAAATGCAGTTAAGATGAAATTACTATAAAATGAGTGCATTAATAGTTGAAAGAGTAAACTCAGAGTAGTTGTCTATGGTTCATTGTCAAACTGGGAGGATATATCAAGTGAGGCCCTCAAAGATCCGTCCTAGATCTGGTACCATTTAGGGAAATAATAGTGTAACCATTTAAACAGTTAGCCAATAAGCATCAGCATATTGGTTACCGTAACAGTTACACACCGGCTCCTGGCCTTGCTCCTAAGGAGCTGGCTGTGACAGAGCCAGCAGCATAGGATGGCAGCTAGCTTCCTGAGAGCAGGGCTGGCTTAAAAGCCATCCTCCCAGTATGCACCGACTCTACGGGAGCCTGCTGCCGCTCCACACTGCTGCCTCTTATCAGCAGGGCTGCAGATGGGAGCCAGCTTAAAAGCCAGTTCTGGCACATACTGGGTCCTGGGGAGATAGTTGCTGCCCTGCACTGCGGGCTGTGCAGTATAAAACTTATACTGCAGAGCCTGCAGTGCAGCCAACTCCCCCGGAGTGGGTCAAGGAACTGCAGCTCCTGGAGTGCACTGGCTGCTAGCCCTGCTCTCTCAGGAGCTGGCTTTGCTGCAGGCTCGGCAGTATAAGCTTTATACTGCAGAGCTTGCAGCATGTAACTGCTAAGATTTTTAAGTTACACAGTTCCCTAATTAACTGCTATTTGACATTCCTAGTACTATTCAATGCTTTCATTAATGACTTGGTAATGGAGTGAAAAGTGTGCTAAAAATCTTGAGGGGCTGCATGTACTTTGGAGGACAGGGTTAGAATTCAAAACTAATTTAACAATTTGGAGAACTGGTTTGAAATTAGGAAGATGAAATTCAATAAAGACTAAGTATAAAACACGTTTATTAGAAAGGAAAAATCAAATTCACAGCTACTAAATGAAAATAACTGGCTACATGGTAATATTGCTGAAAAGGACATGGGCTTTACAGTGGATCATAAATTGAATATCAGTAATTTGGAACAGTTTGCAAAAAAAAGCTAATATTTTGGGGGTGTATTAACATTGAGACCGTTGCTCTATATTCAGTTTTTGGATACCATACTTTTGGAAGTATATTGACAAATTGGAGTGAGTCTAGAGAGCTACAAATACAAGAAAAAGTTTAGAATATCATCTATGAGGAGAGATTAAAAAAACTGGTCATGATTAGAGCGAGAACCTAATAAATCTTCAGGTGTGTAAAGGGCTGTTATGAAGAAGACAGTGATCAGTTATTCTTTCCATGTCCACTGAATGTAGGACAAGAAGTAACAGACTTAATCTGCAGCAAGGGAGATGTAGGCTAAATATTAGGGGAAACTTTCTAACTGTAAAGGTGGTGGAAAAACTGGAATAGGTTTTCAAGGGAGGTTGTGAAATCCCCTTCACTGGAGGTTGTTCAAGAAAGGTTAGACAAACATCCATCAGTTATGGTCTGGGTTTACTTGATCCTATGCCAGCACGGGCTAGACTCAGTGACTTCTCAAGGTCTCTTCCAGCCTTGCATTTTTATAATGGATGTTCCTTTCCTATTCATGCCTCTTCAAACTGCATATGTTGATCTCATAACGCCCAAGTCTTTGCCTCTGAAGGACCAGAAGTGGTAGCTCAGACTCTGGATGTGTTTGGAACCCACATCTCCTACAGAGCTGGCCCTTAATAGCTATAAAAACATTACTTGTCAAACAGTGTGGTGATTGGTTGTCTGAACGTATAAATTCCAGCCTTGTCATTGTTTGGGTTTTTTTTAATGTTTTGTTTTAATTTTAGCCAGTGAGATGAATTGTAGTAGGTAACTTTATGTTCTGCTCTGAAGTCCATGTTACTTTTTTGGCTTTGTTGCCTAACCTGGGTGTTAAGAAGCCCCTGTGGTTAGAGATAATATTTGGTGTTAGGATAAAGAATTGAGCTGCTGTTGAGCTCTGTTACTGTCAGCCGATGGTCAGGACAGTGCGTTTGTGTGTTATACACCCGAGTCTTCAACTGCTGGGACACAAAGTCCTGTCGCAGCGGGCGGCCTTAGGGAAGATCGACGAGTGCCCCGAGAAGTTTAACGTCCGTGTCTTTGACTGCTAGGACCGGGCCCCTTCGTGGTGGGCAACCAACGGGCTGACAGATGCCCCAGAGTTTACAGGGAGAGCTTATTACACCTCAGACTTTGACTGCTAGGATACATGATCCCTTCGCAGCGGGCAGCCTAGTGAAGGCTGAGAGATGCCCCCAACGGATCTGTCCCCTGGAAGCGACACAGTCCAAATGCCCAGCTCTGCCTGTATCTTTCCCTTATGACCAGCTGGAGTTCTTTTTAAATTGCACTTGGTTGTGTTACAGCAACCGAAGGAGTCAGGTTAAAACTTAACCAGTTACAGGTTTATTAAAAAGGCTTATAGAGCATGTGGTTACAATGGCTATTGCTCTACTTCTTAACTGCTAGCAAATACAGATCTTAAAATGGTTACAAAGGAAAAGGAAGATAGGAAATAATGGTACCAAGTGACAGCTTAATCTTTAAAGAGCTCTAATACTATGTATATACTTAAACAAAGGACACATACAGGTACAATTTTTACCCCCTTCCGTGCCTCTCGACTCCAGCGTGTCAGGCCAGGGTCGGTCCCTCAATTCCTCGGAAAGACAAATACGAGGTGAGCGTCCCCATGGAACCTCGGGAGGTCAAACACATAACCCGGCCAGCAGGTAGATGGCAGATCAATGCTCAGAGTGAGTGGGCTGCTGGACCCATCTTTATACCCATAGGGGCCCGTATTCTCTTTCTCATCTAAGATGGCAAATTGTACTGGTCCGTCTTTGTGGCGCCAGTTCTTACAAGGGAGTTTCAAATAATTTACACTTGTAAGAGAGAGAGAACTAAATTAGGAGTACTGGACATTCTTTGCTGGGCGGGAGATTCCTCCCCCCCGGACGAGTGTGTGATCATATCAATATGGGTTTCAGTCAAGGGCACTCCTCGGTAGCCTCTTGGTCAGCAATTAGTTCGACCACCCTCTTATATCTGCTTACAGTTGTCCAGGGTCACTTGTGAGCTAGCATATCCGGGCCTCCTGTCAAGGCTTCAAAGACTGCTGATTTTACTGCTCTGTGTGCCCTGTATGCTTCCAGGCAAACAAAAATGGATGTTACGGGGCTACAGTTACTTAGCAAGGCAACTATGTAGCTCATGAGTTTGGAAATAGGAGCAGGGGCCTTTCATCTCTCAATTGCTGGTTTAAATCCACTTCTGGCTGTTATCATTTGACGGTTGCCTGGGATATGTGAAATGAGTTAGTTGAACTCGTTCCAGATCTGCTGAAGAGAGATCTGCGCTTGGATTAAGATACCACTCTGAACATTGTGTTTAAAATATACCTGTACTTGCTACAAAAACTAGTAGGCACTGAATAACTCATTTTTTAGAAGTCTGAGTTACAAAGGAATGATTGGGCCATAGATAGACTTGTCTTCTCGCTCTTAGAAGTAGGATCCTCTACCATCATGTATGTTGTGATACATTGCTAGGGTGACACAGAGGAAGCTTGTATTATATATGAAAGAAAATATAGAATCAAGTAAAAATTTTAAATGAGCCAAAATGTTCCATAGAATCTCTAAGGATAGTAATTCCATGCTCTAATAATAAGAATATAGCAGTATGGATATATTATCAACTACCTGATTAGGACAGTGATAGTGACTATAAAATGTTAAGGGAGATTAGAGAGGCTGTGAAATTAAAAAACTTGATAATAGTGGGGGATTTCAACTAGTTCTGCAATTTCCCATTTGAGTTCTTTCAGAACTCTTGGGTGCATGCCGTCTGGTCCTGGTGACTTGTTACTGTTAAGTTTATCAATTTGTTCCAAAACCACCTCTAATCTGGGACAAATCCTCAGATCTGTCACCTAAAAAGAATGGCTCAGGTTTGGGAATCTCCCCAACATCCTCAGCCATGAAGACTGAAGCAAAGTATTCATTTGGCTTCTCCACTTTTTTCACTCCTACAGTCCTTTTGAAATATTGGGCTTTAGGGGTGATCCTGGCAATTACAGACCAGTAAGTCTAACATAATTACCGAGCAAATTAGTTGAAACTATAGTAAAGAATATAATTGTCAGACACATAGATGAACATAATTTGTTGGGGGGAAGTTAACATCGTTTCTGTAAAGGGAAATCATGCCTTACTAATCTGCTAGAATTCTTTGAGGGGGTCTACAAACATGTGGTTAAGGGGGATCCAGTGGATATAGTAAACTTAGATTTCCAGAAAGCCTTTGACAAAGGTCCCTCACCAAAAGTTCTTAAGTAAAGTAAGTTGTCACGGGATAAGAGGGAAGTCCTTTCATGGATTGCTAATTGGTTAAAAGACAGGAAACAAAGGGTAGGAATAAATGGTAGGTTTTCAGAGTGGAGAGAGGTAACTAGTGGTGTTCCCCAAGAGTCTGTCCTGGGACCAATCCTATTCAACTTATTTATTAATGATTTAGAGAAAGGGGTAAACAGTGAGGTGGCAAAATTTGCAGATAATACCAAACTGCTTAAGATAATTAAGACCAAAGCAGATTGTGAAGAGCTTCGAAAAGATCTCACCAAACTAAGTGATTGGGCAACAAAATGGCAAATTAAATTTAATGTTGATAAATGTAAGATAATGCACACTGGAAAAAATAATCCCAACTATATGTACAATATGATGGGGATTAGCTACAACTACTCGTGAGAGAGATCTTGGAGTCATTGTGGAAAGTTCTCTGAAACCATCCACTCAGTGTGCAGTGGCAGTCAAAAACATCCACTCAGTGTGCAGTGGCAGTCAAAAACATCCACTCAGTGTGCAGTGGCAGTCAAAAACATCCACTCAGTGTGCAGTGGCAGTCAAAAACATCCACTCAGTGTGCAGTGGCAGTCAAAAAAGCAAATAGAATGTTAGGAATCATTAAAAAAGGGATAGAGAATAAGACAGAAAATACCTTATTGCATCTTTATAGAACCATGGTACACCCACATCTTAAATGATGCTTGAAGATGTGATCGACTCATCTCAAAAAAGATATATTGGCGTTGGAAAAGGTTCATAAAAGAGCAACAAAAGGGTTTGGAATGGGTCCCATATGAAGAGAGATTAAAAAGACTTCAACTTTTCAGCTTAGAAAAAAGGAGACTAAGGGGGATATGATAGAGGTCTTTAAATCATGACTGGTATGGAAAAAGTGAATAAGGAAAAGTTATTTATTATTCCCACATTATAAGAACTAGGGGTCACCAAATGAACTTAATAGGCAGCAGGTTTAAAACAAACAAAAGGAAGTTTTTCTTCACTCAGCACATAGTCAACCTGTGGAACTCCTTGCCAGAGGATGTGGTGAAGGCTAGGACTTTAACAGGGTTCCAAAAAAAGCTAGATAGAGTCATAAAGGTTAGGTCCATCAATGTCTATTAGCCAGGTTGGGTAGGAATGGTGTCCTTAGTTTCTGTTTGTCTAGAAATGGGTGACAGGGGAGGGATCATGTGAGGATTACCTGTTATGATCCCTCCCTCTGGGGCATCTGGTATTGGCCACTGTCGGCAGACAGGATACTGGGCTAATTGAACTTTTGCTCTGACCCAGTATGGCTGTTCTTATGTTCTAACACTGTTGATTATTTGCTCTATAGAGAAAAATTGCAGTGTACTGCTTTGTCAATCAGGCATCTTTTTACAAGCATTAAGACTCCCATGTGACCAAAAAATTAGAGGAAGGAAATATTAATGGTAGACATATTTAGAAGCTGTCTAAAAGAATGACGAGGAAGTTCCTGTTGTAAATAAGGAGAGGAGTTGACTGAGTTGTGAATGATGTGTATGTGATGGAAATGTCAGTAGCTGTTGACCTCTTCTCAATTTTTACTAGACACTGGAAACCATGCTGGCTGCAATGAAGAAGGGCAAAAAGGTCAATGAGGAAGAAATTCCGCCTCCTGTAGCCTCAGGAAGAAGCTCTAGTCCCATGTCTCAAGGCACAGGAGCTGTGCCAGAAAGTTTAGATGACCCAGCTAAGATAGTACCCAAGGAGAAAGTGAAATCCTCTACAGACCATGAGCCTGTTCATGATATGAAATTGTCTCTGGGGCCAGCCTCTCTACAAGGTCATGCTGCTGCTACTTCTGTCGTGGAAATGGGTACCATATTACAAGATGGTAAGTAATTACAACATGCCAGTCTTCCATGGAGCATGCATCTTCCTAGCCAGGTTATGATTCAATAATACATTACGCTTTTGTAGCTTTCTCAGGGGTCACACAATTGAGTCAGTTTTGCAGTCAGGAGTAGAACTTGGGAGATCTGACGCCCAGATTTCATTGTAAAGTTATACTAGAGTCACAGGATGTAGACTACCCAAAGGTTCCTTCTTCTCAGGCATCTATTCATGTCTCATTAATGGTCTCCATGCCTCAGTTTCGTAGTTGATAAATCATGGCAAAGCTTACCTGCTTACAGAGGAGCTGTGAGGCAAAATTCACTGTTTTAAAGAGCTTTGTGCTCTTAATGAAGGCACCATGGAATTGCACAGTATTGTTTTCAGCCATTGTCACTGGGATTGCCACGATTGGCAGGACTTATGGGGGATGTTCCTGGAACGAATCTACTCTACATAATATGAATGTCAATCAAAGCTATTCGGAAATAAGGGATCTTGGTGTGTAGGAGAATGTCAAAGGATGCAGATATCGAGTGCTTGTGTAAGTCTTTATTTCATTCTTCTGCAGATTCCCTAAACACGAGCACACGGGCACTGTTGGTTACAAGACAGAAAGAGTATAAATTGGCAGCTCTGAAAGCCAAACAGCAAGGAGATCTAGAGAAGGCAAAAGAATATATGAAGACTGGCAAGGTATGGTATTCACAAATCAAGCTTCTGTGTTAGGAGTCTGAATCCTCGCAAATGCTCTCTGTGCTGCAGGTTTGTTAAATCTTTTGAAGGATTACCTGGTTGATCCAAATAATCACAGATAGTTTCTGAACACATAAGTCTCCTTTGGCTTTATTTTTCTGTTTTTTTTTTTTTTAAATAGAAATTTACAATGGTCTTAGAGGCATTGGACAGTGGACAGCCAGTAGACCTCCAGGATATGCCCCCAGCTCCACAAGGTAAGAGCAGAAGAGTTTGTTAGATGGAGATTTCTAACAACTAGACTTTTCTAGTAACAAACGGGCATAATGAATTGAAGCACCAGTGTTCATTTTAAAATCACTTTCTTGAACTGTCTGGATCAGAAGTGAGTGCTGAGAATCCCAGCTTCACAACGTGTGGTGGTTCTTGAACTCAATATTGTGGACCAAAGAGCCTCTTGTGGACACCTTCCCTATCAGTCCTGATTCCAGACATTCCATGCATTATCATCATGGCTATATGAGAGAGCAGTACTGGAACAAGATGAATGAGCCTAGATGATGATGATCTTACTGTAGTTCAGTGGGTGCAGCTGCTTGATTTTGCCCCCTCCACTTTGTATGTCTTTCGCATACCCCACCCTACCCTGAGGAATAGGAATTTACATTCTTAGTACTGAATCTTTCCTTGTTTCCACTAACCCTTTTCCTCCCTTTCCTTCTCTTAAATCTGTTCACTTCAGTGGCTTGGTTATCTCCTGCTAGATGTCTTCCATTCTGGTGTCCATAAATTGTACTCACACCAAATAAAGTTTTGCAGCCCCATATGAGAGACCCTGCCTTCAAGTCCTCCTGTATCTTTTGAGCATTAAAAAAAAAGACATGTAGAAACCTGAATGTTTTTTACTTGCCTACACATAGCAGGAAACATCCATCCTTGCAGGATTGCATGGTTTTCCATTGTGAGAGAACCTTCTGAGTAATAGAAACACTGATTTAAGTGACAGCTCGCAATATGTTCCTTCCTTTTTTAAAACTTCTCTTCTGAAATTCATCTTTATTTCCATCTCCCCTCTGCCACAACACTTGATTTTTTTTTACCTAAATTTATTGGCTGCTCTTAAGGTAATAGCTAAAACAAATGATTTAGTGCATATACCTGGGGTGGAGAATCTAAGGCCTGGGGGCCAGATGCGGCACAGTTGGCTTGGATCTGGCCCTTGAGGCACCAGGCTCATTGGAGAGCCTGCGCTGGTACTGTTGTCCCCCTCAGGGTTGGAGCTCACAAAATCTACTAGCCTGGGCCTTCTAAGGCTCTGGTATGTGGGGAGTGTCTTTTCCCTTCTCAGTTGGGAGCCATGTCCGCAGCCCTGATCCAAAAAAAGTTCCCCACCACTGGCATAAACTATTTTCACACTTCTCAGAATTACGGGTTCCAATTTATATCAGTTGTAATATCATAATTATTGTAGATTTTAGTGGCAGGAGAAATGAGAACAAGACACTAATCAGAATGGTGTCACTTTTAAAATCTATCACATGATCTGACAGTTACACACATTTGGATGGACAATAACCCTTGCTTTTAGGATTAGTAGAAATTTCTGATCCTGAAACAAACATGGTTAAAATATTCCAGTCCTGCAGCAGACAAACAGGATAAATCATACTCCCGTAACACTTGATCTGTAGAACTCAGTGCTGTAGGATGTTGTTGAGGAAGCTTAGTAAAATTCAGAAACATAATCAGACATGTATTTAATTATGAAAAACATCTGTAGTTACAGTAGCTAAGATAAAAATAAAAGATGTGAATCCTTAGGGTATAAGATGATCACTGGCTGGAGGCAGAAGAACATTTGTCCCTGTAGCATAATAATTTATAAGTAAATATAACATTTGGGGAATAATGGGGGGAGATTACCTTTTAAAGCATCCAGTGTTGGGCACTGACAGAGCTGGAATATCTTAACAGGTGTGGTTATTTATCCTTCTGTGGAAGTAAATCATAGAACTCTCTGCTATATGCCAAAAATTCCTACCTAATGTAGATTTTAAAATTGCCTCTTCTCTCACAGATCTTGAAAGTCTGAAAAAGACACAAGTTCCATCAAAACAGACGGCATCTGTTCCCGTTGAAAATTCTCACCTCCTCACAACGTTGGAACCTCAAGGCCATGAAGCCTCAGGTAGGATTTGTAAAATAAGACTTTTCAGCCATTGTCTCTGGGATTGTCACGATTGGCAGGACTTATGGGGATGCTCCTGGAGTGGATAATAAACGTACATTGTGATGTTACACCGCATAGTCTTAGAAATATGCTAATGGTATGAATGTGGAATAAATCAGATATATTTGATGCAAGATGTGTCTTGAGAGATCCTTGGAAAGGTTTTAAATTACTGAATGAGATTATCCAATTTGTATGTGTGTATCACTTCTGTATCTAGAATTAGAAATATTGGCTATGTAACAGTTACAACTGTGGTTACACATGGGGAATGTCCACCAGACAGTAAGCAATCAGCCTGGATTGGCCATTAGGAAAGATAATGGGTCTTTGAAGATGTTTGATCTTCAGTGGTCCCAGAGTTTCTTCCTGGGGACATTACAAATCAGCCTTGGCTCATGATTGCTTTAATAAAGCAAGATCATGTGGTGGTGTCATCTGGTATGAAATAACCATCTGGACACTGCTGGTACTTTTCCACTGGAAAGGGAGAGGCTAGCAAAAAGATTCCCAACATAATGTAAAGCCTGCTGAATATACCTGAAGAAACAAAGAGACTAAGCTGGGGGAGGGACAGGGATGAGCCTAGATGAGGAAAAATTAGCCTTTAAAAGGAATCCTAAAGATTTAAGCTGCAAGCATTGCTGTTTACTTTCAAGAAACTTTGCAGTCTGCTTGAAACAACACTTAGGGTGAAAAATTACTTGTAGCTTGCATTCCAGTATATTAAGCTTAGTTTGCTTGTTTTATTTGCTTAGTAATCTACTTTGATCTGTATGCTATCTCTTATAATCATTTAAAATTTACCCTTTTTAGTTAATAAACTCATTCTCTGTGTATTCCTAAACTCATTTGGTGCACTTCTTAATGCGGGGTGGTGGTGGTGGTTGTGGGGGAGCTGTGCTTGTCTTTCTCCACACTGAGGGAGAGGGCAATTTTCATGAGTTTATGCTAATTCACAAAGGAGGTGCAGGCAACTGTCTAAAATCTTTTGTGCAATCAGGTTTTCACTGAGAAAACCAGCGTTTTCCTTCACTCTCTGAGAGATTCTTGGGCCACTCTCTATTTGCTGGGCATCTACACATTAAGACAAAAGAGGAGATTTTAGTCCTTAGTCCAGGGGTGGGCACGAGTCAGCTAGCTGCTGGATCTGGCCCGTGGCCACCTCACAGGCACCTTTACTACACAGCAGCTCTCGCTGTTTTAAACAGCTGACTGCTAATTGCTCTGCAAACTTGGGAAGGATGGGAGAATTTGCACGCTGTCCTTGCCCCAGCAAAATCCCTCAGCTCCCATTGGCTAGTTTCTGGCCATTAGGTGCTAAGAAATTTTGGTGAAGGCAGAGGCAGAGCGAAGCCTCTTTCCACCCTCCAGCTTTGAAACAGGGAGACTGATTTTTGGCTCTCAAACTTTAGGATGCATATTTTCATATCTCAGTCATACTGACTCTCAGACGAATTCTTAGAGTCACTCTGGGACAAGACAGTTAACCCGAAGGGGAGCACCCTATACGGATATCAGTCCCAAAAGTATTTTCCAAGTTTTTCCTCTACAGAGGTGGCCACTTATACTTCCAAGGAATCATGATCTATCTTTATCTAAACTAGTGGTTCCCAAACTTTTCAGCATCACGCCCCCTTTTTGATTTTTGAAGCTCCCCTCCTCTTCCCCCACCCCCCAGGAATTTCTTCATGCTTCCCCACCCCCCAGTTTGGGAACCTATGATCTAAACAATTGCCTGCTCAGAGCTCTGTCTCTCCAAGACTTGGACTCACTGAGACATCAGTGCTACTATTTGCTTGTTTACAGAACTGGGCCTGCAGATGAATGCCCAGAAATCAACCCTCACTCCACTGTAGCACCTGGAGTTTATAGGGACAGACCTCGACACTCTGTGGGACAAAGTCTTCCTATCTCAGCACAGGTCTTTTCTCTCTCACTCACACTCTCACTCTCACTCTCACTCTCACTCTCACTCTCACTCTCACTCTCACTCACACACTAGCAGAGACCATTCAAAGCAGCCCTCAAATATCAGACAGACATTTCCCACAACTTTTGGGGAATGTGGCAGGGGCGCAGTGGTAATATCTCATGCTGGGCTTCACATGCAGTACCTTCAGAAGTGGTTCAGCTTGGTTTACAGAGCAAACAGGAAGAGATTAAACAAATCCCTGTCACTACCCAGCAGGGTCAGAATCTCCCTAGAACAGTGGAAAGACAAAGCCAACGAGGGATCCCTTTTGAGCAAAAACTCTGTAGTTGCTTCTCATTTCCAGTGCATTGCTCATAGGGTGGGACATACATGTAAATGACTGTCCAACACAAGGAAAATGGTTACCTGTTAAGTTATCCCTCTATGTCAACATCCTTGACTGAAAGAGATCAGGAATGTCTGCGTCTACTTCCTGCCACTGATAAAAGCGTCACACAAAAGTACTAACAGACAACATTGCGCGTATGCTCTACATAAATTGACAAAGAGGAGTCTGTCTCCCCCAAAATTTCCTTGCAAAGACTATGGAACTGGTGTTTCTCCTTCAGTGTCACACTGCCAGCGGCTTACCTCCCAGCTACACAGAACATAGTGATGGACAGTCTCAGTCAAATCTCCATGACCTCTGTGACTCTTCCACTCATCTTAGACTATGTACTGACCCTAAAAAGGTTCAATAAGTGTCTTTCTGCAAACACAGCTTCCCTGTGTTATGTGGGACTTTAATCTGGTACTGAAAGGATTGACCAGGCATCTCTTTAAACCCATGCCCACCTGTTCACTTATGTAACAGGCCAGTCACCATGCTCCCTGGGAGAGGTCTGGGGCTATGAAGCAAGCAGCTGCGGCATATAGCAGCCAATTAGGGCCCAGCAGGAGATGTATAAATAAGGGTTCCTGGAGAGGAACTCTTACTCTAGCTGTGGAGCAAGGACCTGGCTGCCGGTAGGCTAGAAGGGTACTTGATGCAGAGAAGAGGTGGGGCAAGGCAGGCAAAGCTGGGGAGCTCTGGCCAGGTATACACTCAGGTGGATGCCTTGCTTTCAAGGCCTGAGGCTACAAGGGCTGCAGAGAGAAAGTCAGGGTAACAGATCCACCCCCTTATTAATGAGTGGTTGTGTCAAATTGCAGTTTGCCCCTTGCAGTGGGGCACTGAAGCAAGGGGGGATTATAAGGAGTTGGAGTTGCACGGGAGGGGAGGACCCTGGAGTGGAAGGACACTGCTGTGGAGCAGTACTGTGAGGAAAGGGCACCATGGTCTGGGAGGCTCATGGAGCCTGATCCAACGTTGAAGGCAAATAACTGAGGGTAATGCACTGGCCAGCAGAAGGCGTTTGAAGGTTGAAGAGCTAATTCTGAAGGAGACCAGCAGGAGGCACTGTTGCAGTGAGTCATGACCCTGTTGCAGCTTACCTCAGTAAAAATGGCCTTCCTGCTTAGGATTACTTTGGCCAAGATAATGGGAGAAATAGTGGCACTTCCTCCCCACCCCCTATATTCTTTTGGGATGAGGTTACCACATCCAAAATTCAACCCTGAGATGAATGAATGAATTCACCCTGAGGTTAGCCTCCCTGTTTCATATGAACCAATTTAATCTTCTTCCAACCTTTTATTCTAAGCCTCACTGAGACACCAGAGAAGCTATATTACATACCCAAGATGTCAGGGGGCCCCCTCACCTTTTACCTAGATAGAATGAAGACCTTTAGGAAGCCCCACAGATTTTTACTCTCCTTTGTGGAAAGATCCATGGGCTTGGCAATATCAGCCCAAAGGCTCTCCAATTGGACCTCAATCTGTAACTGACAATGTTGCCAAGTTAGCAGTGTGCTATTCATACACATTCAACAAGGTCAGTCTCCTCATTGCTTGCCTTTTTGAAGAATGTCCCTATCTCAGAGATCGGTGGAGCAGCAATATGGGCATCTGTCCACACCTTCATAGAACATTATGTTATGACCTAGGACTCTGCCTCCAATACTGTCTTTGGCTCCACAGTACTGTCACCTGTAACTAACCCGATTCTGAAGTCCCAGCCCTCCTATACAGGTACTGCTAAGGAGTCCTCTACAGTGAAACCATCGCCAAGAACAATACTCAAAGAAGTTGTTGTTCACCTGTTCAGTAATGATGGTTCATTGAGATGGGTGCCGCTATGGCTGATTCACAACCCACCTTCCTCACCTCTACTTTGGACCTCTAATCCAATAACTTTCTGGTATAGAAGGAACTGAGGAAGGTTAGCCCACATGCGATGGCTAGCCTTGTGTCAGGACACAAGGAGAGATGGTCATGTGCAGGCACGACAGACCATGCTACCAAAATTCTCTGATCAGCAGCACAGGGACACAAGCATGCCTACAGCGGAGCTCTCATGGGGACGTGCACTGCACATAACTTCTTTATGAATAAAGAAGTTTAACTCTTAGTAATAAAGCTCTGTGTAGGGTTCCAGTTCTGTGTCTGGCTCTGCAAGAGATTGGGGATGGTGTGGAATGGAGGCAGCTGACACATGTTCTGAAGTTTCAATTATGTGGCATTTTATTGTTTATATTATTTCAGTCTCTCCTCTGCAGCCAAAAACTGTGCTGGAAGCTTTGCAACAGAGATTGGAAAAATACAGATCTGCAGCGGCACAGGCCAAAGCAAGTGGAGATGATCGGAAAGGCAGGATGCACGAGAGGATAGCCCAGGTAAAATGAAGCACAGCAAGTAGCTTAACTTCAGAAAAGGTATATGAGTTCATTGCCCTGGAGTTGGCCAACAAAGTGTTTAAATATTTGATGTGTGTCTTCCTGTCAGTTGCAATGAGCTGAAATAGTTAAGCTGATGCTCTTTTCTGCGTAGCACTTCTGTCAATTAAATGCTTTATAAATTGTGCATAACATGGCATTTTATTCCTCCAAGTAGAACCTTGGTTTTTACAAGGTTTCCTCTGAATAGGAACTTAAACTGCCTATAGAATGTAAGGTTTACAGGAGTCTGAGAATGTGAGAAGAGGATCTTTAAAACATAATGTTTAGACTCCTCAGCAGCATAGTAGACTCTCAATCCATTGTAACCTTTTTGATGCTGCTGCTTGTGTGCCACTGCAGAAGATGGTGAGGCTCCTATGAAGGTCGGTGCGTCAGTCCCCTAACGCATCTAATGTATGTCACGCAATTTGTACGAGGCTCGGTGAGACATAAGCAGTTAATGTGTGCACTTGTAGAAATCAAGGGACCTAAGACTCTACTCTCCCATTTCCGTGGGCTTGAACACAGAGACATAAAAATCTAAGTGGTCGCTGTTGTATGTGCAATGGTTGGTGCAGAATTGAAGGCTCACCAAAAAGAAAAAAGACTGGACTGAAAAATTATGTTGAATTATCCTGTCCTTAGAATTCTGAAGCTTTTTGTGGACACGCTTCTGCCGGGAAATCTCTTATTTTGTAATGTGTTTTTTGGTGAGTGTAAGGGAAAGGCTCATTGCCTAGGGCACTTATTGTCATGTCCCCCTTACCAGTAATGGAATCTCTCTGCACATCCCCTCCTCCCCCAAATGCTGCACAACCAAGGATTCCTCAGAAGAGGAATGTGGGCTGTGTGCAGAGCTGAGGATGGGGAAGGAGTTGGGTTTAGGAGGTAGAGCTGGCCTGGAAGCAAAGAGGGACTGTGGCTGTGGGGCAGGCCTATGAGGATGGGGGCAGGGGAAGGACTGCGGGTAGAACTAGGAGCAGATATGGGTGGCACTTGTTTCCTGCCCTTCATGGGGGCTGACCCAGGGCATGGCCCCTGAAGGTTCAAGGGATAACAATACAACTTGGGGACTACTGGCCAAGGACGTGGTGAAGCCACTAGAAAGAAAGATGAGACACTTTGTTCTCTGTCTGCATTTGTAGCTTCTGCAGCTTCCCTCAAGACCCATGCAGGTCCTGGCAGTAAGTGCAAGAAAGTCATGTCTGTTTAGAAAACCTGCAGTGCACAAAGAACTTGGAAAGCAGCACATGACTTTATAGCACAATACTGTATATTCTGCACAAATTTTTCTTAGTTTAAGCATGAAATGACTGCTAACTTAACAATAGGTAAGTCCAGCCTATGCCTAACCAGCATCTCTGATTACAGCAATACCAAGATGCCATAAGAACCCACAAAGCAGGGAGAAAAGTGAATTTTGCTGAGTTACCAGTTCCCCCTGGTAAGTGTTCTCTGATATACCCTATCACCAACATTTCCATTATTTAAGCCCCAGAGGACTTCTGGCAGTATTGCTTCAATAGTCCATTGAGCTTTTCTTCCTGTTCCATATTGAGGAGGCTGGTTTGGCTGTATGACAGCATTGAAGAATATGCTTTAGAATTGCTTTCTATGCTTGCTACCTTTTTCACATGGCTGCATATTCTTGGCCATTGATCTTGTCTTTTAGGAAGTGTGAGCATTTGAACAGTGCTCCAGCTGGCCCTACTCAGACATGTTGGAGAGCATGATTTAACAATGCGTGTGAGCAGTTGCTCCCTATCCCATTCACCAGCCCAGCTTGAAGGAGAGGAAAAACTGGGAATATTTGCTCTTAGTTCATTTGCAGGGAGTTGTGAAATCCCTGGAGATGTTCTAGCAGGTATTTCCAGTTCTACAGTAGGCATAAGTGTATTTACACCTATTAAATATACCTTGCAACAACCCTATGAGGAAGGCCAGTGTTGTCATGGTTACTTTGTTCAGGAAATTAAGGCATGAAAGCAAAGTGATCAGGCATGGTCACATTAAAAATCAGTGGCAGGGCCAGAAATAGAACTGAGAGCTAAGCCACACTTCCTTTTTCTGTTCTCTTTAGTTAGTGTAAGGAATGATCCTGCATTCATAAGGGGATGGATAATGTGGCCAAATGGAATTCTCTGTCTCTAACTTCAACTATTCTATATCCCCTATCATCACTGTGTATCTGAACTCCATGGTATCATGCCTTTGATCACCATGCCCAGCTTTCTCTTTCCATGGGATGTACTTGGCACTGCAGCCTATTTAAATCCTTGTCAGGTTTTTTTTAGTGATTTTAATGGTTTAATGTGTTTTAAAAAAATAAACCCAAACAGAATTTGTAAAACACGGCCTGCTTCCTGGTAAATGTCAGTGCCTTTAAGAGGAAACTGCTATGTATATAAATCAGTGGGAAAGTAACATCATTCCTAAAGTTCTTCAAACATCTTGGCTACGTAAATGTTTTCCAAACAAGATTTTTAAGGCCATATGTTACTTATACATGAAAAGCTAAGTATTAGATACCCACTGAAATCAGCAATGTTGTGTTAGAAGCAAAGGATATTTGTATACATTTCACTGAATCTCAATTTTCATAGGTGCCAGACACAATAGCTTTGGAGGCAAAATCCTCTGTGTAGTCATGAATCAGGTGCTGCACAGTCTGTTCTACAATATACCTCAAATCTTCCCTGTGCTCTGGACTAGCTATCTAGGGGATAAGTTTGGTCATAGTCAGTCCTTGGCTTGTTTGCTAAGAGTAATAACAAGAATGGTTTTATCAATGTGAATGCCACCAAGCAGCCATCTTATAGTGGTAATTCTGGGTCACTACTGACCCAGGTGGATTTGAACTGGTGACTTAGAAATTAAAGACCTTGTCTCCCATTAGCAAAGCTTTTCACTACCTTCAAAAGGACAGAAAATTATTTTGTAATGAGTTAACATTTCTTAACTACTGTGGTGCTGCTTTTGCTGAAACTACTGAGTTGCAGTGGGATGTAGCATTGCGCTGATGTTCCCGGAGAGTACACACACTAATACCTCTTTGGGAAACAAGGCATAACAGGGATCAGAGATTACACAAATCAGGGTTGACTGTTCAGTTGTAATCCTGTGTGTTTAAAAAAAAAAAAAAAAAAAAGCACCCTGCAGCTAGAAATCAGTGCGTGTTTGACAGTCCAGCAGTTTGTGAATTATTATTGCTGGGAATGTTTAATACCACTTGGGAAGTTTTCAAATAGTTCATATGGACAGGGGGGAGGGATAGCTCAGTGGTTTGAGCATTGGCCTGCTAAATCCAAGGTTGTGAGTTCAAGCCTTGAAGAGGCCATTTAGGGATTTGGGGCAAAAATTTGTCAGGGATGGTACTTGGTCCTGCTGTGAAGGCTGGGGACTGGACTCGATGACCTTTCAAGGTCCCTTCCAGTTCTAGGAGATAGGCAATCTCCATTAATTAATTAATTTATTTTAATTTCATAGTGTTTGTCTCTTCTGCCTTTTGTGATTCATGAGGCATTGAATTCTAAAGTTATGTGGAAAAGATTTTCATAGTGTTAAGCTGTTAGATGATGATAAATAATTTCAGAACCATTGAGCTTGTTCAAACAGTAGTGGCAGTACTTCAGGAGGTAGTGATAGAAAGATTTGGATCCCTGTGTAAAATTCAGGTTTTGTTTTATTTGGTTGTTTGAACCATGTCTCCTTAGGATTCCCCCCCATTCCTGGTGTGACACCCACAGATGGTGATGGTACAATAGCTGCCGTGCTGGAAAGTGCCAACCATCTGGCTAACCTGGAAGAGAAAGAGGATGAAGATGAAGAGGTGGAGGTTTGAATTTCTTACCAATATGTATAATTTTTTTAAAGACACATTTTCTGGTGGGTGAAGACAAAGCTATTGATTTCCAGCCTGGGAGGTACTGTAATAAAATGACTCTCTTCTGGAAGCCTGAAAAGTACAAGTTTCTGGTCTCTTGAAGAGACAGTAAGAATCAGCTGGGAGTGTAGAGGTGGGGAGATCTCCTGATGAGGTGAGTTGCAAACAATACATCATATATGAAAGACCTAGAATTGTTTTAAAGGGTTTTATAGGACCATAGTTTGACTTGCTTTTTTTCCTTGATTATTTCCTTGTATCCATTTATATGTGGTTTTTTTGTGTTCAGAACAACTGCTTCTATGGTGGCTATTCCTCCTTTAACACTCAAAAGTTTTCCTTGGTGGTTCAGAATTTTATATGCTCACCAGGACACTTGGGGCTTACATACTGTCTAGCAATCTATACGTACCATAAGATTTTGGATTGATTATGCTACTGATGAATTTGTATCATATTTTCAAATGGAGTGTAATTTTTAAATAGTGAAAAATATCATGACAATTCATTTCCTGCCTTTGCCTCTCTTTTGAATTACCATGTTTAATCTGTTTCTTGTGCAAGCAAACAGCCAAACCTGGCATGACATCACTTTTAGACTGAGAGTTAAAGTGGCTGGCTGGGGACTTCTGCTACTCACAATGTAACAGCAGAAGTCTGATGTAGTGCACTGTGTCATTAATGTTTTGAGTTGCCTGAGCCTTGTATTGGATTTTATGCGTTTAACATTTAGTTCTTTTTGCCATGCTAGAATGAACCTCCCACACAGGCCCCAGTTGCCAAGAAGCCTGCTCAGCTGCCTGAGAAGCCAACACAAATTGTTAAACCAATTATGGTGCCATCTGCTGTAGCTCAGGAAGACCACTCTTCTGAGAGTGTGAAAAAAGTTGCAGCACCAGGCAAGTACCAGCATCTCTCTCTAGCTGGCAAGGATAAAGAGATGTTCACTCTCACCAAATCCACATAGCATTCCATTTGGATCAAACATTCTTAATGTTTTCTTAGAGTTTTAGGGAAAAAATACTGCCTGTAGACATGAACATGTGGCTCGGATTCACTTCAGCAGTAGCCTTACTCCTTTAGGGCAGATCGAAATCTTTTGAGCAGTTCTGTTTCTGGGAGGCAAAGTGGGTAGAAAAATGATACTTCATTGATTCTGATACAATACATTTATTGATTCATAATGCTTTTCTCAAGCCTCTCTGCTGAGTATGAAACTGAAAATGAATTCACGCAAATTTGTTCAGTTTGCTAGTCCAGACAGTCGGCTGAGTACAGGAGATCCCCGATTTGTGACACGGTTCGTTCAGGAGGAAGCATCGCAAGTCGTGGGCGTTGTAACTAGAACTTGCATGTATGGTAGGCGCTGTGTGCTGTTGTAAATTCGGGCCGAGGACATAAGTTGGGGGTTTCAGGCCCCTTCCACACTTACAAAAATGATTGTAAGTGTGGGGGTTGGAACTCGGGTGGTCGCATCTCGGGGGCCTCCTGTACATGCAGTCTTCTCTGTCTCACAGTAGCTAATGCAGTGAAGTAGTGTCTGCTTCTTTTCATTTGAGGATCTCAAAGTGTACACAAATTGTAATGAATTCATCCTGACTAGTTGATTAACTGATAGCAGTTGCTTATCGGATGGTTGATTAGTGACTGGACTAGTCACTTCTCCCCTCCCCTTGCTGCCTCTTGTCAGAGAGAGGCAGCAAGTGTGGGGGAGCTGGAGCCAGCGCTAGGGGGAGCCTGCTTAAAAGCTGGTTCTTCTCCCTCCCCCAGCACCATCTCCGCAGGGAGACAGGAGGCAGAGACATAGCGGGGGACTGGGCATGAGCTGGGAATCAGCTGATTCCCAGCTCGTGCCTCGTTTGCCCCACCCCGCATTTGTGCTTTTTAAATGTGTTAAGAGCCGAGAGCTAACCCCACTGGGGCTCTGCAGTTCCCTCCCTTAATCAACTAGTCGATGGACATTCCATCGGCTAGTTGATTATCAGATTAAATGCCATTTAACATCCCTAATCCTTATTAACTTTCTGTCAAGTCAATAAACTTATCTGTACAGTATTCATTTTACTGTTGAGGAAACAGAAGAAAAGCGGTAACATTTGATTTGCCTAAAGCTACACAGTAAGCATGTGATTTAGTGGGAATGACATCTAGGTGTCTTGATATCAAGTGCTGAGCCTTAACCAGAAGCCTAATCTTTTCTCATTCTACATTTGGTAGATTGTTCAAACCTAAGCATGACTTTCACAGGGCCCCTCTTGCCATTTGTGGTATAGAGGACTTGGGGAGTGAGGATGTGTTCCTGAATTTCTCACTCTCATCATCATCTTTTGGGTGAAATTCTATGGTGCGTTTCATCTAAGAGGTCAAGAGAGATTATCAGTATTATCCCTCAAGCCTTAAAAATATGTGAATCTGTATTAGTTTGGCTTCCCTATTTTTGCTGCTATAGTTGGAATGTTAATGAACATTTAAATGGAGTCCCTCAGCTGTAATTTGTCAGTTATGGAATTGGGGTTCCTCTCACTTTCACTAAAATATTAAAATAATACATGGTCTCTTCAGTCTAGCAAAGGTGGTGAGAGTAGAAAGCTTTTGCTCAGGCCACTGTCTGCAGAGCTTTCATGAAGATCTGATTTCCTTCTCTACACCCCACTGAGCACACCATGTTCTGGCTGCTTTGGCTCAGTTAAAACCAGGGCAGACAAGCCTGTCTAATTGGTTTGGATTTGGATGACTGGCTAATGTGCATATAACAGTGATGCTGCCAGCTTTTCTGTGAGGCAGAGACTAAATGTCATTCGGTATGTTCCTTCTACTGTTAATAGTGCCATCAGCCAGCTCTGTGTATGGTCAGAAAACTACCTCCTGCAAGTATCTAGCTTGTATAATAACATTTGATTATGGTAGTGAGTGGGCATAGTGTAAGAGTAGAGGGGAAAGGGTCGTCAGCTCACTTCATGCTTCTTTCTCCTATGTCAAGAAAAACATGGAAAAAGTAGGTAGGATTTGGTGCACGGATTATGTAAATCTTTTCTGAGTCTTACAGCAGTTCCAGCTGTTCAGTGTTGGGAAGAGGTAACCCAAGAATTAGTATAAACAGGGTATAAAAAAGCAGGAAGAAGAATGAGCTGTGATGGTTGTGGTCTTAGTATGCCTTCCAATGAAGTAATTATTCTTTTGTCATTGAGGGTATGTCTACACTACCCTCCTAGTTCGAACTAGGAGGGTAGTGTAGACATACCCAGCCCCCTGCCCAAGTTGATCCCAACTAAATCAACCCAGCCAGGGCTTTGTCAAGCCGAGATTTAAACACCTCCAGGGATGGTTTTCCACCACCTCCCTAGGGAACCTAGCCCAGTGATTCCCCAGCCTCCTAGGGAAATAGTTTTTCCTAATATCCAACCTAGACCTCTCCCACTGTAACTTGAGATCATTTCTCCTTGTTCTGCCATCCATCATTACTATGAACAGCATCTCTCTATCCTCTTTGGAACCTCCCTTCAGGAAGTTGAAGCCTGCTATCAAATCCCCCAGGGTATGTCTACACTACCCCGCTAGTTCGAACTAGCGGGGTAGTGTAGACATACCCTGAGGTCAATATGTTTGCTTTGTTTGACAAGTTGAGAGAGAAGAAGAGTATTTGTACAGGGAAAGTATACAATGTGCGCGCATGCACACATACAGATAAAGCATTGCTTAATTAGCAGGTGTTATTTGGAAGATAAAACATGGAACTGAGAGTCAGCTCGAGTTTTAAATTCAATTCTGCTTCTGATTTTCCCAGTTCTAGAGTAGCTTTGCACAAATCATTTAACCTCTGTTTCTACTTCAGTAAAATGGAGACAATAATTTGTACCTATCTCACAGGTTTATTGTAATGCTTTAAATAAAAATGTATTGGTTTGTAAATATAGGATTCCTTGATGGAAGGTGCCATAGAATTGGAAATTAGTATTATTTTTGTACTACAATGAAAGTGGAACTGATCATGGTGACTGTTGCATATTAAACACACAGGCAAGTGTCATCAGCTGGTAACTGGGCTTTGACATTTTCTTTGGTATAAATCAAACAGAATGAACTTGGTGCATTGACATGTCATGTCAGATGAGTGTTTTTATGTAGTCGCTTCTTTTCAGCAAGTGAACAACTGGAATTTCTGGAGAACAGAAAGAAGCAATACTTGAAGGCAGCAGTCAAAGCAAAACAGCAGAATGATCTTGAACAAGCCAGACGGTATCTCAGGACCGCAAAGAACTTAGACCCACAGATTGAGCTGGCAAAAAGCGGCAAATCTGTTGATATATCCAAGGTTAGTAGAGACGATAAACAAAATGCTCTGCTTTGCTCCTTGGGCATCTCAGGAATTCAGTTGCTTGCATAAAGCTAAGAATGCTTTAAAACTTAATATTTCACAGGTGAATTCAAACTGTAATTTCAACATCTGAGTTGAGACCATCAGCCCATATTGCATGGGCAGTCATCACATTATGGCAATTAACAGATGACCTGTTCATAACTTGTATTGAATACCCCAGACCAAATCTGGGAGGAGGGAGCAGCACGGAGGTGTTTGTGAGGGGGGAAGCCTGTGGGTGCCATTGGGAGGGATGGCAGGTTTCCTTCCTGGCTCTGCCTGATTCCCTTGAAGCAGTTACATCCCTCAGCTCGTAAGAAGGCTCGTGGTGAAGGGGCTCCATATTGCATCCTCCCATAGCGCTGACTCTGCAGCACCCATTGGTTGGGAACTGCAGCTAGTGGGAGCTGTAGGGTCGGCACCTGCTGGTAGAGGCAGTGCACAGAGCTGTCTGGCCTTGCCTTTGCCTAAGAACTGAGGGAGGGACATGTCACTGCTTCTGGAGAGCCTCCTGAGTTAAGCATTTCCCAGAGTCCTTACCTGCTTTCACTCCCCGAGCCCTAAGCCCCTTCCTATACCCAACTCCTGCTGCTCTTGGTGGAGGGCGATGTGGTGGCCTGAGAGCTACTCGGGCAGCTCCAGGGCCTGCCATATCTGCTGCTGCAGAAGTCACAAGGTCATGGATAGTCCAGGAATCAGTGACTTCCATGACAAACTTGCAGTCTTAGCCATGTTGTGTGGTATTGTGCAGCTACCATCGCCCCCTACAGATGACGAAAGTGATTTTATCTTCATACATCATGAGGATGTCAGACTCTCTCAGAAAGCAGAAGAGGTGTACACTCAGCTCATAAAACTGCTGAAGGACCAGCATGAGGTAATTATCTTTTCCTTTCAGTGCATCATTATTTGTTAAGAATCCAGTGAGGGAAAAAATGCTTCATAGTGTTTCTTTGGCTTTTACTGCTGCTGTAATCATGATCCCGTCATTATTTTGGTAGGATTTTTAGCTCATATTTAAAAATACAGATTGTGTATAAGTTCTTTGGTCACTACTTTCAAATATGGTGTATCAAGGCTGTTCCCCACTCTGGCACTTTGAGTGCAGAAGGTGGGAGCCTGCAAGAGACTTTAAAATACCCTGCCACTAATGGCTTCTGCTTAAAAACTCCTCAAAGACTCCCTCACCTTGGGTGGTATGCAGTCACCATCCAAATGCACAAAACCCTTTGAGAACCAAGGAAGATGCACATACGAATTTCTTGCTGTGGAGTACATTTAAGCTCCTTAACCCTTCCTCTGGAGAGAGCTTGACAATAAACTGTCATTTCTTAATGGAGGACCTTTTGTTCTCAGGCCTCTGGATACTAGGGATGTTAAATATTGGCGAATTTAATAGTTGGTTAACCTCATGAATTCTTACGGGTTATTCGACTATTCTATAGTCCTTGGGGGTGGGGCCGGCAACCAATGTGCTCCAGCCACATTCTCGAAGAACCCCCTGCCACTCTGCGTTGCTGCCTCTGTATCAGAGGCAGCGGTGGGGGGGGCTGCTCTTGCAGACCAACTGCCTGTTGCCCTGTGCTGGGGGGGGGGGGGGGGGTGTCTGAGCTCCCAAACCCAGCGTGAGCTGGAACTGAGCTGACCTGGCTGTGTCTGCCCAGTTCCGAATACACTTTAAATGCAGAGCCACAGCAGGAGTAGGTCCCAGACAGGCTGCTGATCAGCCTGCTAAAAAATTTACGGGGGGGAGGGGGCAGTGCATGTAGTCTATAGCATTAACCTATAAGGTTTTGCAAATCGGTTAATCGACCACTATACTATTACATTCCTAGTGTATACAGGACCTCCTGGCTTCTAAGACACAGGATTCATATCGTAGTCTTTAAAGGGAGATTTTATTAACAAAACAAAGACGACCTACTTGGTAAAGCATATTTTGTTACTAGGTGTTATAGAACAGCTGAAAAAAGGCAGATTAAAAACACAGAGACTTGTTTCCCTGGGATTCCATTTAAAAGTTATAGTGTACGAGGGAGAAGGTGCATAGGCTTCAGCACAGAGGAGTTTAACAAACCCCAAAATAAAGAAAATAACCTGATCATATCTTACTAAACAGTCCCTGTTCTACTAATATATCTGTTGTTCCAAGGTTTAGTCCTTCCCCAGGCATAGATATCGCTGGAAATTCTATACCTTGTTCTTGGCTTAACTCATCTCTCCCAGCTCTCCTCTGCTCACACAAAGACTGCAGCAGGGAGGTCCTGCTTTTCAATTAAAACCTCCACTCTGTTTTCATTGGCTCTCTGGCTCCCTGCTTAAAACTTCTTGGAGACTCTTTAGTACCCATTCTCTCTGGGTTTAACCCTTACAGGCAATTTAGTTAACAATGTCTGGAATGTCCAGACTAGGGCAGTACCCCTCCCATTCACCACATGGTGTTCTGAATTAGGTACCTAAATCCCACAACCTGGTTTTCAGAGATATTTCCAGTTGAGGTCAGTGGGAGCCCTTCTGCTTCAAATCAAGCCAATGGTTTAAGTGTGTAATTTTGGACACCCTGGACCCCGCCTCCCCTTATCATCTAATCATGTAGTTGATGCAAATTGTATTGACTACACAATTAGTCAATTATCTGCTTCTTAACATCCTTACTGCACATACAAATGGAATATCCATTGGGGGATACATCTCAAAGAACATCAGTTACTCCATAGAACGAGGAACCTTCTCTTCTGTGTAACATGCAAGTCCTCAATCTGAAATCTTTCTTCAGATGTGTATCATGGAATGATCACTGTTACTTTTTTTTTTCTTGTTAATAGAAATGTTTGCAGTATTCAAGGCAGTTCATGCATCTGGGAAACATAACTGAAACGGCCAGGTAAGTCTGTTGCCGTCATCTGTATTTATCCTGTCACATAATCACTTCTGCTCTGAGTCTACCCACAGCAGGGACTGCCATGCTTCCCTATATAAAAGGAAAATTATGTTTGTGGGGTGTTGGTCTTTGATTTACTTGTGGTGTAAGGTGGTTGAGCTGAGTGAATCAGTTTATCTTGTACCCAGTGGAAAAAATGTTTGCTGTCCGTGGATGGTCTCCACCATTGTTTTACAGGTTTGAAAAACTAGCACAAGGATGCAAAAAGGACCTGGAGATTTTGCAGCTGGCACAGGCCCAGAGGATGGACCCCCCCAGCCATCGCTTTGAGGAGAGAAACTTCAAAATAATAAGGTACAAAAAGTCAAAGGTTGTTATTGGCAGACTGAGATGGGCTACTAATTTCTAGTCCTCTACAAGGAAAAAAGGGTTTGAACTCCCATCAGAGCTGATTGAAGTTAAGCACTCAGAATCTTCCATATTCCTAAGAAAACATTCCAAAAAATTTAAGGTTTCTTCAGATTTAGTAAGTAGCAGTTTCACAACTTCCATTTTAGATTGCTTTATTGCAAAGACAAATATAGCTGTATCTTCTCCAAATCCTCCCACTTCAACCATGGTTCCCCTCTCCCCAAACTGATGTCTTTGAGGCCTTCTTTGGTATTTTTCACAATACTGTCTGTAACCCAGATCCCTCACTCAAAAATGAAAATAATCTTTGTCTGTTTCCATCTCGCCTTCCTTACCTTCCTTCTCCTCTCCAGGTTGAGTTGAGATTTATGTAGAAATAGTTTTTTCTCCAGGACTCATTCCCCTTCATGTTTTCCAAATGTCGTTTCTCAGAACTACAGAAGTGGAATCCTGGCCTTGCAAAGGGTTGGGAAATGCCAAGTTGCTGGACTGAATCTGTGATTGTATCTCTTCTTCCCTTCCCTCTCCCAAGGATATTTTCTGAACTCAACAGTACAGAAATGCATCTCATCATTGTCAGAGGAATAAACCTGCCAGCTCCCCCAGGTAATGAACGGAAACTTACCCTGATTCCTAGCCTTTCGCTCAAACCATAGGGAGATTAATTGTGATGAATGAGATTTCTTTGCCCGGGGGATAACTGGGTGGCCTACAGTTTTTAAAAGCTTTTTAACATAGGTCCATGCTAGCTCAGGCCTTTAAACTTCAGTTCAATTCAAAAAAACTGAAACAAAACTCAGCTTAAACTGATTTGAAGGCAAAACCCTAAATTGTTCCAGCTTTGCTCAAAACAGGGCTCAGGTTCAGATTCATAGTGCTTCAGATTTTGTTGTAAACATTTTATATAGCTCTGAGATGTCTTGACTGCTTGTACTCTCATCAGCCAACCAATAGAAGCTGTTCAAGAGCATTGCAGCCTCATAGCAATATAAAGTATTCTTAGTTCCTCTATTTATTATAGGGGTTTAATAGCTGTTTATGTATGCTCTCAGAATCAACTAAAGCATTAGCAGCATATTTGCCTTTGCCAGTGTTCCAGTGGATGGTGCTTTAAAAAGGAACTAAGGATATGTCTACACTTGCTCCCCACCTCAAGCTAGGGATGCAAATGTAGGTGACTGAAATTGCTAATGAAGTGGGGATTTAAATATCCCACACTTCATTAGCATGATCTCGCCGGTGCGTTACTCCGCTCAACAGCTGATTGGAACCAGGAAGTGTACGCCGGGACACGTTAGTTCGAACCAAACTCCTCATTTTTTGAGGAGTAACGTTAGTTTGTTCCAAGGGGTTTGGTTCGAACTAATGCGTCCCGGTGCACACTTCCTGGGTTCCAATCAGCTGTTGAGTGGCGTAACGCACCGGCGAGATCATGCAAATGAAGCATGGGATATTTAAATCCCCGCTTCATTTTCCATTTCGGTCGCCTACATTTGCATCCCTAGCTTGAACTAGAGAGCAAGTATAGATGTATTTTAAGTGATTTAGGTACATGAGTCCTATAACAAGTCAATTGGGTTCTTTTTGAAAAGCCCACTATATATTTTGAATGCTGTGAACCTCCCATATTGGCTCTCCAAGGTTGTTAGGATTGACTGATTAACTGTTCTTTTGCACAGGTGTGACACCAAATGATTTGGATGCATTTGTGAAATTTGAATTTCAATACCCTAATACGGTGAGTGTGTGTTCAGGCCTTTGCTGTTTCTCAATCCAATGTATTACTTAGCAATGTTTTCTTAATAGCTTAGAGAGCCAGATTTAACTTAGAAATGCTGTGGGCTTATTACTTCAGGAGCTGACAAATTGTAAATTATTGCTATTTATCATAATTGAGTGGCAAACCTTAAGCAAACCTGTTTTTAAAAAAATTAAAGATAAATAGTTCCAGCCAATTTAGATTATTTTAGGAATAGACAAAATCCTGTACCCACACATGAATGCATGCGATTCCCACAGTGGTCAGTGGGTGATGTCCGGATCTCTGAGGACAGGATCTGGCCCGTACAAACAACCTTTTCTCAGATGATTTGTCTATATTTATATAATAGCTAGTAAAATTCGGTGTATTTCTATCATTGAAAGATAGACTGGAGCTTTCTGAGATTTGGCTTTTAATGAACTGAACTCGTAAATGTTATTGGATCTTGAAAAATGTTCTCTCCTTGAAACTCACCCCCCAACATCTTTGAATATTAACACCAAAATGATTTCAGAATTAAGTATACGTAGACCATCCTTGACAGATGATTGTCTAGCCTGTTTTAAAAATACTATTAATGTTAAAATACTGTTACTTTGCATAGAGACTACACTTTGCATTCAGGATTGATTTTTGTTTGAGGTGTGTTTGTGTGTGTTTAATATTGACTGCGTGGATCCTGTGGATTTATATGATATTAAATACAGGTTTACCTGGGGGGTCGGATGTCTCCAGAGAAGCTGATACAAGTGGGAAGTCATTTATCTGTCCTAACAAAAATGTGAGGCAAACCGGGAAATGAAAAGTGAAATCTACAACTCCATCCTTCGTGCATGGTGCTCACTCTCTCGCTCTCCCTCCCTCCTTCCCTCCCTCCCTCCCTCCCCTAGTTTCACAATGCAGCAGTCTTTGCTAGGGGGAACTCTACATGTGTACCATAAGATGTTCCACAGCTTCATCAATACCTCCTTGGCATAGAGTTCCCATAAAAGCATAGAACATGTACCCCTAATGTACAGTGTTAAATTTTCTCTCATTTTCAATGTTTAAAAAGCCAGATCGCTACAGTTAAATATACCTAATTCTCCTTCATAGCTGGAATCAACTTTTCAAAGTAACTATGATAATTAGGTCACAGTCTCTCAAGAGTGAACAACGACATTTAGTTTATACTCTGCTTTGGGTTAAAAGTTAATTCATTTTGATGGCAGAGTGATTGTCAGGAAGAATAATAGTTGGCAAATTCCCTGAAGGATTTGCATTGGACTCCTTCTGCAGCACCAAAAGTTTCTTATTACTTTAACTCAAGTAAAAGGATAAAATTATAGCCAAGTAGAATGTGCATAGTTTATCAGGTATCATAGTAGCACCAGTTAATAGTTTTATGATGAGTGTGTTGAATCAGCTATGGCCATATAGATAGATTATCTGCAGCATTTGTGTTTAATATTTTTTTGGCTTGTTCTGTATTTAACCTTAAATTTGATTCCACAATGAAATACACATATTGCAATCATACTCATGATTGTGTATCTAGTTTGTACATTCTAGTTGGTCTATTCTGATGTTTGCTGATATCTGGTCCATGTACCAATCTTTGATTTTCCCCTTGGTCATCTTCCATCCACAATTATTGCAAAGGCCACCTTCCAATATAACTCTCAGGTCTCCCCTGGACATGTCACAGAGTAGTTATTAACGGTTCACAATCCTGCTGGAAGGGCATAACAAGTGGGGTTCCACAGGGGTCTGTTTCGGGGCTGGTTCTGTTCAATATCTTCATCAATGATTTAGATATTGGCATAGAGAATATGCTTATTAAGTTTGCAGATGATACCAAGCTGGGAGGGGTTGCAACTGCTTTGGAGGATAGGGTCATAATTCAAAATGATCTGGAGAAATGGTCTGAGATAAATAGGATGAAGTTTAATAAGGATAAATACAAAGTGCTCAACTTAGGAAGGAACAATCAGTTTCACACATACAGAATTTGAAGTGACTGTCTAGGAAGGAGTACTGCAGAAGGAATCTATGGGTCATAGTGGACCACAAGCTAAATCTGTGTCAACAGTTTGACGCTGTTGCAAAAAAAGCAAACATGATGCTGGGATGCATTGACAGGAGTGTTGTGAGCAGACATGGGAAATCATTTTTTTGCCTCAGTTGGAGTATTGTGTCCAGTTTTGGGCACCACATTTCAAGAAAGACATGGAGAAGGTCCAAAGAAGAGCAAGAAGAATGATTAATGGTCTAGAGAACATGACCTATAAAGGAAAACTGAAAGAATTGCGCTTGTTTAGTTTGGAAAGGAGAAGACTGAGGGGACATGATAGCCGTTTTCAGGTATCTAAAAGGGTGTCACAAAGAGGAGGGAGAAAAATTGTTCTCCTTAGCCTCTGAGGATCGGACAAGAAGCAATGGGCTTAAACTGCAGCAAGGGAGGTTTAGGTTGGACATTAGGAAAAACTTCCTAACTGTCAGAGTGATTAAACACTGGAATAAGTTGCCTAGGGTGGTTGTGGAATCTCCATTTCTGGAGATATTTAAGAGCAGGTTAGATAGATATCTATCTGAGATTGTCTAGACGGTACTGGGTCCTGCCATGAGGGCAGGGGACTGGATTCAATGACTTCTTGAGGTCCCTTCCAGTTCTAGTGTTCTTCAATTCTATATCAATATAACCTGGCCTCCCTCAACTTATCTTATCTTGTGGCAACCCATACAAAGCCCTTCACAACCTCATTGAATTTCTTTTCATGACATGTCCAGCCATTTGACCATCCTCATTTCGATAGTGGAGAACATACCAATTTCTTTTTCTGGTTGGCCAAGTCTCTATGTTCATACAGTAGGAAGAGTCAAATTACAATTTTATAAACTCTACCTTTTGACTTTATTGGCATATTTTTGTCAGAGAGAACTGAGACCAGCTCTCTCCATTTGCACCAAATAATTTTGCAGGGCAACTCAAGCTCTTGATATGTTTTTTTTTTAAAAGGTTGCTGCAACACAGGTTGGTGGTTTTTTTGTAATGTTGCTTTTTCTTTTCATTTTTTTTTAAACAGGAGCAAGCTCAGAAAAGTAAAACGGCAGTAATTAAAAATACTAATTCTCCAGGTTTGTATCTATTCTGTGGGGGAGGTGAAATACTGCGCCATAAAACCATGTTGGGTACAGGCTTAGTCCCATATTGTGTTTTTCTTTTCAATTACCAGAGACATTGGGAGGGTAAATCCAACTGCTGTCGAAGTTTAATTCTTTATCCTCACTCTCTCTCATCCAGTGCAGGGAGCCATTGTTCATGTCATTTCTTAATCAAATGATCATGTTATTTGGTACCACTAAGTCTCTTCTACTTTCAGAAGGTTCAGGCTTCTATAGTAGCTCTGTTAGGAGATAGAGCAATAAAACAAAAATTGTTCACTTATGAATCTTCAGGGATCACACTTTATTTTCTTTCTGTCTATTTGTTCCAAGGATAGTGACTGGATTAGTTGGGCAGATCTCGTTAATCAGTTGTATTGATATGCTAATGTTAAAAACATTGTCTTCAGTACATAGCAGATCTTAAATATGACTAGCAAAGGACTTTTTAAAAATTGGGATTGTTCTTCTTTTTGCTACTTTATTTTTCCAAACCAAGTTTTGGGTTTTTTCCCATTATTTGTTTTTATCTTTTTTAAAATAGTAGGAATCTCAAGTCTTATACTCCTCAATTTTTGCAGGAGAGACCTACCAATTAGATGTTTGAGGCACGTGTATTGTGAGGTCTCACCTTAACTGAAGGAATAGAGGCACGTAATATTTAACAAAGGTTTCCTTTATCCACAATGTTCGTTTACCATTTAAGTTAAATAGTTGCAGTAAGCATTCTGGGATAGAAGCTGCTACATAAGTGTGAAGTTGTGTTATATGGGCCAAGTTAAGGTAGGTTGAAAGTTCTGAATGCATTGTGCTCATCACTGAGAAACATCTAGTCACTCACTGTGACAATTTTCACCAATTTTTCCTCCTGTTTCTAGAATATGATCAGCTCTTCAAGTTGACTATTAACCGAAATCACAGAGGCTTCCGTAGAGCAATTCAGACCAAGGGAATTAAATTTGAAATATTTCACAAAGGGTAAGTCAGTGTCTTTTGTTCTCCATTCTGACACAGTAGTGATAACAAAATGAAAGAACTGTTTGCCCTGTTTGTAATTTAGAATTGACACTCGTGTAATTTGCCTTTCTTTTTTCATTTGATCAGTAAACAGATGTCCAGTTTCATGCTACCATGTTTCAGCATTACCCTCTGACTATCTGAGCACTCTGACTTCTCTGGTAAAACTCAGTAAAACCTCACTAACGTGTACTCAGTGGTTCATTACTGCATTCTGCCAGTTAACAAGCACTGACCAATACAGTTTAAGATACAGAACATACAGTATCAAAATGTTGTATTCATGTAGCTTTAACAAGTGTTGCCTGGTTTGAACTGTGATTATTCAGTGCATTCTACTAAATATTATCTGGGTTAACTTTATAAAGCAATGAAATCTGGATGATGTGGCCTCTAACTGAGCTTTCTGCAGCTACAAGATCTTTGAGATGTAGGGTGAAACCATCTGATTTGTGGATAACTGAGGTTATGTTGTATTCAAGTCTCAAGTTGAGTAGAAGAACAACCTTTCACTTGCTGGTATTTCTCTTTCACCCCCACATAAACATTTAATAATCTATTGGCAAATCACTAATAGTAAAAGGGATAATAAATTATAATAATATTCTGCATGTCTGTAAGTGCCTCTATTTGTGGATCGCAAAGTAATTCCCAACCATTACTAGTGAACTAAATCTTACAGCACTCTTGGAGGCATGTGGTATCCTCCATCTTCTGTGGAAACTGAGGCATAGCAAGGTTTGAATGACTTTCCAAAGGTCACAACTATTCCAGGGGAAAGGCTCTAAATTTAACTCCATACCATGTGCTTTAACTGCTAGACAAGGCTCCATCTCAATGATGCATGAAATGCACCTCTCTTCTTGCTGTGAACATGTAGTTCAGATAATACAGTGATGGGACCTTAGAAATATCTAGACAGACGGTAGGTGAGAAGGAAGATAATTTAAAGTGTTTAAAGAAATTTTTTTACATCTGGGCTCATTTTGAATCCATTAGTACTGAGTGAACTAGATGTATTAATTCAGAGGTTAATTATGACCCATTATTAGGCTGAGATGTTGGATAATATGCCTTTTGTTATCACAGTGGCTGTGTTCATGCAGTTCTTTGTTTCTCTTGCTGGCACATATGGAAATGCTCTCTAACTGTTCTGTGATTGGGTTCAAGTTTATAAAAGTTAATTTGTGAAAAAAACACTAACTACTTTAAAAAGCCTGTTGTTATTTTAAAACCTGAAGCTTAAATTTATGCCTCTAATGAAGGAATGTTTGATTCGTCTCCTCTTTTCTATATCACCACTGACTGCTCAACTGTCACTGCTCTTGTTTTGAGATTTAGTGTACCTCCCAGTCTTTATTGAACAAATTCACATTGGCTTTAACCTTTTTTTTTGTCTTGATGATCTTGTCAAGGAGCATTTCCCATCCCCCTAGCCAATGGTGGATTAGACACTGGGCCAGTGGGGCCCATGCTCCAGGGCCCCAACCAGCTGGAGGGGCCCATTTAAACATCCACTCTGTGGCAGTAGCAGCAGACAGGAAAAGCCCCTGCACCCAGATCCTGCTCCCTGACAGAAGCCATAAGGTGGGGAAAAGCCCCTCCCCAGTTTCCGACCTTGTCCCCAGCACACGCCACAGGACAGGGGAAGCCCTGTTTTCCAATGCCCCCGCCCAACCCCATGCCTGGCAGAAGCTGTAGGATGGGGAAAGCTCCTGCTCCCCAACACCCTTCATCCCCAGCAGAAGGGCTGGGTGGGAGAAGCACCAGTGCCCGACTCTGATTCCCCACAGGTGCGTGAGGGACTAGCAGGGAAAGCCCCATGACCTAGACCCCTGCTGTAGCTATCGGACTGAAGGAGCGCTCACTCCCTGCTGCAACTCCTGGCTCTGGTGTGGGAACAGAGCTTTTCTAGTCTTGGGGCTGCAGTGGGGGGAGCCAGAATAGGGGGTCCCTGGGTGGAACAGGAGTGGCCCTGGGGAAGAGGCAGAAAGGAATGGGACTGTGGATGGAGCCACGGGCAGAAGAGAGATGGGACCATAGGTGGAAGGGTTGGGGAGCACCCCGACTTGGTTCTGGTCCAGGAAACCTTAATTCACCTAGCAGCTTGGAGGTATATGACTCTGAGTCAGTCTTAAAATCACCCTAGAAAAGAATTGTCTAGAACTCTGACAAACTCTGGGTGTCCCTCTGGAACAGAGATAAGTATGGCCATGTTGGGTCAGATGTGGTCCATCGAGCCCAAAATCCTGTCTTCTGACAGTAGACAGAGCTGGGTGCTTCAGAACAAAAATGGAGATTCCAGTCAGTATGTAGTTGAGGTCTTGGTCAAGCCAAGAAGGAAGGCTATGCAACATCTCCTTGTGCAAGCAGCTCACCCCTAATGCCTGAGCTACTAAAGAAGGTGCTAGCTCCTTGTACAGATACTGGCAACTTCTCTGTCGTCAGCTCCCTCTGTTTCTCATCCTCCTCTACTTTTGAGGGTGTGGGCCTTCCTTCCCTTGCCCTCCAGAGTGATGGAGTGGTATTGTTTTTTTAAACAACATTGGCTGTAGACATTATTCCTTCAGTCTACCCTGATAGTGTTCTTTCCTCTCCAAAGAATCTCTCATTGATTTGGCCCAGGGATCAATTCCTTGTCCCATGAATCAGGCCTTAAAAGCACCCTTTGAAGTCTAAAAGCCTTTCCAAAGAGAAAGTATCCCCTAATATCTCTGAGAATCATAGAAATGCAGAGCTGGAAGGGGCCTCAAGAGGTCAACTAGTCCAGTCTCCTGCATTGAGGGAAAACCAAACAGACTTACACCATCTGTGACAGAATTCTGTCCAACTTGTTCTTAAAAACCTGCAATGAGGGGGATTCCACTACCTCCCTTGAAAGAATCAGTCCCAGAATCTGACTACCTTTATAGCTAAGTTAGAAAGTTTTTACTATAGTCTAAGCTACCCTTGCTGCAGGTTAAGCCCCTTGCTGCTTGTCCTGTCTTCAGTGGACATGAAGAACAATTGGTAACAGTCCTCAACATATCTGAAGACTATTATCAGGTCCCCACCCTTTCAGTCTTCTCTTCTCAAAAATAAATATGCACATTTTTAGCCTTTTCTGATAGGTTAGATTTTCTAAAACTTTTGTTTTTTATTGCTTTTCTTTTCACTCTTCATAGGTGCTTTCCCTCTTTTTCCAAACATTCATTTGAAGCCTGTGCATTCCTTTATGCATTCTGATACTAAAGCCCGCCCACTCCTCTTGTTTAGAAACATTCCAGCCTGTGTGCTAAGAGATCCACTTACTATATTTCTTGGCATCTCACTCCTAATATGCCAGACTATATGTAATTACAGTGCCATGTAAATGAATATTTACTATGGTACGCTCAGTATTAGAATGTGTCTGCTTTAGAAATAGTGGAATGTGGCCAAATAGAATTAGTGTTTCATGCACTGCCTGGAACCAGAAGACAGATGCAATACATTGTTAAAATTGATTCTGAGCAAATGAAACTTCTGAAGCCATGGCCTAGAGTAAGAGACTTTATATTCTCAGTTGTAGATGCTCCAGAATTAAGCAGAGATTGGAATCTGGTTTTGAAGGCTATTGTGTTAAAGAAAAAATAATTAGAGCTGAAAAAGCTGGTGCTTAACTTTAAAGGTTCATGAACATAAGAAGAAAACACCAAAAACCAGCTGAAGGAGAGTTGTCTAATTCCACTTCATAGATCAGGTGATTAGCATCTGAATAATGCAAAGGGAATTTCCTAGCAAAGTGAAGCACTCAGAACAGGTAACGTCACAATTCTACATGCTCCTACTAAGGATGTTAAATATCAGCTAATTGATTAATCTAATAGTTGATGCATTTTGCATCAACTATTCAATTTGTAGCAACTAAGGGCTGTTGCTACACTTCAAAGGCGAAAGCGCCATGTGGAGCTCAAAGGTGAGCTGGGGTCTCTCCCGGTGATCGCAGGCTTCATGCAGCACTGCCGCTTTGAAATGCTATGTGCAGCCTGACACCGGGCTCCACGCAGCGTTTCAAAGTGGCAGCATCACAGAGCCCAGGGTCAGCGGCGGAGTCCCCAGATGACCCCGGGCTCCATGCGGCGCTGCCACTTTGAAAAGCTGTGTGCAGCCTGGGGACACCCTAGCTGGCCCCCCAGGCTGCACACAGTGTTTCAAAGCACCAGCGCCACATGGATCCCGGGGTCTGGCCCCAGGCTCCAAGTGGTGCTGCCGCTTTGAAGTATCCCTTCCTCTTGCTGCCTTATTCTGATAGAGGCATCAAGGGAGGGTGGGGAAGTGACTAGTCGACTAGCCTGTTTACTAGTCTCTCTCATCCCGAGCTCTTACAGGATTTTGTCATGTCAGTGCAGCTTCATCAGTAAAGGTCACGTGCACTTGTGAGTGTACTTTGAGAGAGTGCTTCTGCCAAATGAACACAGAGACAGGAAAATTGGATCATCCATGCCTCTAGCTCTGGAAACACTGGATGCATCCTCTTGTTCTGCCAGAGCTACTCTTTCTTGGGTGGGCAAGCTTACAGAAATATGAATCCATCAGAGCAAAACGGTGTGATGTCTATTTTAAATTAAATTTCCCTAGCATTAACTCCCAGATGCTTCACCTGATTACAATTTGGTGCATGTTCCAGGGCTTCCAGTGTAGTGGCCTTGCAGCATCTGTTGCTCAATCTGTGTGTAGCCCACACCCAGTAAGTGTGGAGCACTGTTCCATCTAGTGGTGGTTGGGTGACCTATAAAAATTCATCAGCCTGCGTCCGCCTTGGGTAACAGATGTGGGTTCTTGAGCTCAAACAATAGAGATTCCTGCTATTAAAAGCCAAAGGTTCTAAGTTCCATCTCTGCTGCTGACAGCGCATCCAGGTGCATGATATAACAAATGCAAATAAAAATGTCTTTTGTATATTCCAGTGGTACAGACTCTTTGGGGAGTGTATGGATAAAGCAGTCCCGGGGGCTTTGGAGAAGGTGGAAAAAGCCCCACATTCCTCTTATTCCAATCAGAGATTTCAGTCCATATAATCTCAGTGGGTATGCTTTTTAAGGTTACCACTGTTCCAAGGAGCAACATATAGATATTGTGCTTGAGACAGAGACAGACATTTTAGGGAGTAGGAGGATATATAGTAAGTTTCTATGAAAAAAAATCCAACTCAGAAACCCATGCAGGACATTATTTCCCCACGTTTGAGGACATGTTGGTCCACTTTCTGGCCCTTTTATACACCATTCCAGTGGCTGTGCCTTTTATGTTACACCTTTCAGAAGGTGCTATGCAGAATCAGGCTCCTTCTGTCAGGGAAGTTGGACCCTTATCAGTGAATTAAATGGGTACTTGAGACAATCGGAGCAGTATGTTTGGTAGACCTTTCTTCTTGTCCCAGGAATTCATTTTAAAAAACAAGTGCCTAAAATTATGCTCCCAAGTTCATAGGCATCTTAAATGGTCTTAAAGTGCTGGGCATCCTGACTTTCAACTCTTTTTTTTTTAATTGATCTTGGCCCAAGTCTTTTTCCCCTAATTTAACAAAAAGCCTGTATATCTCATGAAATGAAGGTGCAATAGACCTTCTTACATTTCAGAATGATAGAGCTCGTTCCACAGAGAAACAAATGTTGTGGATCACAATCAGGTATTTTTGTTTTACAGAAGAGAAACAAGCCTGCAAGGCATATTGGATTTCACATTTCTGAAACAAACTGACAAACACATTATAACAACATCCTTTTCATACTCTAGAATAGATCTTTGGTATGTAATGATAACTCTCCATCAGATTTAATGAGTTGTTGTCAATGCAGATGCCTTTCAGGTTTTTCTTAACAGGAAACAGTTTCAACACAGAGCACTCATGTTTCAGATTTACAAAGCCACAAGCTTTTATGAAGATATTAATTGTCCCAATACCTTCCCTCCAAAAGAAAGGGACCCACGTTAAACCATTTTTCTGGATGACCAATTCATCAGGCCTTCATTTCAAGTCACAGCTACTCAGGGAATAACAATCATCATTATCTCTTCAGGGATATCACTCTGAAATTAAGAAGTGGGAAGATTGAACAATAGCCTTTACAAGTCTCCGGCATCTATGGATTGTTCTAGATGCTGGCCAGGACAGAGTCTTTGTCTCAGAAGACAGGAAGTGAAAGAGAGAATCTTTGTTTTCTCAGACACTACTAAAATCCCTAACTCAGTTCCTGGGCATATTGATCTCATGTCTGGATACCTTTTCAGTGGGACCTTGCAGAATTACCTGCTTCCTTTCCAGGCAGTAATTCAATTGAATCAACCTATGGAAATCTATCTCAGAAGGATTTCATTTATGCCTTCTACTCTGCTGATAGTGAAAATGGTTAAAGAAAGTCCAGAGGAATAAGGCACAATAATTCTGGTCACTACTTCTTGGCCTAGCAGTTTTCAGCTCTTTTAGATATGACATCTTCACACTACAGGAACAGGGCCTTTATCTGGTGCTGTTCAAACTATTCATCTGGAAATAGAAAGAAATGTGTTAGAGTCATGTGGACATTTGAAAGAAAATAATGAATACTCTGCATCTTCGAGGAAATTTACAATGTCTGCAGTGTCTAGTTGGCCAAGATTCAGGTAATACAAGTGAGATCTATCAAGATAAACTTAGATAAAATAAAAGCTGGTTGAGATTCTATAGAATGGCTTAATCATGTGGCTCGAGGCTAATGCTTTAGAATGACAAAACTGTTGAGTTATAAGAAACCGAGGAGAGTTTTTCTAATCTTTCTCCCAATACCATGTTCTTGGGCACCATAAGTCCAACATGCACAGTTTCCCGTCTTGAATTGTGTGTGTCTAAGCTCCATAAAACCACTTTTCTAGCCTTATCAGTCAGTATGTGCCTGTCTCAAAGTATTTTACCACCATCTGAGCCAGAAAAATATCAAAGTTTAGTGTGATCTATGACCCTCTCACGTTTCCTCAGAGGCCTGCATTAGCTCCATACTCACTCTGGCTGCTACTTGCTTGTAAGCACCATGCTCTGTAAAATGCCATACAAATAGTGCTAGATACATAATAAGAGCTGGTTGGAAAATGGAAGTTTCATTATGTGGGAAACTGACACTTTAGAATTACTTTCGTTCTGAATTGAAAGTGTTAACATTTTCCACAAAATAGAAATTTTGAAAATTGCTTTAATTTTAAAAGGTTTTCAATACTTAATTGTATTAAGTATTTTAATTTAACAGTTTAATATTTTGAAACTAAATGAATTGAAAAGAAAAAGATAAAACTTTTTTACTACCTTAGTGAAACAGGGTTTTGACAGTAAGGAATCAAAAGTCCATTGCTTTTCATTTTCTCCTGTCAAGTTTTGTTGAAATTGACACTTCCCACAAAACATGTAGATTTAGATAAAACTTCATTTTCCATTTGAAAACTTTTCTATCAAAAGAATCTTTTCTGAACCAGCTCTAATGTCATGTAGGCACATTCTGTGTAGGAGACCTTACCTTTCTGTCCAGGTGATTTTTTTCCCCCCCAAAGATCTTGATTGATTATAGAGAGCCCAGGACAGTAAGTGTGCGAGAGCCCTGATGCTGTTCTAAAGTCTGACTCTCCTGCATAGGGGTGAAGGTTATTGTCAATAGAATGCTAGACCAAGCCCTCTTCCTGAGTTTTTCACTTGTTTTGTTTTTTCCTTCTCTTTTAATTGATTAAAGACTTTGATCGCTTGTCCCTCCGTTTTAGTAGAGCTGAGTAGCTGGACCCTTTTGTCATGATCCTAAAACCTTGATGAAAGAGGTCATGACCTCATATCATTCTTCTCTTTTGATACGTTAAGAGAGTCTGTCTTTCCACTAAGGTAATTTTCTTTAAAACAGGGGCCTTTTCAGAAGTGACAAGCAAGTGGGAACAGCACAGTTGAAACTGGACAAACTGGAATCAGAATGTGAAATTAGAGAGATCATTGAGGTATGCTTTGTTCTTCTGTTGATATAGCAGTAACAAAATACTCGAGCAGGTGGGGTGTGTGTGTGTGTGTGTATATGTGTGTGTGCGCGCGCGCCTCTATATACATATATAGATAGGTATTTACCTAGATTAATCTTAGCCTCATGTCTCCAACATTCAATGAAAACCTCATCAGACTAGCATGCCCTATGTAGTTTATTTTATATGATACAGCCCCATCCTTTCCTTCTTGTGTGATAAAAGATGTAAGGTTGCTCGCTCCTGGCCCGTGAGAGTAATTAACCATTAGAACAACTCACCTAGTGAGGTGGTCTCTTCTCCATCATTTGCCATCTTAAAATCAACACTGGGCTCATTGTTTAATCCTCACAGTTACACGCAGCCCTCTCCCCCACCCCACCTCTGTATTAGAAGCAGTGAGAGGGAGAGGGGGAATCCAGTACACATGGGGAGCCACCAGTTTCCCCTTCTCTCACCTCTGATACAGAGGCAGCAATGTGGAGATTGAGGGGAGCAGGTAGGAGCCAGTGCTCGCAGGTAAATATGTAACCACTGAAAATTTACCATGTTAACACATTTAACATATTTTAACATCCCTATTCTGCACCTGACCCATGAGGCATTGCAAACTCTTCCCAAGCTACTCTAGTGTAGAGGTGTTGCACCAACACAAGGAGCATAGGGTGGACATGCAACAGTGGTCTAATTAAAATGGCATATCTTTTGTTGACAAAACTCCGTAATGTAGATGTGGCCTTAATGCTTTCTGGAAATAAAACACCAGATACATCCTTGCAGTGTGTACAACTAGTTAGACATCCCTCCTGTGTGTTGGTAAATAAAAATAAGAACATATAAAAAGGTAAAATCCATTTATTTTTCAGAGAACTTCCACTATAATGGAACTCCTTTGTTTAATACAAACTGTTCTAGCCATTTTGATCATTCTGTTGAATGTCTGTGTTATAGCCTATTTATATTCATCCTGTTTAATCACATGAGGCAAAGACAAAAGCTGCCCTTTTCAGTGAGAGTGCCACAAAAGACTTTGCAGTTTCAGTGGGGGGTGGGTCGGCGGGGGTGTGTATATGTGTGTGCACGAGAGAGTGTACATGCATGCGGGAGAACAACACTATTTTTATGGTGCTTTCAGATTCTGGATGGTAGGAAGCCCACTGGAGGGAAACTAGAGGTGAAAGTCAGACTCAGGGAGCCGCTCAGTGGTCAAGATCTTCAAACAGTTACAGAAAACTGGTTGGTCCTTGAACATTAGTCAATCTAAGGTATGAATACTCCTTTCTTCTCAATATACTTCCCTCTTGAAGTTGAGAGGGCCACTAGCATTCTCTTACACTATCAATGACTTGTCTGTGTGACTAAGGCTCCTAGATGGGATCTTCTATATGTTTCTAGTGATGTTTTGATTTTTCTAATATATATATAAAAAAGCTTTTCCTCCCAGACAACAGAATGATGTCATCACTCTGCTCTCTCAGTCTCTGGCTGTGAAAGCCCCACCTCCTATGCCAGGGGTTGGCAACCTATGGTTCCCAAGCCAAATTTGGCTCTTTTGCAGCTCCAGTTCAGCCCTCCTGCTGTCCCTGCAGCAAGGAGCCCGCGCTGGCACTACAGCTGCTTCACACACAAACCCCTGGCCGCATGAGGTTGATATGCCAGCACTAGCTTCCTGTGAGAGGGTGAAAAAAGCCCTGAGGCTCTGGATTGCAGGGAAGAAGTGGAGCTAGAAACAGCTGAGTGCCCTGGTGCTTCCCTTCCCCCCCACTCCTGGCTTGGGGACAGCATTGCAGGGATGCACTTCCTAGAGGCTTTTCCTACTACTCCTATTGGCTGTAATCTGGCCAATGGGAGTAGCAGAAGGTGGTGCCGGGAACAGTGCAAAAGCAAGTAAGTGGTCCCCACCCACTCAGAGACCCTGCACATCCACCTTTCTCACTCACCGCCCAGCTGAGACTCCATACAGCCAGCCTCCTCACTCACTGCCCCCCCCCAGCCCTTTCAGATGCACCCTCAGTCGAGACCCTGCACCTCCAGCCCCCTCACGCATCCCCTCAGCTGAGATCCTGCATACCCAGTGCTCTCACGCACACTCTGCCCATGCCCCCAGCCTCCTTACACATACCTCTCCTGCCGAGACCCTGTACCCCCAGCCCACTCATTCACTGCCCTTCTGAGATCCCGCACCCCCAACCACCTCATGCACCTCTTCCACTGAGACCTTGCACCCTCCAGCCTGCTCCTGAACTCTCCCCCCTGGCCAGACACCCTGCCCCCAGCCCACTTCTGCACTCTCCCTTGCTCCTGCAAAAGCCAACAGAGAGAGGAGGGTTGGCGAATATAACATGTTTGTTTTAAATACAGGCAGTCCCCAGGTTACGTACAAGATAGGGACTGTAGGTTTGTTCTTAAGTTGAATCTGTATGTAAGTCGGAACTGGGAGGGCCACTAGCATTCTCTTACACTATCAATGACTTGTCTGTGTGACTAAGGCTCCTAGATGGGATCTTCTATATGTTTCTAGTGATGTTTTGATTTTTCTAATATATATATAAAAAAGCTTTTCCTCCCAGACAACAGAATGATGTCATCACTCTGCTCTCTCAGTCTCTGGCTGTGAAAGCCCCACCTCCTATGCCAGGGGTTGGCAACCTATGGTTCCCAAGCCAAATTTGGCTCTTTTGCAGCTCCAGTTCAGCCCTCCTGCTGTCCCTGCAGCAAGGAGCCCGCGCTGGCACTACAGCTGCTTCACACACAAACCCCTGGCCGCATGAGGTTGATATGCCAGCACTAGCTTCCTGTGAGAGGGTGAAAAAAGCCCTGAGGCTCTGGATTGCAGGGAAGAAGTGGAGCTAGAAACAGCTGAGTGCCCTGGTGCTTCCCTTCCCCCCCACTCCTGGCTTGGGGACAGCATTGCAGGGATGCACTTCCTAGAGGCTTTTCCTACTACTCCTATTGGCTGTAATCTGGCCAATGGGAGTAGCAGAAGGTGGTGCCGGGAACAGTGCAAAAGCAAGTAAGTGGTCCCCACCCACTCAGAGACCCTGCACATCCACCTTTCTCACTCACCGCCCAGCTGAGACTCCATACAGCCAGCCTCCTCACTCACTGCCCCCCCCCAGCCCTTTCAGATGCACCCTCAGTCGAGACCCTGCACCTCCAGCCCCCTCACGCATCCCCTCAGCTGAGATCCTGCATACCCAGTGCTCTCACGCACACTCTGCCCATGCCCCCAGCCTCCTTACACATACCTCTCCTGCCGAGACCCTGTACCCCCAGCCCACTCATTCACTGCCCTTCTGAGATCCCGCACCCCCAACCACCTCATGCACCTCTTCCACTGAGACCTTGCACCCTCCAGCCTGCTCCTGAACTCTCCCCCCTGGCCAGACACCCTGCCCCCAGCCCACTTCTGCACTCTCCCTTGCTCCTGCAAAAGCCAACAGAGAGAGGAGGGTTGGCGAATATAACATGTTTGTTTTAAATACAGGCAGTCCCCAGGTTACGTACAAGATAGGGACTGTAGGTTTGTTCTTAAGTTGAATCTGTATGTAAGTCGGAACTGGCGTCCAGATTCAGCCGCTGCTGAAACTGACCGCCAGTTCTGACTTACATACAGATTCAACTTAAGAACCCCAAGTCAGCTGCTGCTGAAACTGATCAGCAGCTGATTCCAGGAAGCCCTGGGGCAGAGCAACTGTGCCTCGGGCTTCCTGTAGTCAGCGCTGGTCAGTTTCAGCAACGGCTGACTTGGGGACGTCTGGGGCAGAGCAGCTGGGGTGCTGCTGGGTTGGTCCAGTAGTGCCCAGAGCGGCACTGCGAGACCAACCGGCAGCGCCCCAGCTGCTCTGCCCCAGGGTCCACAACAAAAGCCTGGTCTGCTGGGGGGGGCACACTAGCTGCGCCCCCCCAGCAGACCAGGGACACAGGGAGCAAAGTGGCAGCGGGGGGTGCCTCGCCTCTGAGGCTTTGCTCTGGCGCCGGACCGCTTTGCTCCCGATGCTCCTGGTCTGCTGGAGACGGTCCCCAGCAGACCAGGGGCACCGGGAGCAGCTTTTCTCGCCCCGGAGCTCGAGGTGGCTGACAGCTGCCTGTGAGCTCCGGGGCGAGAGAGCCCCGTTCGTAAGTGCGGATCCGACATAAGTCAGATCCGCGTAAGTCGGGGACTTCCTGTAATGAGGAATTGGAAAAGGTCCAGAGAAGAGTAACAAAAATTATTAAAGGTCTAGAAAACATGTCCTGTGAGGGAAGACTGAAAGAATTGGCCTTGTTTGGTTTAGAAAGGAGAAGACTTAGAGCAGACATAATAGGTGTTTTCGAGTATCTTAAAGGGATGTTATGGGGAGAAAAGTTGTTGTTCTTGTCCTCTGATGATGGGATGGGAAGTGATGGGCTTCATTTGTAGCAAGGGAGGTTTACGTTGGACGTTGGGAAAAACTTCCTAACTTTCAGGTTGGTTGAACGCTGGAATAAATTGCCCAGGGAGATTGTGGAATCTCCATCACTGGAGATATTTGAGTGCAGGTTGGATAGACATCTATCAGGGTGATCTAAAAGGTCCTGCCGTGACGGCAGGGAACTGGACTCAATGTACTCTCGAGGTCCCTTCCAATTCTATGATATTTCTGTTAAAACTCTAATCATATTCTCTGCTGATCTCAATCAGTTGGATGGGAGGGTTAATATCATGGGGTTTGGTAGCAATTCCTATGCTTCCATTTTTTATAAATGGAAGTTAAGCAAAATTCTTTTTACCTTTTACCTTTTTTCTAATGCTCTTTATTGTTTGCATAAGACCTTTGAAATTAAGCATGAAGAAAGACCTTGAGCTGAAGAAATTCTTTTTGTCTAGTAAATTTTTTAGGTTTAAGCTTTAGCTGATCAAATGGCTATTTCCCTTCTGTTAATTGAATTCTTCAGGAAATATTACGGTTATTAGTATAATGCCAAAATTACAACTTGAACATTCTGAAGAACTAGCCCATGCACACACTGTTCAGAGAATACCTGCTTGCTGGCAAAACAGCTGCAGGACTAGATAGTAGGGGAAGAATCAAACTAAGCTTCCTCTGCTCCCAGCTACTGCTTTGGATCCTGCATATGCCTCCTGTAGATCATATCTTCCCCCGTGAGGTACCATGATTTTTTTACCTTTTTGTCTTAGAATAAATTGTCATAAATAACATCTATTCTAAGGGCTGGTCTGCACATACATGAGAGAGCAATATAAGTTATGCAACTTCAGCTCTGTGACTAATGTAGCTGAAGTCAACGTATTTAAATCTACTTACTGCAATGTATCAAATAAACACCCCTTGCATTTTTCATTGAGGTGGAGTACTGGGAGAGTAATAGGAGGTTGACTATCAAGTCTATAAGGGTATGTTCCACGAGGAGTACAGGTAGTTTGGAATAGGAAGCCTAGTCCAAACTACCTAGTTCGTGCCGCGTGTAGCCGCGGGCACAGAGTCTGAACTAGCGGACATTTAAAAATGGCGGCGCCTGGCAACATGCAAATGAAGCCTGGGAAATTCAAATCCCGGGCTTCATTTGCAACTCCGGTTGACTACATTACCACCCTAGTTCGAACTACGGTGGTAGTGTAGACATACCCTAAGAGACATGATAAATCGACTTCTGATGGATCAATTGCTGCCTCATCAATCTGGCTTGCAGTGAGGACATGCCCTTTGGAAAGTTGAGATCGCAAAGTCAAGCAATTGAAAGTTAGGAAATGACAAATATACAGCTTCCTGTGGAATCTCAGTTCTCCCTTCTTGCACATATAATGGTATGCAATCATGCACTTTAAACTCTTTTTTCCACAGTACCCCTATCTCATTCAGTGCATGAATGGGATGCCCATGGGAACTGGATTAAGATTCCATGGGCAACTGTACACTTGGCACTTTCTACCCGTGGAGTGTTTGCATTAACTTGAACTTTTAGTGTAGATTGTATGTGTAAGTGTACATCAAGCTATGCTTCTAAAAAATCAACATTAGTCTGACTTTTTTCTTCAAAATATTCAGATGTATCAGTTATATGGATAGTCTGAAAACTTAAACCTGTCTTTGCTTGCTCAGCTTTGAGTTGTGCTCATGGACTCACAGGAGAGAGGTCACTCGGTACTCAAACCTGCTGTTTGAATCACTTTGAGTTGCTCTCTGCTCCTCTGAGTATACTGGTGTAAAACTTAGTAATGTTCCTATAAGCTATCAGTACTTGTGGGGAGAAAGATTGGAGGGCTCACTGAGCATGTGTTACTAATTTACAGGAGACATTTGTGGACCACACTGTATAAACACAGAACAAAAAGTCTGCTCCAAGCACTTAATTGGTCAGTCCTAGTTCAAAGCAGTCTCAGGATACTTCCTCCCCCTCCAGTTGTCATGGCACATTTCTTGGCATATATTCTTTTGCAATTCAAAGAGCAATTATTCTTAGATCACACCTCGGTGAAATAAGTGATTATCATTTTGATTCGTCATGTCTTACCTAAGACTTGATTTGAAAGATCTGGATGTCTAGTGCTTAGGTCCAAATTTGGAACATTGAAAATCCCACTCGTACTGAGTGAACATAAGGATTCTAAGGTCCCTAAGATTCTGTCTGCAGTGCAAAGAAAAGCTGATGGCCCTGCGTTTCAAAGCCTGGGCTAAAAAATAGCCACAGAAACTTTGGGCTAGAGCTGAGGCACCTAGAGCCTTCCCCTCTGAATTTCAGAAACTGGGCTTGAGCCCAAGTGGAAACATTTACACTAGTTTTAGCCTAGCATCAGTTGACCTGGGCTTAGAGACTCAGCACAACAGGTTTTTCTTTGCAGTGTAGACATTGCCTGAAAGACCAACCAGGATGACAAGTGAACTGTACAAAGTGTGGCTGCATGCCTGTACACCACTTAAGGCAGGGGTTCTCAACTAAGGGTATAATATACCCCTGGGTGTATGCAGAGGACTTCGAGGGGGAGAGGGGGCATTAATTCCTCTAGGGATTTGTCAAGTTTTACAACAGGATACATAAAAAGCACTGGTGCAACCAGTTTCATGCAGTGACTTTTTATACTGTTCTATAGCATATATGCTGAAATGTAAACAGTATTTACATTCCAGTTTATTTATATGGTAAAAATGAGTATTGGTAATTTTTCAGTAATAGTGTACTGTGACACTTTTTTATGTAATGCCTGATTTTGTAAGAAATTCATTTTTAAGTCAAATGAAACTTGGGGGTAGGCCAGCCAAATCAAAAACCTAAAGGGACAGGTTAGTCTGGAAAGGGAGACACACATTGTAAATACTCCAAGGCTGACACATTTGCCCACATGTTTGAAGCAGTGACATAACTTGCCACAAGGTGTTGGGAGCACTAACTTTTGGTCCTCCATAATTTAACACTCTGCTGCATGTATATCTTCAATCACTTAACCTGCAACTAAATGAAAAGTTTTGCTTGGGATTTCTATGCTAGCTAACTAGCTACTTCAAACAGCACAATGGCAACAGTATGTAGCCTTAATTATGGGATACTTACTTAGCACAGTGGCAAAACATGTTTGTTTTTTTTTGTTGGTTTTTTTTTTTCAGATTCAGGAATGCATAAAGCCGCAGAGTGGACTTTGTACATAGAAAGATGCTGCTGCCTGCAAGCACCAAAGATGTTAGATGAATGCACTACTGAAAATAACATGTCTTTATTTTGGTAACTATTTTATGGTGTGTTAAGCCCCTGGAAACTTATTACTAGTGGTAAAAATGGAATTGATCTATGCAAAATGGACTGAATTGCCTTAAGATGGGACTACTAATGTTAGCACCAGATGAATGTTACATAAACTCATCACAACTATCCTGTGCTGGGACTGTTTCACAGTGTTGTGTGAAACCACTAATGGTTTTGCTCTTGAAAAATTCACTGGAGCAATATAAGATGGATAATTTGCAAATGAGACCTTATGCTCCCAGCATGGCTAGCTTGTGGTAGAATCAACTCTTTCAGACATATATGCTCTTATGTTGTTAATGCCACCTCCTGCTTCCTCTTATGGTCACCCTCGGGCCCTTCTGACTAACTGTATGCTGCTCCAGTAAGTGTCTGAGGATGAAGAAAATAGCAGAGATCTAGCAGCAGTGTATCCCATCTCCTCTACATGTTCTTGCAGCATCCTGAACTAGATGTGCCTTGACTTGAGGTAACAATAGGATATGAGGAATTTTTTTTTACAACTGGGTTTGGAATTGGTTAGCAGGTGCCTGTCATGTTTCCCCAACTGTTTGTTCCAGCTCAGCCTGCTTTGTGTGCCTTCATTTTCTTAACACTTGGAAATCAGTAAAGCCTAATATGGTTTCTAAAGTCACAGGGTTTTCTGAACTGGAGCATTTCACTTGTTGATTGAAAAATCACCACTCTTATTTGTCTAGAAACTGGGTTATAGCTGTTAGCAGAATTTTTTTATGGACTGTATATAAAATATGGTACTAAAATTGCTTGATGTGTATTCTTAAACTACATGACTGAAGAAATGATTGATAGTAAAAAGGAAGCTATGCCTGCATGGGTGTCAGCACTACTGAAGCATATTGTCAGATCAAATTCACAGACAAGACTCTACAAGTTAAGGTAGCACTTCTGCTTACTGAAGGGTTGAAAACAATACAGTATTTAGTTTAATTTCAATAAATTTAATATACAAAACTACATGTTGAAAATAAAAATATAATATGCAGTTTTTTGCAGTGTTAACTAACTGAATTTTAAAAGTACAATTTTTTTCTAAAACAAGTTCTCATTTTCTGAATATGGTAATTTTAAGGTCATTTAAAAGGCTATAATTGAAGCAAACAATTCAGTCACCAGTCAACAGTGATTTGCATAACCATAACCCAAACCTAAGTGACTCTTAGGGGTAAGGAAGAGAAGATTGGGTTTTTTAGCCTCAGTAAGCATAACTTAATGGAACTAAAGTAACTGAAAAGCTTCTGCTACAGCAAAGCTAGAATAGTTTCCAGCAGTAGGATTTTTTTAGTTGTCAATCAAGAGCTTTCAGACAGTCTAACTTACACTCTGTAGACATGTATATCAATACTCAAGAGTGTGCAAAAACAAAATATGTTGTAGGGAATTTAAAAGCAACTCAAGTCAAACTTAATTTTTTTTATAGCAAAACAAATGAAAATGCTTCTTGGATTTCTGTGTAGGAACTTAAACTGATCAGCCAGAAACATTTTAGGAGTAGCACATACCACCTATTACTAAATGACAGAGGTAAGGTTCATTTTAATATAAATGCAAACAAAAAGTGAGACTACGGCTCTCCCCCCTTTTATTTTTTTTACTAATTCAGTTGAACCTAGTTCTTCCAAACATGTGTTGAGGTGACAGCTGGAATTTTCTAGACTGCACGTGGGTGATTTTACTGTTTTTAAAATAGCACTAGCCAATCACTCAATTGCATTCAGTGCCTGGACAGCTAGGATATGCTTTTTTAAAATACATTGCTACCACTATAGGTGTTTCCCTTCTCCCAGCTGATGCTTTCCTCTACTGGTGTTTTGTTGGCCCTTCCTGTTACCTCCCTAGAGTGGGTTGTAACAGTTAAGTAGCTCATTGCTCTTCCCAGTTGCTAGCCATTTTCTAGGGATGGAAATTTAATTAACAGCCATTCTTTCTGGCTGTTCCGCCTTTTCCTAATGCTGTACAGCAGGAGTTGAGCAGCTGCTCCCCTCAATTGCCCTTTGTAGGTGAGGCCAAGTGCAAGTTTTCTGAACCAAAGCCTTGTGTAGCACAACATGCAACAAACAGCCACTTTGTGCTTTTTGTCATGGGTGCAAGCTTTACATGGTGCTGCTAATATGAAAAGTTAAGTGCAAGTTGCATTATGTGATACTAGTGTTACACTACAGTCTACAGCAATGAGGAGACTTACAAAAGTGCCCTGGGTGTTACGTCTCTTTAAAAAGCAGGACCTACTGGGGGAACAGAAATACCATAACTGTACTTTAGAGCTAACTTTTCTTTTACCTTTGACAGGTGCATACCTGTGACATTCATACAGAAATGTAAACAAAATACAGAATGGCAAAGTATTTCTAGGTTATAGAAATCTGAGGTGACAAGTTTTGTAACAAGTAGGGAAAATACATATATTAGCCTAATATACATACAGAACTGCAAGTTTAAATTATATACCACCGACAGAGGGATGCCCTTTCTTTCAATCATATGCTATATTTTTTGGCTAGGTAACTTTCCCATGCATGTCTCTAGGCATATCCAAGTATCTCTGATGTACTTCAACCAATAATCTGGTTAAAATAATGTAAACATTACTTTTTAATGTCTACAGAATAACCACAAACGGCATTAGGATGAGGTCAGAATGGAGGTCTTGATTGTTTCTTATATGTCCATCTACAAACAGTACAAATTTGACATTTCATCTTTTATTTACGCCCCAGTGATCTTTGCACCCGTTTGAGCATTTAGAGTACATGACTGTAATTAAGTCTTTAAACATGAGCATTATTTTTCTAAACAGTAACAGAAGTGTATTAGCTGCAAGGATAGCATAGACATTTTGTAGTATAGAAGCTGCCCTGATCCTCTGTTTGTTGACAATGCATAGAAGATTTAGAATTATGGAACAACTCCCCCCCTCTCCCCATAGTGTTAACAAAAAGCTTAATCTTCCAGTTTTAAAGTGCAAATGATTCAGATACAACTGCTGCTGGAACAGGTCTGAACAAAAAATGAAGTCCTTATGAGATGTTTTCCAGAATATAAAAGATGAGCTCCATTATGACTGGCCCCTCACTCAACTGACATGCTCCTCCATGAATCACTGGAACTAAGGCACTGTCCAGGTCATTCATGTATTGAGAGGGCAGTGGCTGTCCATTACTCCCAGCTTGATAGCCAACCTAAAAGATACAAAGTGAAAGCTTTAAAAAGAGGATATATTCATACCAGGCTCTAAACTAACAAAATGCTTCGAAGTGGGTGAGATGATATATCTTTTATTGGACCATCTTCTACTGGTGGAAGACACAAGCCATCAGAGAGGGTCACAGTGTTATGAAGTGCAAGAAAACACTTAAAATGAAGGAGGTAATTAACACCTCTGCAGACAAAGAAGGGTTAGCATATTACAAATTGTTGTAATAAGCATTTATGGAGACAGCATTTTTTTAGTCTATCAGTTATGAATTTAAGTTCAAAGCTCATCTTTTGAAAATGCTGTGCAGGTTTTTTTTGGAGGACAAGACTGGCAACTCAAAATTTCATGTTGCAGTTCCATTAATACAGGAAAAAATTTGCAGCATTAAGTGCTAACAGTAGCATTTAATGTTGCCACTTCGTAGCCTCCAGAATCAAGCATTAGAATGGTTGAACTCTCATGTCCCCTTTTCCAACACATCCTCTTCACAGCACCAAAACGAGATAACTGAAATTAGAAGAAACTCTTTGCAACTTACTTGATCCGAGTCAAGTGTAACACGCAAACCAAGTTTAGTCATTCCATCTTCCTTCAATAACTTAAGGTGAGGACAGAGAGCTAAACAGAAAGCCTTGGCCACATTCTCAGTCAGTCTGCTATGATCTGCTGGGTCACTTAGACCATTATGTTGGTCATCATTCTCCAGAAAAAACACCTGAACAAAACAAAAAGGGGGCAATCAACATGACTTATTAATCAAAAAAGAGCAGCATCAGATAGAGTAAAAAGACTTTCAATTAATACAGCCATTTAAGGACACTGCTACCTTCGACAAATGTAAGATAAAGCAAGATTTTGATCAGCTCTTCACAGTATTTGGGGACTTTTTGAAGATTCAAATAGAAGCTGCTTTCCCAATAGGTCTGCACCCTGAATGTCTGATAATGTTCCATGTGTGGAATATTTTTATGTGCAGTGAGGCTTGCGTGAATGTGCACCACCAGAAGAAACAAAAAACCTAGCTGTGGACACTCTGCTAATAAGCTAGGCAGCCGCGCAAGCACTCAGTTTAAAGGAAATACTGGTCTCTCTCTAAAGCCCAGACTTGTATTGTATTCACCTCACAGCAGTCCTAGTGGGTGACGAGGAAGGGATGCTCACTAGAATGTGACAACAGGAGAGCTGCCAAATAACTATTTAAAGGTGAAGTTTCACATTTGGTTCTGTTTGTAGAATTTCAAGTTGCGTTTCCCCATCCAGGTGAGGATGTAGACTGGAATGATCCTGATCTCTCATGCCTAGGCTAATCCCAAAGTGCTCTAGGGACTGGACCCAAACGTGGCCAGTGTGAGACAGTCAGCACCTCTCAGGCTGTACTCATAAGGCTAAGCAGCCAGCACTTCCCGCAATGCCCTAGTGCTCCTAGAGCCTCCTCCCTGGGGGCTAGAAATGCCAACATCCTGTACCCATCTGTTCCTGCCAGCTCCTCTGCTTCCATCTTTCAATGCTGGCCTTGCCCTTGTGGAGTGTGTTCCCAGTGGAGGCCATGTTGAAAGTATCCCACCACAGGCCATGTGTTGAGCCCCGTGTAAACCCAAACTGCACCATGGGCCTCAAACAAACAGGCCGTGGGGCGTATGTGGCCTGCCTGTCGAGTAGCCTTGCCTTAGTACAACAGGGGCTTTTTCCATTTACTCCTATGCATTTTTATACTTTAGCCTTACATAAAAAGATTGTTAAAGCACTATTAAGTAAACTATACATCACTTCCACTTTAGAAAATTACAGTATCATTTTTGAAGCATGTTATTAAAATGACTTGAGAATTAAAATTGTTATAGTAGAAACCCCCGCAATCTGAAAAAGTGCCAGAATTTTTTATATAGTTAACTAAACATTGAAACCATTCCCTCACATCAGCTTGAATGTTGGGGAAAAGGTACACATATAATGAACAACAGCTAAAACTGGCCTGGTTTTCCATTCAGCTAACACTGAGCAAATTAACTGAAACAATGTTAAATGTTTTTTCACAAACTAACACTTCTAATGCTGGCAAATCCGTAGCTCCAGGTCAGCCCTGTAAGTCAAGAACTACCATGGCCAATGCTGGGTAACAAAACAAATAACCCAAGTCATCCATACTATGGCACAGTATTTTTAGCTTTCCTTACAATTAATCCACTAAGAGTATCTTTTCTGGTTGTGTTTTTGCTGTCATTTCAGAGCTGTAAGTTAGTCCATTCCCAATAGTTAACAGATCAATAAAGAGCAAGATTAAGTTTGACAAAATACAAAACCACCCAATCTTTTATAAAAGCAGATTTGAGTTGCTTGGCACTAGCAGTTTGACTACACCACACTGAATGGAGATTATTCTGGGAAAATACTACTTGTAGCTGAAAAGAATTGATATTTACAAAGTTGTTGGAGATTTTGTCTCCATTAAAGTAAAAGGCTCTTGCTGAATACAACTTTAATGCAAAAACACAGGCTTGTGCCCTTTAGATAAGGGGAAGTTACAGCACTTTCCCCCACCCTCAACGTAGATTCTCCAAAACTCAGTAAAAGGGCACCAGACAAGTGTAGCCAGTGGCGTATGATAACTTATTTCCATGGCTCTCTAGCACCTTAAGACACATTGCCACTTGCACATGACTCAGGTTTTGGCAGGTGCAGAGTCCACTGCTGATTCTCCATAAAGATTGTATTGCTTTCAGTTTGGTGGGCAGGGCAAGTAGTGTTGGTCGGTGGCCAGAAAAAGGAATTCTACAGTGAGGACTACATTGTGTAGCTGCTTAGTCACAAAATATCAAGACTCCTGTTTTATATGCAGAATGTGATTAGTTTTGTTTTCTTACCTCTGTCCACCTAATCACCTTTCCATTTGCTTTATACTCCGAGCCATGAAATATCTTCACACTGGTTATAGACTCCATGGATTTGCCATCAATGGGGCTTACAACACTAGGAGAGGAAGGGGGAAACAGCTAGTTAGCAGAGAATTTCTAGACATTAAATGCTATCATATCAAACCCAATTTCAAATTTGGCCATCTGAGAAGACTTACAGAAGAGAGGCTATTATGAAGGAAAACATCATAGAAGGATTGTGAAGGGAACTGCTTTTGACTTACCTAGTTTCTCAAAGTGATCCTACTGCAAGTTATTGCAAAAGTGAGCACTCTACAATTTCAACTGCCATAGTGACTTGCCACATTATTTAAAAAGAAAAAACACAAACTATCCCTGAAAGAGAGATCTCCAGAAGACAACCTCTTTCAATGTACCAAATGCTACTGAATATCATTGCTAATTACAAGTACAGTGGTGTGTGAAGCTAGGCAGCCGCGCAAGCACTCAGTTTAAAGGAAATACTGGTCTCTCTCTAAAGCCCAGACTTGTATTGTATTCACCTCACAGCAGTCCTAGTGGGTGACGAGGAAGGGATGCTCACTAGAATGTGACAACAGGAGAGCTGCCAAATAACTATTTAAAGGTGAAGTTTCACATTTGGTTCTGTTTGTAGAATTTCAAGTTGCGTTTCCCCATCCAGGTGAGGATGTAGACTGGAATGATCCTGATCTCTCATGCCTAGGCTAATCCCAAAGTGCTCTAGGGACTGGACCCAAACGTGGCCAGTGTGAGACAGTCAGCACCTCTCAGGCTGTACTCATAAGGCTAAGCAGCCAGCACTTCCCGCAATGCCCTAGTGCTCCTAGAGCCTCCTCCCTGGGGGCTAGAAATGCCAACATCCTGTACCCATCTGTTCCTGCCAGCTCCTCTGCTTCCATCTTTCAATGCTGGCCTTGCCCTTGTGGAGTGTGTTCCCAGTGGAGGCCATGTTGAAAGTATCCCACCACAGGCCATGTGTTGAGCCCCGTGTAAACCCAAACTGCACCATGGGCCTCAAACAAACAGGCCGTGGGGCGTATGTGGCCTGCCTGTCGAGTAGCCTTGCCTTAGTACAACAGGGGCTTTTTCCATTTACTCCTATGCATTTTTATACTTTAGCCTTACATAAAAAGATTGTTAAAGCACTATTAAGTAAACTATACATCACTTCCACTTTAGAAAATTACAGTATCATTTTTGAAGCATGTTATTAAAATGACTTGAGAATTAAAATTGTTATAGTAGAAACCCCCGCAATCTGAAAAAGTGCCAGAATTTTTTATATAGTTAACTAAACATTGAAACCATTCCCTCACATCAGCTTGAATGTTGGGGAAAAGGTACACATATAATGAACAACAGCTAAAACTGGCCTGGTTTTCCATTCAGCTAACACTGAGCAAATTAACTGAAACAATGTTAAATGTTTTTTCACAAACTAACACTTCTAATGCTGGCAAATCCGTAGCTCCAGGTCAGCCCTGTAAGTCAAGAACTACCATGGCCAATGCTGGGTAACAAAACAAATAACCCAAGTCATCCATACTATGGCACAGTATTTTTAGCTTTCCTTACAATTAATCCACTAAGAGTATCTTTTCTGGTTGTGTTTTTGCTGTCATTTCAGAGCTGTAAGTTAGTCCATTCCCAATAGTTAACAGATCAATAAAGAGCAAGATTAAGTTTGACAAAATACAAAACCACCCAATCTTTTATAAAAGCAGATTTGAGTTGCTTGGCACTAGCAGTTTGACTACACCACACTGAATGGAGATTATTCTGGGAAAATACTACTTGTAGCTGAAAAGAATTGATATTTACAAAGTTGTTGGAGATTTTGTCTCCATTAAAGTAAAAGGCTCTTGCTGAATACAACTTTAATGCAAAAACACAGGCTTGTGCCCTTTAGATAAGGGGAAGTTACAGCACTTTCCCCCACCCTCAACGTAGATTCTCCAAAACTCAGTAAAAGGGCACCAGACAAGTGTAGCCAGTGGCGTATGATAACTTATTTCCATGGCTCTCTAGCACCTTAAGACACATTGCCACTTGCACATGACTCAGGTTTTGGCAGGTGCAGAGTCCACTGCTGATTCTCCATAAAGATTGTATTGCTTTCAGTTTGGTGGGCAGGGCAAGTAGTGTTGGTCGGTGGCCAGAAAAAGGAATTCTACAGTGAGGACTACATTGTGTAGCTGCTTAGTCACAAAATATCAAGACTCCTGTTTTATATGCAGAATGTGATTAGTTTTGTTTTCTTACCTCTGTCCACCTAATCACCTTTCCATTTGCTTTATACTCCGAGCCATGAAATATCTTCACACTGGTTATAGACTCCATGGATTTGCCATCAATGGGGCTTACAACACTAGGAGAGGAAGGGGGAAACAGCTAGTTAGCAGAGAATTTCTAGACATTAAATGCTATCATATCAAACCCAATTTCAAATTTGGCCATCTGAGAAGACTTACAGAAGAGAGGCTATTATGAAGGAAAACATCATAGAAGGATTGTGAAGGGAACTGCTTTTGACTTACCTAGTTTCTCAAAGTGATCCTACTGCAAGTTATTGCAAAAGTGAGCACTCTACAATTTCAACTGCCATAGTGACTTGCCACATTATTTAAAAAGAAAAAACACAAACTATCCCTGAAAGAGAGATCTCCAGAAGACAACCTCTTTCAATGTACCAAATGCTACTGAATATCATTGCTAATTACAAGTACAGTGGTGTGTGAACTGATGCATGGATCTCAATAGTAATCAGGATTTTTGAAATTGTCTTACTGCTGTGTTGAGAGTCTGCCCCAATAATAACAACAGAGACAGCTGAAAAGTGCAGTGTTTTCTATCATATCATATATGGGAAACAATCAGGTACAGTATCTAGACTTGAAATCCTCCTTTAGGGAGCAGAGAGGTAGCTTGTCTTTGATCTGCAATTGATGAACTCTGCACACACGGAATATGCAGAAATCTATACATATTTATTGCACGATGACTGGAATTTTATTAATTTATAAATATCAAATCAAATAGTACAATTCAGTAATGTCTAAAATGTTACTTACACTGAATTTAACAGAATAGGGCAGCTCAACTAATGTCCTGAAATGTCCAATCCGCTTCTGCAGGACTTCACAAACAATCCCAAAGACATCTGTAATGTCATCACCTAGACTGCTGTTACTATATGTTTCTTGGAGTTTTCAACCTCACCCACCATACTCCATGCCTTAATGCTTAAATTGCCATGTACTTGCCATCTTGCATTGATTGTCAAGGTTATACATTGAAGGTTATAGATTCAGAGCTGCTGTCCAGATTTTACCCCCACCACCACTGAACGTGACCTTAGTGGAAGGAATAAGAAACTTGCCTAGCATGCAAGATTCAACAATCAAAAATTAGCAGCTAGACAGTCTTTTATAACCAGGATAAAGCTTTCTGCCTGGCTAACTTTTTTGACTGATACACTGAAGTTCTATTTACTTCAGCCCCATTTTAATAACTGATTTGATCTCTCAAACTAATGATACAAATATGCAAGTTCAATCTCTCCTGACTTCAGGAAGTCACTCTACCTTCAGGATCAGCTCGTATGCATTTTAAGAAATATACAATAAAGAATTATTTTGTGAAAAGTCAATCACTTCTGTTATTACTCTTCCTTTATCTTGTCACAAAGGTTAACTGAGAAACTTGTCACACACTAAAAATCAAAGAGCATGTGTATTCTTCTTCATAGAGTACACAGCAGCAGACAAAACATCCAAATAAGCACTGCAAAAGTGGCATCTACTCACCCCTTGTTAACATTTTTGTCATCTTCCACCCACTGAATATGAACATGTTCCTGAGGTTCTTCAGCATCTACTTTGCCACAAGTAATAGTGAAGTCTTTCATCTCTCTCAGAGCCTGCCTCAAGGAGTCCATATTCTCAGCAGTTATCTGGACCATTACACCATCTAAAATCAAGAAATCATTATCAAAAGCTACTAACAGCCACATTTAAGAAAGGCTAAAACCGTAAAGGCCATATATAATTGCGCAATAGAAAGCTGTTCCTTTAGTAGTATTCCCATTTTCAACATGTTGTTTATACTAGGGATGCAAAAAAGTAGCTAATTAATTGACTATCCGATAAGTTTAGGCTTATCAGGTAGTCTTAGTTGTCTACTTGCTTGTTGCCTCTATATCCGGGGGGGGGGAGCTGGCTTAAAGCTGGTTCCCCCCAGCACCGGCTCTGTGGTGTCACTTGCCCCTCCCCTGTGCTGCTACCTCTCAGAGACAGCAGCACAGGGGACCCAAGGGAGGCTGCACTGGCAGCAGTCCCTGTCTGCAGGGGGTCCCAACGGGGAACTGGGACCCCTGCACAGACAGGAACTGCTGGACCCAGCATAAGCTGAGCAAGTCTGGTTCAGTCCCAGCTCACAGCAGGTCCAGGAGCTACCCCTGCTGCTGCAGCTCTTCAGTTCAAACGTAGTAGGAGCTAGGTTTCCTACATGCCCGGCTCTTACTACATTTAAACTGCAGAGCTGCAGCGGGAGTGGCACCATACCTTATCGACACAAACTGTATTGACTACACAATTACCTGCTTCCTAAAATCCTTAGTTTATACCATGTAACATTTATGAACGCAGCCTGGAAGACATGCCAGTGGAAGCTGAAATCTACCTTCAGACCAAATTTCACTTCGGCAGTGGCGACACAAATTTACACACACTGTTCTCCCACTGCACTGTACCCCTGTTCTGGAGATCACACCTGCAAAAGGAGCAGTAGGTGACCATGATCATTCAATTATTTGGCCTTCAATGAGATTAGCAAGAAGGAATTGAGCAGTAACAATGTTTTCTTGTGTTGGGAACACTTGCCCACCAGGAATCTCACCACAACAGACAGCAACTCATTTCACACAGGCTGTTAAAACAAAAATAAGTCATAGCTTTTGGATATTTTCATGACCGTCCCCCAAAATACACGAGAGAAAGCACCACCTGGAGACTCGGTTTCATAATCTGACTCTGTTGGCAAAGGAAGAACAAACTATCATAACCCAGTCTGAATAATCTTGACTTTTCATGATATCACCTGACAATGTAGGAGGATACAAATCTCAGAAATTGATACAGTTGTCCATTTACAAAACTATTAAATGAACAGGCTAACAGCAGGGCTTCGTTTCTTACTACAGAGATAAACTCCAAATTTCTATGCCTGCAATTTTCTACTTCAGCTAAGGATTGTAAGCTCAAGAGAGAAGCCAAGTATTTCACATCTACCCTCATTTTCTTGTACTGGTGTCCCAGGGCATCTGGACTAATTATTCTCATTTTCTCAGTTAAATTAAGTTACACATCATAATGGAAAAAATGTGTTTAGCCAAAGAGTGAGATAACACCGAGTAACCAGAGTAATTCTCAATACCCATGGCACAAGAACTAAGCTGTGTACACTGCTCAAATATATAGTTATAAAGAGGGAAACAATGTACGAGTAATTGCTCATTCCTTACCTTCAACAATACTAGACTTAGCAAGATAGCCAGAAGAGGATTTTAAAGCTCCACTGAACACAAAGAAGCTGGCACCAGTCACTGCAATTACAAGACTGATTTTAGTGAGGCTCTTGTCAAAGAAATGCAAGAATCAGGTATTGTAGCTGTATCATCCACAGAGAAGTTGACAAAAATAAGGAATTACATAGCACAAAGTTATGGTTCAATGTGTATGAGATGCTTGTCACCTCAGGAAGAGAAGCGGAGATAAAATTTCTCAATGGCTTAAATGACTGCTTCTTGGAGCAGCTAGTGCAGGAACCCACAAGGGGAGAGGCAATTCTCGATTTAGTCCTGAGTGGAGTGCAGGATCAGGTCCAGGATATAACCGTTACAGGACCGCTTGGGAATAGTGACCATAATATAATAACATTCAACATTCCTGTGGTGGGAAGAACACCTCAGCAGTCCAGCACCCTGACATTTAATTTCAAAAAGGAGAATTACACAAAAATGAGGAGGTTAGTTAAACAGAAATTAAAAGGCACAGTGACTAGAGCCAAATCCCTGAAAGCTGCATGGAAACTTTTTAAAGACACCATAATAGAGGCCCAACTTAAATGTATACCCCAAATTAAAAAACATAGCAAGAGACCTAAAAAAGAGTCACCGTGGCTTAACCACCATGTAAAAGAAGCAGTGAGGGACAAAAAGGTATCTTTTAAGAAGTGGAAGTCCAATCCTAGTGAGATAAATAGAAAGGAACAGAAACACTGTCAAATCAAGTGTAAACATGTAATAAGAAAAGCAAAAAAAGATTTTGAGGAACAGCTAGCCAAAAACTCAAAAAGAAATAAAATGTTTTTTAAGTACATTAGAAGCAGGAAGCCTGCTAAAAAGCCTGAGGGTCCCCTAGATGATCGAGCTATAAAAGGAGCAATCAAGGACGATAAAGCCATTGCGGAGAAACTAAATGATTTCTATGCTTCAGTCTTCACGGCTGAGGATGTTGGGGAGATTCCTGAATCTGCACCGTCCTTTGTGGGTGATGAATCTGAGGAACTGTCCCGGATTGAAGTATCATTAGAGGAGGTTTTGGAACAAATAGAAAAACTTAATGTTAACAAATCTCCGGGACCGGATGGCATTCATCCAAGGGTTCTAAAAACTTAAATGTGAAATTGCTGAGCTATTATCTTTACTTTGAGCCAAGCAGTGGCTGCGTCCACAGAGCAGGAGGTCGACAGGAGCACACACTCCTGTTGGCTTCCCGTACTCCTCTCAGGAGGAGGAGGATCGGGTGCTGGCAGGGCTGCCTTCAGCGCTTGATGTAGGGGGTCTACACTAGACCTGCTAAATCGAATGCTAGAAGAGTGATCTCTGGAACATCGATCTTCTCGTAAGTGTAGACATGCCCTCACTGTCCCAACATGATGCGGTTGCTGAGTTCTAATGACCCACCATTGTACTTGGAAGGAATATGCTTATCCCTTGTCAGGAATGGTGGGTACAAGGCAGGCAGAGATGCAGTCCCCATTACAGCAACATCATCCCAAGAAGCTCATCAAATTCATAAATCGTACAGACGGATCCCCCAGATCGCCATGTCTGTACACCCTGATTTTCACAGATTTATATCTGTTTTTATAATGGACCAGGCTGGGGCTCAGCTAGTCAAATAGTAACAAAAAAATTAAGATTAATACATATATTGCAAATGAATATGGAATATTTGTTCTGCTGTTAATTTTAATGATATTTCGAAAGCTGGACTAATTATTGTAAAGCCTAAATTTTATACACATTTTAGGATATTTGTCTCAAAGTCAAAACAGAAAGCATGTTATCTATTATGTGCTATTAATTATTCTTCTGCACACGGAGTTTGAGTTGCCCAATCAGGGAGCAGAAAAAATATTTGACTTATGTGACCAATCAGACACTGACCATAATGAACAGGAAAAAGGCAAATAGGATGCTAGGAATTATTAGGAAAGGGATAGAAAATAAGACCCAGAATATCTTACTGCCCCTGTATAAAACTATGGTACGCCCACATCTTGAATACTGTGTACAGATGTGGTCTCCTCACCTCAAAAAAGATATTTTGGCCTTGGAAAGGGTTCAGAAAAGGGCAACTAAAATGATTAGGGGTTTGGAACGGGTCCCATATGAGGAGAGGTTAAAGCGACTGGGACTTTTCAGTTTAGAAAAGAGGAGACTGAGGGGGGATATGATAGAGGTCTATAAAATCATGAGTGGTGTGGAGAGGGCTGATAAAGAAAAGTTATTTATTAGTTTCCTAATAGAAGAACTAGAGGACACCAAATGAAATTAATGGGTAGCAGGTTTAAAACTAATAAAAGGAAGTTCTTCTTCACACAGCGTGTTGTCAACCTGTGGAACTCCTTGCCAGAGGAGGCTGTGAAGGCTAGGACTATAATAGAGTTTAAAGAGAAGCTGGATAAATTCATGGAGGTTAGGTCCATAAAAGGCTATAAGCCAGGGGATAAAATGGTGTCCTTGGCCTCTGTTTGTCAGAGGCTGGAGAGAGATGGCAGGAGACAATCGCTTGATCATTGTCTTCGGTCCACCCTCTCTGGGGCACCTGGTGCTGGCCACTGTCGGTAGACAGGATACTGGGCTAGATGGACCTGTGGTCTGACCCAGTACGGCCGTTCTTATGTTCTTATGTAAAGGGTGCTCTTGTCTGATGATATTCTGAACCTGGAAATTTTTGCCAACCTTCAAAAAAGTTAATATTTAATTAGCTTCTTTTTCACTAAGAATGAGGGCTCTGTTTTAGAGGTAAACATGCACTTTATGACTTTTTAAAAGCCCTAATGCAACTAGAAACACTCTTACATGGGCTTTTTGCTTATGACACTGTACTGCTGACCAGTCAGAGGGGCAGGGACTCAAATTTTCTAAACAAGCTGTCAGCCAGCTTAAAAGGAAAAGCCTTGGCATGGCCATTGTGTCTCTAACACTACAATAAGCTCCTTGAAATCAACCTCACATGCTCTATGTAAAAAAATACCTCTAAGAAATGAATTCCCGGCAGGAACCAACATGCCAATACATACACTGAAGTTGTGAGTGAAGATCACAAAACTCAGGATTAGAAAGGTCTCTCTTTTTTGTAATCATTGGAAGGCATCATGGAGCTTCTACATAGGATTGTCAACTCTGACATGAAGTCTGGTTAAAAAAAAATACCCTAACATTTTAATTCTTATTAAAATACTGTTACTATTGCATCATTTCAAGCTGATCTTAACAAAAAAATAAAGCTTGCAAATCAAATGGTCTAATTTAACATATATATAGAAAGCTCTTGCAATTCTCAGTGAAGAAGGGTTAGATACACTAAGACCAGAGCTGCACAATGAGCTTATATTGATGTAATTATATCCCTTGGAGGTGTGAAAACGTGCTTTATTTTATGTCAGTTATGTTAGGCCCCTACACTTACATCTCAAGTGGACAAATACTGAACATCATCAGCAACCAGAGAGAGGTGTGATACGTACTACGGACAGGGAACAGAAATCCACATCAACAGTATGCAATACTCCAAACACCAGATTAAAGTGGAGACATTGAAAAGAGATGCCAGGAGGATGGGAGGAGCAATGCACAGGCAAACAGGCACATTCTTATTATTCACACGTTTGCCTTGACCCTTCCCATCATGCTGCTTTTAAGGAAGCTGACTCCCATCAACTACTAGGACAGTGGTCAGCAACCAGCAGATCGGGATCTACTGGTAGATCTTGGAGCCTCTGACAGGTGATCTTGACTGGTTTGGCCAAGAAGCTACCAAGCACAGCACTTGAGCAGCGGGGGGGGGAGGCAGTTGATCTCCTGTAACACTGATTATTACCTAGCCACTCCCATAGTGCAGTGGTCACCAACCAGTAGATTGGGATCTACTGGTAGATCTTGGAGCCTCTGACAGGTGATCCTGGCTGGTTTGGCCAAGAGGCTATCAAGTGCCAGCACTTCATCTGCCCCTCCCCTCTCTGCTATGCACCTCCTGCCATTTGCCCTGGAGCTCCCCTCCCATCATCACCACCACTACGCCAGGAGCCTCCTGCTTGCTGTACAGAGCAGGAGAGGAAGGGGCGCTGATGTCAGGGTGCCCCCTCCCACACTGTATTCTATCTCCACAGAACGGGGTGGGGGAGGGGGAGAACATCAGAGTTTGGGGATGGAGGGAGTTTGCTGGCTGCTTTTGGAAGTGGTGCAGGGTTGAGCCTGCCTTAGCCCCACTGCACCACCTGAAATAAGCAAGTGTCCAGCTGGAGCCAGCTCTGAACCCCTGCCCCAGTCATGAACCCCCTCCTACACTCCATTCCCCTGCCCTAGCCCTGAGCCCCCTGGAGCCAAACTCCCTGCCCCAGGCTCAGCTCAGAACTCTCGCACACTCCTTAGCCCAAGACCACAACTTGTGTCCCAAACCTCTGCCCCTGCCTGGTGAAAGGGAGGGAGAATGGAGGAAGGAAAGGCAGAGTAAGCAAGGGTGGGGCCTCAGAGAAGGGACACAAAGGAGGAGGAGATGGGTATTCGGGTTTGAGGTAGATATTACATTGCACTTAAATTCAAAAAGTGATCTTGTACTTAAAAAGGCTGGAGACCCCTGTCCTGGGAGCTCTGTAATAATAAAATTATAACTTTTCTGCACTAAATACGTATTTCAGAAGATCTATAAATGAAAGACAAAACCTGTTCTGGCATGTTTACAAGTGAATGTGCTTTAAAGGCAGCACAACATACAAAAGGCATTCTGGATGGGAAAAGCCTCCATCTGCTCCCTTAGACCTGCCCCATCTTACCCTTTCTTGGCTGATTATGAATACTGATGGCCTGCGTCTGATAGTTCCCATCGTCATTCTGGACACACACTAGGTGGGAGTCTGCTTTCTCATTGAAGCATGCTCCGCCGGCTAGAACATGTTCATTAGACTTGTTCATGGCTTTCATCATCTGCAAACCAAAAGAAAGAAAGTTAATCGCTTTTATTCAGCCTCAAATCCAGCACATGTTATTAGCATAATTAGGGATGAAAGTGACTAGTTGATTATCTGATAAACACAAGCTTATTGGATAGTCGAGTAGTCACTCAACTAGACGCTTCACCCCTCACCCCGCTTGCTGGCTCTATCAGAGAGGGGCAACAAGGGAGGGGGGGAAACAGGAGCCAGTGCTGTGGGAAAGCAGCTTAAAAGCCAGTTCCCCCCAGCACCATCTCTGCGGGAGGCAGAGGCATCCCTGCTGCTGTGCCTCTTCCTTTGAAATGTACAAGAACCGCTGTAGCTCTTGTGAGCGCCCCCCTTATTGACTAATCAAGTAGTTGATGGGAATTCCAACCCTAGTATAAGTAGTGTCTTCTGTGGTCTAATCTGGCTAGAGAATCTTACCATTCAACTGTGACACCTTTGCAAAGGCTAGCAAACTTAGCACAACCCTCACAAACAGGTTAACATTTTCAGAAACATCTATGGCCTATTTTCAAAAGGGCAGAAGGAGGCAAGGGGAAGAAACCCCCAACCTGGCCAACCCCACCAGACTGGCTCAGAGTGGAAAAGCCAGTGGCTCCATGCACTGCCATTACCCCAGCGGTGTGGGGAGAGATGGGAGGAAAGAGAACGGCATCGCACGGAGTGCATCTGCTGAGCCTGAGCATGCACTGCAGCACCCCAGCTGGGCTCCATGCAGCCTCCTCCCACAGCTCAGGCTGCAGCTGAGAGGTGCCGAGGTCCAAGAGCAGCTCCTCGGCACATTTTGCCTTGGACCCAGTTGCTCTCCCTCTCCCACCCCATCCCCAGCAGCAGCCGTTGTAACAAAGAACAAGCAGCCACCTGCACATGTGGAGGAGGGAGCCGTGTGGCTGGACCCGAGCCCTACGTGACATAGGCAGTCCCGTGGTGGGAGAGAGGGGGCTGCGTGCCCGCAGTGGGTGGCAGGGGCTTGCTGGATGGTGCACTGGAATGTGGGGAAGGCAAAAGAAACTAAAGCAGGGAGCTGCCTACATGCTCAGGGGCAGCAGGGTGGAGGAAGACGGCTGCTCCTGCGCTGTGCTAGGGGCTGAGTCTCTCCAAACTCTGCCAGCCGGGAGAAGGGAAATGGTAGTGCACCAAGCCATTTCTAGCTTGCTGTTTCTCCAGCAGGGCTTTTGGGGACATTTTGCTACTTGATGGGGATACCGGGACAGAGTATTTACTTTGGGACTGTCCCAGATTTTCCAGGGCATACGGTCAGCATAATTATAGTTCACCAAACTCTAAAATAAAAAGTGGAATGTCATTTCAAATTGCTCAGATATTCACACAAGAAAGTCATACATGTTTGCTAACCATTGTCCTGCATTTTTTAAAAACAGATAAGGAAAATAGATCTTCAGCTGTAATATAAAAACATTGTGTCTTTCTGGCACAGAGGGGAAAAAAGCAAGAAATCACTAGGGATGTTAAAAGTGCTCTCTATGAGGAAGCTTCACTGCATCAAGGAAGCCTTCTCCCTGGGAATGGAGTGAGCAGCCCCTGCCCACCCAGATCCCAGGGAGGCGGCTTCATTGAGTGTAACAGGCACCATTAAGTGATAAGCATCTGCTTGTTGGTTAAATGGTTTACGTGTATAAAGCACCAGACCTTCCTATCTAAGAATTCAGTTAAAAAATAAGGCTCTCCTTTACACCACTCTGGCAAAGTAAAGGAGCCTTAATTGATTAAAAATGGCAACAGTTAACAAATATTAACAGCGTGCCCTTTTACATTTCTGCTCAACATCAGTGACAGAGCCTACTTCACACAGCCCTCTGCCTCCAAACCCAGAATGAAGCAATATTGCCAATTTAATCTTCAAGAGCCCCTGCTATAGCATCACTCTTGTTCCTGTCCGGAAATCAGAGACATTAGTACTCTCTTGCCTTGGGCAAAACCTGTACTGGTTTCTCAGCTTTCCATTATGCAAATTGTGGTGTGAAGAGATAAAATCTTTACCCCTTTAATAAATGCACAAAACTGTCTCCACCAGTTAGTGCAAGCTGCATCATTTTTGTAAGTTAAGTTATAACAACAATGAATATTAGAAGGATTTAAGAGCATGCTTACATTTGGTCTGCTCATTTGCTCTCCATTCCAGAAGTTAAGTCTCTACCCTGATCACTTAGCAGCCATAACTTGTCTACATCAGGGTGGGCAATACAGCAACCCATGGACATGATGCTGTTTTCCAGGGTTAGCCCCTGGTGGGCCACTAGATGCTTTATTTACCTGAGGGTTCACAGGTCTGACCATTCACAGCTCCTACTAACTACAGTTCACTGTTCCCAGCCCATAGGAGCCGTGGGAAGCAGTGCAGCTTGGGCCACCTCTTCCTGTGGGTCCCATTGTCCAGGAATGAGGAACTGCAGCCAACAGGAGCTGCGAGTGGCCATATCTCCACACACAGAGTTCAATAAAGTGCCTGTCAGCTCTGTGAGGAGCTAATCCCAGAACTGAGTCAGCCCACAAGCCGCTTATTGCCCACCCCTGGTCTACATGCTGACAGCTTCTGACCTGGTAAAGAATCTCTTTTAAGTTGGCTACGGTTTTCATATACCCACGCAGCTGGATTTTGTTCTCAGTTAATAAATCTGGAGTAACTGCATTTAAGTCAGTGGAGTTGCTCCTGTTTTATGCCAGTGTGACGGCAAAATGTGACTCCTTGATTTTACAGTCTGTGTGTGTGAAATAAGAACAGAGTGAGTCTCCCTCACTCATTTGCAGGCAGGTGCCAAACTCCACTCCCTTAATGTCTCTCAATGGATCCACACATGTGAACCTGCCAGCTGCTCCCAGCAGAGGCATGGGAGCTGCTTTGGAAAGGGCATTTCCCAGATTCTTTGCTCTCCAATTTTCTGTAGAAGCTATGAATTCTATGGCCTGCACAGAGCACCAAATTCCCCCAAGAGTAGTTCAAACTCTCTAATTAAGTTATATTTCAACCATTACATGTTTAAACTAAGCGAGGTTAGTCTAGAAATTATTTTGAAAGATCTTCCATATATTTTGTTCACTAATCCACTGAACTGAGCTCTTCCCTCCAAAGAAATTGGCAATTTTAGTTCACCTCCAAAATCAACTTTTAACTTCATTATAAACCACAGTGCATTGTGCAATTTGAAGACTTTATCAAATAAGTTTTACAGTGCTTCTGGAATCTCGATATCCGCTGTTGTAACAGAACCGTGGAGGCACTGATTCTGTGCAATCCATTCATATTAGTTTTTCCTCAAGAAAATTTAAATTTGGTAATCCCTTTTATATTGATAACTCAGACATTATTTGTTCAGGTATTTTCTTCAAGTGACCAATCAGCAAATATCCACGGTCTAATTCTAGTCTTGCAACCGGTTTCATATGTTGTATCTATAAGAAATTATCTGGACAGATACTTTCTCATTGACAGAATTAGTACAAATGCATAATTTTCTCCAACTGATGTCCATCCATATTTCGCAAGAAACATTTAGTATCAAAATCTATTTCTGTTCCATTCTTATTTTGTGCTTGTCAGGACATGTTCCCCACTCTGGCACTCTGAGTGCAGAAGTTGGGGGCCCGCAAGAGACCTTAAATGCCTTGTCTCTATAGGCTCTACTTACAAAAACTCCCCAAAATTAGGGAGTTCCTGCCCTTGGGAGATAGGCTGCTACCATCAAGTGTCCAATGCCTTCTTTTAAAACCCAGGAAGAAGCATGTGAACTTCTTCCAGAGGAGTTCCCCAAGCTCTTTTACCACAAGAGAGCTTGAAAAAAGAAAAAAAAACCACAGAAAAAAACCCTGCAATCTCTAATAGCTGACCCCCTCAGTGTAGGCAGGTAAAAACAAAGACCTATTACCCTCCAGGACATAAGAATCAAATCATAGCCTTAAAAAGGTGATTTTATTAACAAAACAAAAATATATACTTGATAAAGCATACCTGATTGCTAGGTGTTACAAAGCAACTGAGAAAAGAGCCGATTAAGACACAGACGAAAAACGGTATGTCTAGCACAGCTCAGGTATAGTGAATGTGGGGAGGGAGGCACATGAATTTTACATAGAGAAGTTTAACCAAACAACCAAAGAAAAATACCCTGATCGCAGCTAAACATTCATTTCTCTATCTACTCACGATCCATACTGATCCGGACTTAAAGGCCCAGACCATTCTCATGCCCAATATTCCTTGTAGGCATGGTATTTCTGTTGGATTACTTCATCTCGCTTCCTCCAGCTCTTAACTTAGAACTCACACACAAAGGAACAACAGCAGGTATATATTTACAATTTAAATGTCAGCACTATATTCCATGGTTCTTCTGGCTCCCTGCCAACACCCTTCGCTACCTGAGTTTAATCCTTTATTTACCAAGTGCTGGCCAGCACTCCTCCTATCCATCACAGTGCTATATCATAGTTGGAAAACATAAGACTTGCCCTGTTTCTGCTACTGATTTCTTTTAAAACTTCAAAATCATTTGTCACTAGCTCTTTAGATATGTCACCACTGAATTATCACCTCTCCACTGTTTGGTCCCCAGTACTGTTCAAATCATTCATAGAATCATAGGACTGGAAGGGACCTCAAGAGGTCATCGAGTCCAGCCCCCCGCCCTCAAGGCAGGACCAAGCTCTGTCTACACCATCCCTGACAGATGTCTATCTAACCTGTTCTTAAATATCTCCAGAGAGGGAGATTCCACCACCTCCCTTGGCAATTTATTCCAATATTTGACCACCCTGACAGTTAGGAATGTTTTCCTAATGTCCAATCTAAACCTCCCCTGCTGCACTTTAAGCCCATTACTCCATGTCCTGTCCTCAGAAACCAAGAGGAACAAATTTTCGCCTTCCTCCTTGTGACACCCTTTTAGATATTTGAAAACCACTATCATGTCCCCCCTTAATCTTCTTTTTTCCAAACTAAACAAGCCCAGTTCATGAAGCCTGGCTTCATAGGTCATGCTCTCTAGACCTTTAATCATTCTTGTCACTCTTCTCTGTACCCTTTCCAATTTCTCCACATCTTTCTTGAAATGTGGCGCCCAGAACTGGACACAGTACTCCAGCTGAGGCCTAACTAGTGCAGAATAGAGCGGCAGAATGACTTCACGAGTTTTGCTTACAACACACCTGTTGATACAACCTAGAATCATATTTGCTTTTTTGGCAACAGCATCACACTGTTGACTCATATTCAACTTGTGGTCCACTATGACCCCTAGATCCCTTTCCGCCATGCTCCTTCCTAGACAGTCGCTTCCCATCTTGTATGTATGGAACTGATTGTTCCTTCCTAAGTGGAGCACTCTGCATTTCTCCTTATTAAACCTCATCCTGTTTACCTCCGACCATTTCTCTAACTTGCTAAGGTCATTTTGAATTATGTCCCTATCCTCCAAAGAAGTTGCAACCCCACCCAGTTTGGTATCATCTGCAAACTTAATAAGAGTACTCTCTATCCCAATATCTACATCATTGATGAAGATATTGAACAGTACGGGTCCCAAAACAGACCCTTGAGGAACTCCACTTGTTATCCCTTTCCAGCAGGATTTAGAACCGTTAACAACAACTCTCTGACTACGGTTATCCAGCCAATTATGCACCCACCTTATCGTGGCCCTATCTAAGTTATATTTGCCTAGTTTATCAATAAGAATATCATGCGAGACCGTATCAAATGCCTTACTAAAGTCTAGGTATATGACATCCACCGCTTCTCCCTTATCCACAAGGCTCGTTATCTTATCAAAGAAAGCTATCAGATTAGTTTACAGCATTTTACACCTGATTACAGAGCTCTGAACCTTTGTCCTCACCCACAGCTGCTTCCGATTCGGAGACAATTTGTATCTTCATGTCAGCAGCACAGCCATGGGCACCCACATGGCACCACAGTATGCCAACATTTTTACAGCTGACCTTGAACAGTGTTTCCTCAGCTCTCGTCCCCTAACACCTCTACTTACGCTACACTGATGTACATCTTCATCATATGGACCCATGGGAAAGAGAATTTCACAAGGATTTCAACAACTTCACCCCTCTCCCCCCAACCTCAGCCTGCATCAGTCCACACGAGAAATCCACTTCCTTGATACTACATTACAAATAAATGATGGACAAATTTCTACCACCCTATACCGGAAACCTACCAACCGCTACACTTATCTTCATGCCTCTAGCTTCCATCCCAGACACATTTCTCAATCTATCGTCTACAGCCAAGCCCTAAGATACAACCGGATTTGCTCCAATCCCACAGACAAAGATAAACACCTACAGGATTGTGACAGGGTACCTGCCCTGCACTGGCCCTTTAAGACCAGGACTCAGGTCCTGAGCCGGGGCAGGAAACAGAGAGGCCGGGGCAGGAAACAGCTGAAGCTGTTTGGGCTAGGGAGAGCCCAGCTGGCAACTATCTAGGGCAGCACAATTGGCTTATAGAAGCCAGCTGAAACCATTAGGGCGAGTGAGAGCCCAGCTGGCAGGTATATAGAGAAGCACAGTTTGCTAAGGGAAGGGAGCCAGTGAAGGGCTGACTGCGGAGGAAGCAGGAGCTCCTAGGCAGGAGACAAGCTGTGGATAGCCAGCAAGGGCTGGGAGAGGGCCAGCCAAGACTCCCCCTGGCTAGGGGCTGGAGACAAAACCCTGGTTTGGATGCGGATCACAGCGCGGCTTAGGTAAGCAGGGCCGTGGAGTTAATCCCAATGCCAATGATGAGCAACCCATACAGACTGTAACTTGCCCTGAGAGGGGCTAGATGAGGACAATCAGGGGGCACTGAAGCACGGTGGGGGCGTGCACCCTGACAAGGATCTATATAGAACATTCCTAAAACTGAAATACCCACTTGCAGAAGTGAAAAAACAGATTGACAGAGCCAAAAAAGTACCCAAACATGAACTACTTCAAGACAGACCCAAAAGAGAAAACAACAGAATTCCACTTGTCATTACCTACAGTCCACAACTTAAACCCCTCCAACACATTGTCCACAATCTACAACCTATCTTGGAAAATGACCCCTCACTCTCAGAGGGCCTTAGGGGAAAGGCCTATTCTTGCTTACAGACAGCCCCCTAGCCTGAAACAAATCCTTTCCGGTAACCATGCTACACAGCTACATCATAATCTTACAGGAACCCACCCCTGCAATCAGCCCCAGTGCTGACTCCTATACAAGCAATTTCATCACTGGCTCCAACCACATCAGCCACCAAATCAGAAGCTCATTTAACTGCACATCCAGTAATGTGATCTATGCTAGAAATGCCCCACTGCAATATACATTGGACAAAATGGACAGTCCCTATGAGAGAGAATTAATGGACACAAATCAGATATCCAAAAAGGCAACACACAAAAACCTGTTGGGGAACACTTTAACCTTCCTGTATACTCATTAATGGATCTCCACGCTGCTGTTTTGTTTTAGACCAATTCCACAAGCCAAATACACAGAGAAGGATTGGAACTCCACTTCATTCACAAGCTTAATTCTCATGCTCAGGGCTCGACAAATACACTCACCCGTGGCAAGTAGATTTTACCAGCTGGCGAGTGCAGAGGCAGACTGACCCAGTGGGCCGTTGAGACGGGCTGGCCAAAGCCCGAACTACGGGCGGCGCGGCCCCACCCGATCTGCCGGCCAATGGAACAGCGTAGTGCCACCGGGAAAGGGGAAGTGCAGCGATTCTCAGCGCCGGGCTGCTTGCGTGCAGCTCCGGCGCAAGCCAGAGGGCGGGATGCTGGCGTGACATGGCGTCCTGATGTCACGGCTGGCGACCGCCAGATTCAAAAAGGCTCCAGCAACCCCGCAAAGTGGAAGGCAAAAGCCAGGTAGGGGAGGGGAAGGGGCTTGTGCTGTGCTGAGGGGAGGGAAGGGGAGGAGGTCAGGAGAAGAAGAAAGGGGAAGGCACCAAAGGACAAGGGTGCAAGAGAGACAAATGCCAGGGGGCCAACTGCAGACAATGAGGAAAAGGGCAGGAGGGGAGGTGTCAGTGGGAGGGAGGACAGGGTGATGCTGGGAGAGGAGAGGATAAGGGGCTGGAGGGGGAGGTGCTGGGAGAAGGCTTGAAAGAAGGGGTGGGCATGAGGAAGGCGGGGATAGAGCAGGGCATGTGTGAGGGCACAGGGGCATGAGGGGAATGGGGGCAGAGAGTGGTGAGGGGATGGGTATCAGGGAAAAAGAGGACAAAGGGGGCAGGGGCAGTGAGGGAAGGGAGAGGCACCAGTAGGGTGCAGGTGCCAGGGGACTCTGGGGGTGAAGCAGAAGGGCAGACACCTGCAAGGCAGGGACCAGCACCAGAGGAGAGATGCAGGGCAGGTGTGTAGAGGGAGGGGTTAGGAGAGGGGATGAGGAGGGGTAGCTCACATGATCAGAGTGGGGCTACTGGAGGAGTGGGCACGGGGGAGAGAAGGGCTGGTGAAGGGGGGCAGGTCTTAGGAAGGCTGAAGGCAGAGAGAAGGGCAGGAGTCAGGACAGCAGAGGAGGGTGAGGGGTTGGGGGGCAGCAGGCACTAGGGGAGCTGATGGAGCAAGCGAAGGAGACATGGCAGCAGAGGAAAAAGGTAGAGGTTTATAAGATATTTATTAATAACTTGGGTGATATGTATTAATAACTTATTAGTAATTACTGTTCTTATTAGGAATTTATGCCATTAAAAAAAACACTGGGGGAGGGGGAGGTGAGTCCCTTTTTTGTCTGGTGAGTAGGGTTTTCCATAGTTTGTTGAGCCCTGCTCATGCTAATGGTCAAAATTTATCGGATGGCTCACACATTACCAACCAAACAATGAAGGCGTCAATGGTTCTTGATGTCTGTGTAGAATCTGATGTTAGTACTCTTCCTTTCCTAGTGCAAACTAATGGTTCTAATCTGCCTCTTAACTAGTTAATCTTTAAGGTGCTAATACACTATTGGTAGTTTTCTAAGTTTCTCCTGTTACAGACCTGCTCGGCTATCCCTTTGAAACTTATCTACCCACTGTCTCTTCCCCTCCCCCTCTTTCAATTTTTTTCCATCTCCCCCTCTCCCTTTCCCTTATTTATTCTTGGTTCTGGACTTCCAACACTCCAGTCATCTGAAGAAGTGGGCTGTGCCCACGAAAGCTCATGATACATCTACACGTTTTTTTAGTCTTTAAAGTTCTACTAAACTATTTGTTGTTGTTTAAGTTTTTCCTGTCACTAAGCAGTTTGTCAACATCGACTAAGTTTAAAGACAGGTAAAGCTTTTCTCATGCAATAAATCAAACTCTTATTTCAAATGTACAGAGACGTACTTTGCAGTAAAATCTACAGAGAGCCAACAAATACATTTACAAATGCTTTTGAGCACACAAAATGTACTTGGAGAAAGTTCAGGTGCCATATTTTACACCCATACAGCATGTGTTATTTAATTGAGTCATTCTGTCAAATCAGAATAGTATGTGCAACTCTTACCCCAGATTTTCAATTAATTACATTTAAAGTTTATTTAAAAGTAATAACCTCTGTCTAAAGAGGAGCATCTCCATTATTTTTAACTAACGCCACACTGAATTGATCTGTGCATAACTAATTTTGTAGAAACAACGATGAAGCGGGTTTTACCCACAAAAGCTCATGATACTATATATTTTTATGTCATGTCTCTATGGTGCCACAGAACTACTCATTGCTTTTAAAGTTACAGTAACACAGCTATCTCTCTGAGACTTCATTTCTGTAGGCAATTCACATACTATAGTTATAGTTTAATTCGAAGGCAGTTTTCACTGGCAGTAGCAAACAGAATAATTTACTTTCCATCCAATCCTTATTGTTAAATTGTATTAGACTAAACATAAATATTTAAGTATTACCTCATTATATCTGTTGCTGGGGATTTTGATGCTGGTTTTTCTCACTTCCATGTCTACCACTAAACCTTGGACCACCGGCAAAGTATACTGGTAATTTCTGAAATCCTTGTGATTCAGAGGAACAAAGAAGTGAAACAATGTAGTCATTAGTGACACAGTCTGTTTCTGAAAGGAGAACTAGCCTAAAGTGCAGAACTATTAAACAGAAGTGTAATACATAAAACTTAATATTTTCCCGACTCATGCACCATTACTCTCTATAGGAAAATTTGAATTTTTTCTGCATTCTGCTAGATTGGACAGAGACCTCAGAATCACTGGGAGTAAGAGCAAGTCATACACCAAATGGAGAAGTCTCTACCTTTAATAGCTCCTGGTGCAGCTTTGTATATTCACAGAATTATGACTACATAACAAGATGATCTAGTATTTTTGAAGAATGGTCTGAGCAACTATATTTAGATCCAGAACCAACAACTCACAGCAGTTCAAGACCCAGAGTTTAGATTCGGACACATCATTCATATTTATTGCATCATCAAAGTTGCTGTCAAATATCTAGATGAGACAAGAGGCCGCCATCCAAATACCATAGTATCAGTATTTGTTTATCATAATGTTTTGAAAATTAGTTACTATACAAATAAAGCAAGTACAACATTCCCCTCTTCTCCGCATATACAGACTGAACAAATAACAAAACCCACTCATCACTTACTGCAAGAAGATTCATAATTGTGTGTCCAGTCTCCCCAAACAATGGTTTACGAAATCTGACGCTGAAAAGTGGGCATGGATAAACTAGGAAAATACAAAAATGATGAATTAGATTCAAATTCACCTATTAAAAGGTTTAGACTGAGTCTAAGCCTCTTCATATAGGAAACTTAACAGAAGGACTAAAAATACATTTCTGACATACAAATGGCAGCAAAATATCTGCATTCCCTTGCATACTTTTACATATCTATGATACAATTCAACATGCATAGGCATGTGCTTGGTCATGTTATGTTACAGCAGATTTCTGAGGAAAAAATGAATATAAATTATGCCAAGGTTTTCAAAATGTATGTGTAAAATTTGGCTCTTAAATAGGGAGGTAATAGCATAGTCGATTAACGGATAAGCAAAAGTTTAATGCTATAGACTACATGCATTTCCTCCCCGCCCCCCAGTAAATTTTTTAGCAGACTAGCCAGCAGCTTGGCTCAGTCCTGGCTTGCATTGGGTCCAAGGCTTACTCCTGCTGCAGCTCTGCATTTAAAGTATATTAGGAACCAGGTGGGCAGGCAGCCTGGCTCACGCTAGGTCCAGGAACTCAGACCCCTGTAGATATTTAACATCCTTACACTTAAATCCACATTTAGGCAGCTAAATAAGTACTCTTATTTTCTAAAGTGCTGTGCACCCACTGCTACTGAAATGCAAGACAGCCTGTGAGGAAAAGCAGCTTTCTATAATCAGATCACTTGTTTTAAGGCTCAAAAATTGATTGTGATGATAACTTTCAGCAGTCACTAAATATGCAATGAATTTCAATATCTTAAAAGCAGCATTTTTCCCCTAAATACAACAGATGCATCCTGGACTATTCTGTTTTAGGTCACAGGTTGTGTTATCAGGGCCTCAGTTAACTGAAAGTTGGTAAATAGTTTTAATTGAAAAATGCTACTGACCAGCTAAAAAGTTTTAGGTCATGTGACTGATTTAGTGATGTATCTGGCAACAGGTACTATCACTGGGGTTGTGGTTAGTGGGGCACATTCCCCACCACCACTATTCCTGAGTATCTGAAGTACACAACCATAGCTAAGTTACTACAGTTAAGAGAACTTACGTCTGTATTCAGCTCCAAGTCTCAGCATCAGTCGGATGGGGAACACTTTAGCCCAGGGAGTCTCCCATTTCTGAAGGAGAATCCCAAACAAGTAGGGTGGAGTTGGGAGCACCAGGTCCTGCAGCGACTGATATGTAGAGGTCACATATAAGAATCCACCATGCTCCTTACTGCCCAGAAAGCTTTGGCTGAAAAAGGAGTGTCCCAAGCTGCCCACGACATTACCTAGGAACCATGAAGTTCATTATTTTACTCCACTGAAGTCTCTAAAAATGTCACTAACTTGTTTTAAAGGAGAAGAATAAGATTAAACACAAATTTTCTTCCTGGTATTATATCCTGAATTAACTCCAATTAGTCACACTGCAGAATGAAAATACTTGCTACCCAAGAGTGTTCCAGATATCCCTTATTCTACAGTATAGGAGACCCCCACTTTCTGAGGTTCCCCATATTCACTGGCCTGCGGGGAAGGGAAGGGACCCGCAGTGAGTTCCCCAAGGCTGCCCGGAGCTATGGTGAGTTCCCTGGCTCCTGGCAGATGTGCTGAGTTCTCCATGGCTCACAGCACCAGGGTGTGTTCGGGAACTGCAGAGAGCTCACTGCAGGGTTGGGAGCCGCGGCTCCCAGTATTCATAATTTCGCTATTTGCGGTGGTACCAGGAACTTTCCTGTATCATCGTGTTGGAATTTCCACCTCAGGCTATAGATGCATCAAAACATAATGGGAAGGCAACAGATTGTTCAACCATTGCAAATTATGCCAATCCTTGAAATCAAGTTTAGAAAAATTTCACACATTCAATAAGCAATTCCCACATCATGTCAAGCTTCATGCTTGTCTGTATTTAAAATGCTAGAGCAGTGCAGCTGTAGTGCTTCAGTGTAGATGCTATGCCAATATAGGTAAAATCCACTTCTCCAACAAGCATCCGGTAGGCAGCTGGAAGAATTCTTCTGTTGAACTAATACTATCTACATAGTACTATCTACAGAGGGATTAGGTGGTGGTGCAAGTGGGCTGGTATGGTGCAGTACGCTGCACTGGTAAATTATTTTTTAGCCAGTATGTCATACCAGAAAGACTTTCTGCCGGCCATCTCCAGCCCCTCCACTGGTCGCCGTGTCTCTCTGCACAGGTCTGAGAGTGCTATGGCAGCCTCAGGAGTCAGGTGGCATTCTGCTACTTAAACTGCTGCCTCTCCTAATGGGGAAAAGGAACAGAACTCCTAGCCCACCCTCCCTGCCCCCGCCCTCAGCACTGTACAGAGACCAGCAGCTCTGTAAAAGGGGAGAGAGAGAGGGGATGGGAGTTCTGCTCCTTTCTCTGCTGGGAGGGCTAGAAACTCTTTGGGCTGAAGTATTGCCCCCACACCCAGCTCCCCTTCAACTCCCAGGTAATGTAGGATGGGGAAGGGAAAGAAAAGAGTGAGGTTCCAGGATGGAGGTGGTGCAAAATCATGTGTGGGGTGGGAAGGTCACATCCTTCCCCACCCATACCAGTAAGAACTTGCACTATTGGTTGAACGATGCCACTAATGGGTATGGATTTTTCACACTGCTCACCAATGTAGTTAAACCAGCCTAATTTTCTAGTGTAGACAAGGCCTTAGAAAAATAAAAGTAGCTGTGCTCCACTTAATATCCACTTGTGACACGTGCACCATTCGTCTTGAAACATTTATGAGGCCAGATATACAGAAGCACATACATTAAAGAGCGCACTCATTAATTCCTGTACTTGCCTGATTTAGGTCTATATGCATACGTGTAAATCAGGGATTGTGCACAAAGTAACACAGATATTAATGTCCTTATTCTCAATCTGTACATGCAAATGAGTGTTAGATTACATGTTTACTATGCTAGCCAGTCATACACTTAAGAGAAAAACAGTTATTTTGATATGCACCTCAAATATGAAAGGAACTTGAATTGCACATCAATAATAAAACTGAAAGCAAGAGGTATATTAGAGAGAGATTAGGGATCAATTGAAAGTCTGGATTCCACAGTGCCTCAGACTATGACAACCCTTATTTTCAGTGATTTCATGACCCTACATGGAATCACCACTGCAGAAATTGAGCATGTTTGTTCAGTGAATTAGGTCCTCAGATGCTGTTATTTCGTAAGAGAAAGAGGTGTGTGACAAAACAGCATGAATTCACTTGGCCAAATCAGTAGTGTCTTTTTTTTTCCTTTTACAAGAAAGGATACGGTATCTGCCTAAAGATATTCTGAAGATCTGGGTCAGTTGAAGAATACCACAAGAGAGTGTTTAGTATATTTTATGTAAATTACATTTGAGACTGACACAGGAGAAAATATCACTAATTATAAACTAAAAATCTGTTCTTCGATCTTAATAAGCAAAAATGTTACTGACAGAATCATTTTATAAATTAAAGTTGATTAGATAATTAAGAAAACATAACAAAATTGTTACTACTATCTATCCACCAACCAAGAGAAGAATCCAAGTCATTCATTTTGGCAAACACAAAATTCTTTCCCCCTTTTTTTAAACAGAGTAAGTTCATGCAATTATTGATAAAAAGTGCCAACAGGCCCCAAGACTGCCCTCCATATACCAAACAGATACGAGGATTGTGAAAGGACAAGGAAGTGCTTCCCAGCTGTGCTTCAATTCCACTGACTAGGGCACGGCAGGGCTAGGCAAAATATGACCTGTGGGCTGGATCCGGCCTTCCAAACCACCGGATCCCACCTATGAGAGCCTCAGCCAGCTCCTTGACACTCAGTAAAGCTGGCTGCTGCAGGGCCACGTGCTTCTGTGAATGCTGAGAGCCTAGAGGACGGGGCAGAGGCTTCTCATACTGCTCCTGGCCCCAGTAGCTCCCATTGGCCAGTTTCCAGCCAATGACAGATGCCCGCAGGACAGGCAACATTTGAAGTGCCCCTCCCCCCACATAGTCCAGGCTCACATGGTCCCTGTAGCTGATGTGAGCAATACAGGAGCATGGAAGGCAGGGACCCTGGTTAAGGAACCTGCTGGGCTGCTGGCTGAGAACCACCCAGATAAGATCTACAAGCCAGAGCCCCTTCCTCCCCCAATCCTCTGCCCCCCTATCCCATGTAACCTAAACCTTCTGCACCCCTGCTCCAGCCCCAATACATCTTCCCAGACACTGCATCCTCTCCTACGCCCCTCCTCAGGTCATAACCCCCTCCTAGATCCTGCACCAATCCACTATCCCTGGTCACAGCCCAAATCCCTGCACCCCCTCCTGCCTTCCTGCCCCATCTGTGCTCCAGAGCTGGGCAAGCCAACCTCCACATGCTGAATCCAGCCCACCAAGCCCTTTGATATGTCCCATAGCTGCTCAGCTGCTCTCCCACCCCAATCAAGACCTGGGGATGGGGGGCACACAAAGTCTCCTCCCCTCAGCAGGGGTCCACAGCACCAGAAGGAACCTCCAGCTGTTCAAAACAATTGTCTTTCCCCTCTAGGCACTGTGCACCCCTGGCAGGGCAGAGGGCAAAGACTTCACACACTCCCCCACCCCCAAACCAATCAGGATCTGAGGGCAGCCCGTGACCACTTCTGAAATTCATGAAGTGACCCCCCCCTTCAAAAACCCCAGATAGGATGACCACAAATTGGGGGGAGGAGAAGAACAGTCTCCAAGTCTCATTTAATCCTTGACTTCTCTTTTGTAAGAATATAACTAGCGACGCTACATAAACAAAACTTTGTTTAAAGCATTGAGTCATAGGTAAACAGCTCATGTGCAAAAATCCACTAATGCGCTTCCCTCTATTGAATGGCACAGTAAGGTTTAAATCACGTAGGAGACAACTGATAAAAATTCTCGTGCTTAATGAACATCAGAATGGGTATTTAATTTAGGATTTACAAAGGAAGCACATGCTGCAGTTGGGGAGGAGAGATTGGTAACTTCATGGAGGGAACTGTGGTCTGACCTTCATGCCAGATCTGGAGACCCACAAGGAATCTTGGCACCAATCCTTTTAGTCCGGAGCAGTACTTCTCAACCCATTTACCACTGTGGGCTGCACATGCAGCAGTGTGTGCATGAGAAGGAACACAGCACACAGTATATATAATACCTGAATGGCCCTGAGCATGTCACATGGGTGGCAGCTGTGCGCTAACTGGGCCACAAGCAGCCCACGGACTGAGAACCACTGGTCTGGAGGCATCCATGAAGAAGGCCAGCTCTTCTGCAACAATTCCAGGGCTTTGTTTATTCCAGAAGCATGGTTGACTTGGTAGGTGCTATTGCGGTGTGTCCTACGTTTGTACATTCCCTCTCCTCAGTAAAATCTTTGAGTCACACCAAAATACTTATATCAGCACTCTGAACTGTAGCTGTGGCAGCCAGTTATAGGGCTTCTTGAGTTTGTGATGTAACAGCTTAAAACCATTTTCAAATGGCAATAAATTATAGTTCATGAAAAATAGATAAAGCCACAACAATTTTATCTGGCAACAGAAGGGTTAACCAACAGTCCTGTGGAGAAGTCCCTGGATTAAATGGTTCCAAGTCACACTGATCCTCTCTGAAGCCAGTGCTGGACATGGCTCTGCTCCAAGAGTCTCACCTGAAGGCAAAACAAGATGTTCCTCCCTTGCCTTCATGGGCCAAGGGCACTGCCTCTGCAGCTCTCCCAAGCCGTCACATATGTTCCTTTTTCTATACTCCCTGAGAGTTTTGGCTTATAGCTAATTAGTAGGGCATGTTTGTAAACAGAAGGCTCATCTCACAGCTTCCTGCAGCTAAGTACAGGAATCCTAACTCTTTGCATATGAAGCAACAATCTTTTGCTGATAATTCTGAAATGGCAATGTTTCCAAGGGACGGGACTTACGAACGAACAGGAAGAGCTCAGTTGTTGGCATGTTCCTGTACTGATCCATTTGGAACGGGGAAGGCAGAAAGGCAAACCCACTTCAATGCACTCCTGCCTTTTTCAGTACGATTTAAACATTTTCTGCTGGATCAATATTCAGAAACTGTGAACATTGTTATTCATGTTGCTTTACTGGATCTTTTGGAACCCAGGGTCTAACCCTGGAAACTGCTGAGCCCTCATTTCCCCAGAAAGCCTATGGGAGTTGAAGGTGCTCGGCATCTCACAAGAGTTACTTAAGAGGATTACATCTCCAAGTTACAGTGGAGTTTTGCATACGCGTACATATGTGTTAGAAATCGACACGGTCAGATTCTAATGTCTAC